GGCAACTTGAAAGCCATGTCGAGCTCGCCAGAATCTGCAAGATGAAGCCGTTGATTTTATTGAAGGGCGCAAGCTGGTCCTTTCGGGAGAGCGGGTAGCCGATGGACTGCGGCCACAGAGGCTGTAACTCGAAGAAGGTAAGTAGCTGCGCCACCTTTAGGTCGTTTCGAACATGGCAAGTGCGCTCCACATGAGCGGTTCGCAATGCACGCTTTTCAGAGCAGTCTGGACGCTTTTCAAAGCAGTCTGCCTGTAAAACCTTAGGACTCCTAGAGCATTCGTGTCCAGAATTGTCACCTGAAGGAGAACCCCATTTCTCATTAGGTCGTTATTTTGACACCGAGATTCTCAATTCAATAGATCCGGAAGATACCTGACTACCTGAGCTGCTATGCGCATAGGTATTGTCACCCTGCTGGGTCACATGAAACTTCCCTTTCTGTCCAGTATCTCACCTGTACACCAACGCGCCATGAATGAAGTTGAAGGCGGCGAGAGGCCAAGAGCCTCCAACATTGTAAATTGTTGGGATGTTGTAACTTCCGCCAAGCATGTGTGAGTCCTGCCAGTGAGAACGTGCATTCGTTCAGTGGCCTAGTGCGCCTAGTGCCAGCCAAAGCCTTCACTTGTGATTCAGGTCTATGTACAAAGTCCCCTGCTGCCCCATTGCTTCCTGCGTGGCCAAACTTTGCACTCCAGACTCTGAAACTGAGAAGGCATAGGATGAGATTGCACCGACAGAGAACTTGTTCCGGGGATCCACAGGGCTTTCAGATTCTTTCACTGAGACTTGAGCCCAAGGCATGAGTTTCAAGTTAGGAATGGTTCATGGCAGCAAGGGAACAGCTTTGCAACAGAACAGTCATCGCATGCAGAGCACTTTGTATAGCGAACGCCTCGACCCAAGATGCCTAAGCACTGATCCGTGCAGTCGCACAATGCTCCTGCAAGATCTTGGTTTGCTTTGGATTTTGGATCCACAAGACTTCCGATCCCCTGCCAGTCACTAATTGAACTACACCATTTACACCATCCGGAGACACAGCCTGACACCCGACAGCCAGTTGTCAAAGGAGGCAGCGTGCATCCATCAAAATTGTGCAAGCCAGCGCTGCTGTCAGAGTCTTTCCACCAAAGTGTTAGAAATGAAAGCCTCCACCAAGGGATTTTGATACTCGGAGGCAGGTCGGCTACGAACCACTTGGAAACAGCACACGCTGGCCACCCTTTCCCAAGGCTTGCAAGATGCACGCATATTTGATCATATTTGGTCGCCGGGAACCACAGGCAACGTTTAATACAAACTTGCAAAATGAGAAACGCTTTCCCGGTCACAGGCTCCAGTTGTTCAACGTGGTTTCGCACGCTTGGTGCTTGCTTGACTTGACAGACATTGATATCATCGTCTCTGTGAGGATCAACGATAGCATGCCTACAACCTGGGAACCACCAAGCAAGTCGTTGGGAAGTCTAATGGCGTTGAGCGTTGGGTCTCTTGGGACCGTTTTATTTGGACATGCCCAACCATGAAGCTTCGCATAGCTACAGCTATAGAACTTTACGACAACCTGGGATTTTCACTTAGCTGCACTGTGAGAGAACTTGATGTCAGACCTCTCCGATTTGAAATGCTGAACCGACGGACGGAGCAACATGCATGTTGGCACTGGGTACAGAAAGAGAGTTCAGATTTCTTGCCCTCTCACTCTCACCTTTGCGATTGTCCACTGCTGATACTTACCATCCAAACTCAGGTCATCTTGTCTCCAGGCAGACTGTAGACTTGTTCCCGATCCCTCATGCTGGTGTTGGGATTCGACCCCAAACTTCAGCTTCCAGTGCTTGACAAGTGGAATGTGTGGCGCCATGCGGCGCCATGTGGCGCCATGTGGCGCCAAAGGAAAGATGTTTGGAGCTTTTCTCAGACTCCAAAAAGCGGGTTTGCAGCCCATGGCAAATTGGGACAGAGCCATGGAGAATCACGGAGAATCACGGAGAATCACGGAAACATAGTGTGAGGCAAATAAACAGCTAGTAAGCAGCTCGTAGGTGTCCCTTCTTGCAAGAGCTCTTCCTGTTCAACAGTCTTAACAGTCTTACAAGGGTTGACGACGTGAAGACGTGACGATTATTTTGGAAAAAATCTTAAGGTTTGGAAATGAAAGAAGTGTTTTCTTCCGATTTCACTAAGTTCACTCCACATGAAATCTGATCCGCTTGAGGAACAGCTTGTGAAATCCGAAACGTGAGGCCTCTGAAACTTACGGCGCTCCCACTTGTTGCACCAGAGTCGGCATCAAAGTTTGCGTGCAGGTGGCAATTTCACGGTGCTTGGGCATGACCGTAATCATCCCTGCAAATTTGTGCCTATTTTGAAGCAACAGTTGATCCGGCAGTAGCTGAATTTCAGCAATAGGAAGTTTCTAGCCGATAGGCCCCATTGGGTAAGAGCTGCGTGCTGAGATTGCATGTGCCAAGAGCTCCGTTTGTGGCTTCTGTTTTGCATCAGCACACTTGGAAGCCATTTGGCCTTCCTTTGTGGGCAGCAACCACTAGGAACTTTCCCGGATCCGGAGTCTAGTGGTATCAGTGAACAAGTATTGGTGGTTGCCATGTGACTTGCTAGGGGTCCAAAAGATAGACTTCCAATTTGGCTTGGTGTTCGACAGCCAACTCTTCCACAAGACTCTAGACGATGAAAACTTTTGATCTGAGCCTTCACATAGAGCTTTGCAGAGCTCTTGTTCTGATCCAACATCCTCGACAACTTGACGAGCCCATGATACTCTCCCGGAGCCAAATGGCTTGGCGGAACATAGAGGTCTGAAACCTGTCAGGTCCAAAGATGAATATCTTCTGATCCGGTGATGACGGTCAGCCATGAACATCTTCTGTCCACTAGCGTCGCATCATCCCAATGAAGTGATAGAGCTGACAGACGGGGCACAGCAGAAATTACGTAAAAAGAGGAAGTGCATTTCTAAGGTGTCTATGAGACCAAATGTTAGGTCTCTAGGAGCTAGCAAAAACCATGCACTGTACTTTGCTGAGAGGTTGTTTCGCCTCAAAGAGTTTGTACCAACTATTTCAGCCAGGCAGAGCCCCTCAAGTTGAAAATACCAAAAAAGCGAGCCAGAACCACCTCGTTTATTTTGGGCAAATAGAAGCCAACACAGGAATCACGTAGCACCCCCTGCAGCGAACATAACCCACCAAAGATTTTGTTTGAGCCTTGAACTACGAAGAGATCTGCCAGAGCTTGTCAGCCAAAGAAAAGGACGAGCATCACCATGCTCGAACATGCTCGAGCTGAGATCGGGGGAACTGGCCGCTTCCGTTTGCAGAATTTACGGCTCCGGTCCAAGCAAGAAATGAAGGCTCAAATTGGTTAAAGGGCAGTAAACATTCCTTGAGATGGCATCGATTCTTGGCAGGGCGCCTTTACCATGGCAGGCGATGGCAGGCGCTAATTTGAGACACCTTGGCTGTCCCTGGTGTTCGTTCCGACTTTGATTCAATCAAACCATGACCCAAGGACGGGCTAAATATTTGATGTGTGGCGCCGGGAGCTGCAGAAGCAGCTGAAGCGGCAAAAGCCTTTCGAGGCCTTCCATTTGCCAAATCGTTCATGGGGTCTGCTTGGTCCGCTTGGTCAGCTTCAGCTCACCCTTCAGATTTCCAGCCTAAGTCCACACCTTCGGCCAACACTGTCTTGATGTTGCAGGTGAATTTTCTGAGGGCCAAGCGAGGGGTGGTCCTTCAGGTTGAACTGACCACGCCGACATTGATGCGAACTCCAAGCCAAGATTTTGCCAAGTATTTGGAATCACCTAGTGCAAACGTTTGCTCCGATAGGGTCAGAGTAATTACAAAGCCAGAAGCCAGGACAATTGTGACTCACCCAGCATGCTCAGCAAGCTGTGCCTGCGGTCAGTGCGCAATAGGTTTAGGTTGTAATTTTCTGTTTCCGACTTTCCTCTTTGCAGCTCTCTTCGACAATGCCATTTTTCGCGGCTTTCACGATGGCCGAAGCTTTCCGCCTCAGCACTTCAAATCAATCGAGCAGTATCACTCAATTGAGCAACACAAGCTTTTTTCCTTGTGCCACAGACGAGTCATAGATTCGTCATAGATAAAACTAGGTCGTAGTGAAATAGTGGTAGTTGCTAGGCGCACCTTATGTTATAGTTATTTGGGATGGTGATGTTACCATCTCCACTTGGCAGGCCCAAAATGTCAATGTAGCTTTTGCGACATTGTTACACTTTGTCCCTCAGGATGGTTCGAACTGACATCATGAAGCAACATGTTGCAATCAAAAGTTGAATATCGTCCTTCAAAAAAAGTCTAGGGCCTCGCTCCGTTAACGAAACTCCATAAGTCTCGGAGATGTTTCTGAAGACAACAACACCCCTTATACTGATACTACGCTGAAAAGTCATTGCCTGTTAATAGAGCATACGGCGCAGAATTCAAACCTACTATGTTCGCTTTGGGGATCGATCTGTTCACCTGTTTGCCATCGTAAATTGACTAAGTTGACTAAGCCTTGTCAATTGCCTATCAACAATTTGAGCTCGAGCCTTGTCTCCAGTGATTGATCTTTGTTTTGTGCCTGAAGCTTGGCTCTAGACACAGTGGAGATGAAGCTGGGGTCGAACGAACACACCAGATAGGCTGAATGGAATGGTCAAGGGTTGTCGCTCCATGCTGTCAACTTTCCTTCCCCCAACGAAAGTTGAAGCAGAGAATCGTGCAAGGGTATCTGCAGTAAAGGATGGCAAGAAATAGTAAGATTGAGATTATCAAATAAAGTCGGCCCAGTCAGCCAGCCCTCCAAGCTGTTGAAATACACCCCATGGTTTTGTCTGGCCCAAAGGAAACCAGGGTCTCGTCAAACGATCCTTTGCGGCCTGACCAGTTGTGGCTTCTGCAACAAGTGGGAAGGACAGTCACAGATGTGCAGGTGCCCAAGGCCGTTGAAACAGTGGCTGCAGTGACGTCGTTTCACTGGCCGAAGAAAGGCTTTGCACAGCCTTCAAGCTGGACATGCAAAACATGCAAGGTGATACGAAGAATGTTCGCTTTAAGGAGGCGTTGTGACTTTTGAGGCGATGATGCCCTTTTGAACCACAAACTCGGCCCTGGCCTAGTTTTGACGACTTCATAGTCCTTGTCCAAACAGCTGCAGCCAATATCAAGTCGGCACATGCAACTCATTGAGAGGCCGCCGGAAAGGAAAAGTCTGAGGCCCCACTTGATCAGGAGAGACTGGTTTGAACCTCGGTTGAGGAGGCGACCCAAATTGTCGGGAGGTAAAAAACAAGTTTGCAGAATCATGCAGAAACCCTTTTCGTAGCTGTAGGATCAGACGCTGTTTGTTGTGCATGTGACCTGTTCCGCCTATCAGCATGCCGGTGCTGCGGACGGGTTGGTCCCACTAGAGCCTTGACAAAAGATCCGGGCATAGGAGGACTCTTGCTGCCAAGAAGCACAGCTTCGGATGGCCGTGCAGCATTGGTGTTTCAGCGACTCTTTGAGCACTTTGGCCGTTTCAGTTCGTCTTGGCAGCGGAAACAACTAGCATGTCCAAGGAAGCGAACTGGCTGGTGAGCGGACACATTAGACAAACCTTAAGGAAACTTGAAGCTTTTGCCAAAAACTGGAGGTTTGGTACTTCTTATAAATCCCTGCAAGGTAAGTGGAGAAAACGATGGGCAACCATCTCCCATCTTTGAGTTTTTCAGCCTCAAAAATTTCTGGTCACTTTGAGACCTTCAGTACAGTTGAAATAGCAGGATCGGGATTTGTGGACTCTGTTGATCGCTTTTTGGGTGCAAACGACAACCAGATTGTGGAAGGTCCGCTGCATTTGCTTCAGACCTCCTTTGAATTGACACAGGTTTGAGGCTGGTGCTGCATTTGTGCTGCAGCTATTGAACAAAACACTTGTGCCACTTCATATTCTGAATTTACGCATTTTGCCTGTCTACAGAGAAAGCGGAAGGAGACGACCGAAAAAAGAAGCGATGTGCTGTGGCCAAATGGAGTAGATTGCAAGAGTCAGGCTGCACCAGTTCAAAGTTGCAACTGCAGCTTACTGATGTGGGAGCCTTTGATTCTACAAGATCATCCCTGCATTTCTGGGAGGTTGACTTCTGGACAGTGTCTCATCCTTGCATCTGCCTGTAGTTGCCAGAAAAAGCTCACACAGGTCTTGACAATCCACAAATGTACCACTTGCCAAACCTGCGCTCGACCGGTGGCAAATTTCGGTCCCCTGTCCTGTGTGCCTTGAAGAGGAACCGGTCATTGAAATTATGCAGCCACGACGAGGGACTTTCTCAAGCAACAGAGATAGCTGCTGCAGCTGCCTGAATCAGCGAGTTTAGATGGTCTTCCACCTCAAGCTGGTGTTTCAGGCTAATGCAGCATTACGTACAGTACAGTATGTTGCAAAGTCATGCGCCAGAAACTTAAATCGGTCGCTTGAAAGTTTGAGGCTGATCTTGGAAATAGAGCCTTCCGTGGAATTTTCTGCAAGTGCCGTTTGGCTTTTTTGGTGGCAACTGAACATACTGAACCCCCAACCAAGGCCACGTCTAGGTGACTTCAACTGCATGAGTTCCACCTCATGTGATACAGGTGATTACCTCAGCACCTTTTTGTCTTTACCAGTCATCATGACCAGCTTGAGGCTTGGAACTGTAACCGTTTTCACACCATGGTCAGCATGGTGCCTAAAAAAGAAGGCTAGTTGGCTCGCAGCAGAGTTCTGCAGCTGCCAGAAAGGATGAGTGGAAGGAGCCAACAATAACTGGGGCTGTTAAGCTGAGATGCCAACATGCAATAGCCGACGATAGCTCACACTCCCAGGATCCACTCCTGCAAGTGAGGCTGTGGTGAACAGTTGTGCGAGTTGTGCCCCCCTTCCTTGTCTTTGTCCATATCGGACCTATGCATGATTAAACAGCTCTTGCCAGCATTGCTGGTGTTGATTGGAAGGCGGGTGCGCTGGCACTCTCTTTGGCAATTTGATACTCTAAAGAATGAATCACTGAATCATCAAGATCATCAAGATGTCATAAGTAAGCCATGCAAGCCATGAGATGTCAGTGTAGCTGACATAGGCGGAGCTTTGTTTTTGAAGCCCGCACCAAGTCGAGCCCAAATGCCGCCAAAACTTCAGCTTCAAGGTGGCCAGGTCCGGATGCGACAAGTCGAAGTGATCTGGAAAGCTTGCAGCTTGCGCAGCTTGCGAATTCTTGAAAAGCCTTAGCATTCACAATACTTGACCCATTTGAAGCGAGGCCTTGCTTGGTCAACTCCACCTACGAAAGCTGTGTATTGGGAAGCGGAAAAAGGAGGCTGATTCTAACATGAGTTACACGAGTTACATTGCAGTTACATGAGTTACAGGAGTTTCATGTTTCCTGCTCTGAAGACACGGCCTTATCCAACCATCGCTGTGTTCAGGTCCTTCCATGTCCCAGGCGTCCATACATGCGCCAGATAGGAAATCTAGTCCGAGCCGTTCCTGGTGACCCATGTTAGGTCATGGAGTAAGGACAGTCTTAGCTGGGAATCCGCCATGGGCCATGGTCCTTTTTTTTGGGTTATGCTGTTTGAGTCTCTAAGGAGAAAGCTGCTTGGCCAGAGTTCAGAACCCTTGAAATCACTCATATTCGGGATGACCAAAGTAGCCCTGAACAGGCAGGAACTCATTTGCCATGTTTGTGCAACTTGCAGTACGTCACATTTGTATTATCCATTTTGCAGTCGATACATTTGTAGCTGTCCCAGCTTGCTCCATGAAGTTCCTTCCATGGGTGGACAAATGTATGACATATGCAAACTTCCATGACAGAGTCCTATCATGCACACAGACTTTTGCAGCTACAAACCCTGAGTGAGAAAAATCTCTTGAGGTTGACTTGGCCATTGCGGATGTGCTACCACACTTGACCCTGTCGATGCACATAACTACCGGTATCACTTCATTCATTCTACCACTGTTTTTAGCTTCCGTTTTTGCACTTTCAAGTACACAAAACATGGATTGAAACAACTTGGAGGCTGCTCTACCAGCACTTTTCTATTCCTCACCTGTAGCTCACAAACTTCCACTCTAAGAGCTCCATTTGTACCGGAACGGCATGTTTTGCAGAATGCTGCAGCAATGGCCAGTCCGGTGGTTCCTGGAAACATGCAGGTGTTGACACTCTGTGCAAGGTGGGGCCAGACGAGAGATTTTTGTAGCTTCCGAGAGACAGGATTCGGCGATGTTGATGCTGATGGTGATAGTGAGTATTTATTCAAGTTCTTTATTTATTATCCACACGTGAAGTGACTTTGGTAGAATCAACCGATCAATAGAGCAGCATATTTCAATGACCTTGCCTGCAAATATGCACTAGCATAGCAACGTCGTGCTTAGGCCCATACTATGGAGCGGTCCAGAAGTGCACCAGGTGCCACTTGAGGGAACAGCGGGAAAGAGATGTGCAGTAGGGAGAGATGCGTTGCGGGGTGGCCGTACCAGCCTGGACACGTGAGTGGCATTGGGTGCTCAGAATGAGCTAGCTAAGCCAGCCTGCAATGATGAGGTTTTATATCATGGACCACCTCTTAGTGGATGGGAATAAACATGAATAAACAACATAACAACATGTCATCTCATCTCAAGCTGTGCAGGCACCCCCGCTTTATCGCCTTCGGCATCGCCATTGCGAACGCCTGTCCGAAGGTGGGGATGGATCATTCAGTTCTGTCACTGAGTAGATGAACTGGCGAGAAGAGTCAAGGCAGAGAACACCCAGCCAACGTGATGGTGAAGAAACCTTTTGTTTGGGTACCGCAACCGAAGTCCTGAACAGTTCTCGTGCCCTACCCGATGTAGAAGTAGAAAGCAAGACCTGCTGTTGGCAGGATAAGGCCCCCCAGATTGAATCAGGGACCAGAGTCTGAGCTGTGTGAGCTGTTGCCATTGTATGGTAGTTGCTATTGTATGGCAATGTATGGTATCTACCCCTTCAAGTTGTAGAGTTTTGTTCAATATTGCAGGCCAGCCATTTCTTTGGTACAACTATGGTCCCAAGATGTTCCAAGACTGTTGGACACACCTTGATAAGCCTTGATATATTTAGTGAATTTTAGTGAATTTTAGTGATGCTCAGTGTGCTCTGCTTTGACACCCAGGTGCCCCAGACAGGGTGAGGCCCATGGAAACCGGCGGACTGGTGATGTCTGGCCTTCAACCTAATGAAGGCCTATGACAACTTATGACTATGACACTGTGATATATATATATATATAAGTGATATATTAATAATTAAAGTTGCATTTATGCAATAATCAAGAGGTCGTTTCTCCTTTCAGCCAAGTGTAGAACATTGTTTTGAGTCGGTGGGAGCTAGCAGTGAATCTATTTGTTGGGAGTCCATAGCGATTGTTCCAAGAAATTATGATTCGCATCTAGCTGGCTATGAGCGCATTGTGTATTTGGCATTTGCTATCCGAGAGGATATGAGGCCTTTGGAGGCTATGGCGGCACCAACGAAGTCACTCAGATTTCAATGTGCTTTTTTGTCGTGTCAGGCGCTCAGCTTTTCTACGCCAAGCAGGAGCCGCATCAGAGGCGGCTAGTAGCTGACTGTAGGTATTCTTCTCAGTCAGACTTGAAACTTTAACAGAGAAATAGTGAACATCTCACATCAACTCACATATTTCTATTGTGATAAGTGATATATTAGGATTTATAAATTTGTATGAACACTGTGAGTGCCTTCAAGCAACCGGCGCGAGCAGGGTCCCTTAACGGTACCAAACCAGCTGTTTTGCCACATGATTCACTTCAGTTTCTGGTGTTTTGTGCAAGCTTTTGAAACTTGCTCATAGTTTTCTATTGATTTGACTGGCAGCAAAGAAGAACTAGTACATACAACGTTAAAAAAACAGGTTTTGTTCCAGAGGCTGCCAAGTCGTGCCTGCTCCGAAGATACTTCGTACGATGGAGCGTGGAAGACTAGATGTATTGCCGTGTTTTTTCCACTCGCTCGGTTAGCTTCTTCTATTCACCAATGTTGTGCGCAGTTGAATCAGTAGGATCCAGTCTTGCGTTTCCTGCTAAGCGGCTAAACTTCTTTTCTTGCGTGTCACACGCTCAGACCAAAGTGCTGTGGCCTTGGCGGGTCTCAGGCCGGGGGCTTGCTTCACTTAGAGGGGGAGAGAATCTGGAGGATTTCTGCAGAGGTTGTAATGATTATAATAATATGTTTGATACTTCTCAATTCTGTTGCCCTGGAGTCCAAATTAAGTTTATGAGCAAAGTGCTGCATGACTAGTTTCAGGAATCGCCCACTCAGTATATTTGGCATTTGGTATGGCAATTGATGATGACTGGCTATCACAGACTAGCCATGACAGATATGACAGAGTCAGGATTTTCTGCATCGAACGGTTCGGCGGCCTACGCCCGGCCTTTGAACGTTCGGGAGACCCAAAGCAAACGGTCTGACCAGTTTGACATTTCGCTATGCCAAAAATGGAGAGAGTATGACTGAATATATCTGAATATGATTCACACATGATTCTATCATGAGTATGGTATGATATAGTATGAAGATATATGAAGATATATGAAGTCATGAAGACACCCAAGTGTCACGGTTGCTTGCAACTGTCAGGTATGGACTTCCACCGCGATGGCCATGCCTGGGCCTTTGTGCAGTGACTGTCGCTTGGATGTCCTTGTTGATGTGCACAGGTGAACATGCGAACACAGAATTGCAATGGCGGTTCATGACCCTTCCAAGGTGAGCTGCTTGGAATTCCAGGAAGTCTTATCTGGTCAAGAGCGATACTGCAATCTGCAAGAGGCGCATCTGACACATTCTGACACGCAATGCAAGGCAATGCAGCCATGATTTGAAGCACCCAGTCCCGCAGCATCCGGGTTTCAATCAAGGTCTCGTTGATGAGATCAGAATAGACCATCTTTGCGATGATGAAACACTCCGTGGGCTGAAGGATTTCTCAAGATTTCGGAATTGTGGTAAACGCAACAATAAACCAATCATTTTTTTTCACTCATAAACCATCCAAAATTGGAGGCAGGGTTTTTCTTATATGTTTATCGCATTGCCTACGAACATGGGACAGTGGAACTTCAAAGTCCCACAAGGCTCGTGAGCTTTTCAGCGTGCTGGCGCGCGGCACAGCTGGCTGGCTGAACTGGGAGGCTGGTGTGGGCGTACCAGATACGTCCAGATACCCTCTGTTGATTTGTACAGGAATAATTACTGTTACAAAGTCTTGTGTTGAATGAATCTAGTCGCTTCATGAGTTTGATCTGGGCCTTCAGAGCTGGAGCAGAGTTTGCCAGAGTCGCCTTCCTGTCTGCAGATGAAGAAGTAGTTGCTTCCAAGATCTACTGTCAATTTGAAGCAAAATCATGTCATTGTTCCATTTGTTCCATGACTGCATACAATTGGCAGGTCTTTGCAAAGCGCTTGCAAGGAGCCTGGGGCGACAGTGAACTGCAGGAGCAACGGGAAGTTAGCCGGACTGTGAAGACTGTCAAAAATGGCAAGCCTTGGGACCCAAACGTTGGATTGTGAGGTGAACCCAACTGGCGAGACGATCACCAGATATCACAAATAAAGGTGACTTCGGTGACTTTTCAACATGACCCTGGTCTGACTTGCAATCACTATGTCACTATGCACGAAGGATGTGGAGATTTCTATTGGTCCTTCGGAGAGTGCTTCTGCCATTGCATCTTGCCTTGCCAGTAGCGGGGTGTCTATCACACACTGAAAGAATATTTTGGAGGGGCAGCATATTTGGATTTCATTATAGAATCCTGGTCCCTAGCTTGTTTGGTCCGTCCTTTGTTCATGGGCCTACGCGGTGTTCTTATGTTTGTCTGGAACATCTACAAGGATCGCAACGAAACTTCCATTTTAATAGTCTTGCCTAAGCTTCCTTGGAGTTGCCTCCCACACGCAGTGAGGCCAGCAACGCACTACGGAGCTTACTGTTTGGCCAGAAGGCCACCAAACCTAGCAACCCCTGCGTATTGCTCGTATCGCTCCAATTCTTTCTAAATTTCTTTCCTCTTACCTGGCGCACGGCGCATGGTGCAGTGCATACAAAATGCGGGCTGATTCTCTGCTGTCGCACTCTCTTCGAAAGTATCTGAGCAGAGAGAGGGTCGCAATTGCCTTGAATGGCACTGTTCTCACTGCGAGTGTGGATAAACGATTGTTCGACAATGAAATCTTTGGGGGCTTCATGGAAGTGAGACTTGTCTGATTGAAGGATTCATAAAGGATTGAATTTGGATTGAATGTTGTAGCAGCATGGTGTCAGACAAGGCACATGGATAGACATCCACCAGCTGCGCCTGTGCTCCTGGAGGATGGCATCTCCAGGGCCTCCACCTGCACTGGAGAGGCGGGGTCACACTGGGCTGATGCGGCTGATGTTGACGTGTCTGGGTCTAAATGGGTCTACTTGGGTCTACTAGTTTGAACGGAGATGGTGAAGTCAAACTGTCAAGGTGATGTTGAGTTCTATCCCCCAGAAAATTATGAATCTCTCGCCCTGATCTCTGGAGGTCCAAAAAGCTTGAAAACTAGTGGATTGCTTTGTAGATTGGATAGAGCTGGAATGGATCCACAAAGCCTCCTGAAACAAAGCCCGGATCTGATGTGGAATTGTTTTCTTTACTTGGGGCCTCGCTGGTGTACCACAACACCTTGAGTGCTGGAGCAAGCCGAACCTCATAGGGACTGCCTTCCAACCTTCCGCTTTAGGTGGGATCTGGGGCTTCGCCCTCCTCAGGCTGTTTTGTGGTGAGTACGGTATCAGGAAATGTTATGCACAAATAAATCATTGTAACATTTGCAACACATTCGGGAATTCCGTCCACATATCATATGCGTGCATGCTGAACTCTTGCAAATACATTAGACTGAAAGTTCGAGCACTGCCGATGATTTAGGCGTGTAAGAAATTGCTGTAATCACTGTGACTGAGAACGTAAAGTCATTGACTGAAGCTGTGTAAGTTGCCATGGATCCGCAAGGTTTTCATGGACAAGCAGCTGTCATTGGGTTGACTTTGAGCTTTTGCCTCTTCAGGGACCCCTGGCGCTCCGGAGCGTCGACATTCACAGCTGTAGACCTAGAGGGATGACAAGTGTGAAATGCAACGTTACACAACCCCCACAGATCTCCACTGCAAAGCCCCCACACATACCATAGCACCTGGACATTGGGACATTGGGACATACCCCATACTCAGAATTTTCTCACATCTTCGCACAACTTCAACTTTGGAAATACATTGCTGTGTACGTCTCGCAATGCCGCAATGCATTGAGTTTATATAGCAACGAGAGCATACACTACGTTCCCCTGAGGATGCCTAGGGAAAAACCCGTGGAGGATCTCAAGGTCATCAGATGGGCGCCCAATGGGGACCTTCATGGGCTGGTGACCCGAAGCTCATAAACGTAAAATCCCAGGTCAGTCAGATATTCTCTATGTCAGATCACATGGACTAAAGGAAGTCAGTATGGCAAGAAATTCCGCTCTAGCTGGAAACCAGATTGGAGGTCTGTTGACATCCGGATGTGAGCTGCTGTCGCGGATTGCATGTTTTTGTATTTTCTTACAAATATAGAATACATATATATATATATTTATATATATATATGTATATAGTTGTTCCTGATTGCCTGTAAGGCCTTTAAAGAAGTTTCAGCTCCAAAAAAGCGACTTCATAGGCTACCCACCTGCTTGAGAATCCCCAAGGGACATTTTAATTCGGTTTAATTCGGTTAGAGAATCAGAGGATCTGTTGATTCTCGTCCCAAGCTTTGTGCCAGGAGCCTGCACAGAGCTTTCGGCCAAGTCTCAGAGCCCAATTTCTGGCTGCACCAGGCTGCACCGATTCACAGCCAGTTCCACCATTCTTGCAGGGTGTATGGTTTGCAGATTTGCTAAGCCAAGAAGGGGAAGCGATTGAAGTGCATTACTTAGCTAAAGTTTCACTTGTTGAGTCTTCTTTGCTTGGGAGACTTGGTACTTTGTTTCTTCCTTCAGGCATATTGGACTGTCACGGTTCACATCGTTCCAAGATTTTTGACCAGATCTGGTGCCATGACATCAATACTGGAACATTTGAATACTGCAGACTCCTAAACCGTCTAAATTCATATCTTTTCTTGAGTAAAGGTTGAAGTAGAGATAACATTCTGCGCATTTCACCACGGAGTCTGAGCGGATAGCTGACCAAGACGGAGCTTGACGCGTCTTCATTAGGCTCAAAGCTTCACAAGGCCGCTGCCCAGTGTCACCGGCCATGAGACAGCCTTGGCAAACCCCGGTCCCGGCGGAACACTTTGATGGAACCCGATTTTCATACCCAGAAATCTAGTTTGCATCTATGAAGACTTATGAAGAATACAAGAATCTCAAAGTTACCAAAAGTTCTTACGATCTCAACTTTACACGAGAAAATTGAAACGCAGAAATCGGAGTCCAACTCTTCCGCTGTGGATTTCCACACTGGCCCGGATCCCCTTGATGGCGGTTGTGGTCCCTATGAACAGTTACAACACCGCTCACAAGTTCCGCGACTTCTGCTGCGGACCAGGAGATCAACTTGCACTCGAGGCGCTGAGAGGGCTCCCTCCCAGAAAGCCGTAGAAAGCCTGAGCAAAGTTAGTATTTTATAGTCACATAGTGGATCCAGCGGATCCAATCCAGGGAAATCATGCAAGTTACACCAACTATGCTAGACTACAGACTATGTAATTAAAATTATACTAGTTACTAGTTATATACTGGGTCACTGGGTTGTCTTCATTTCACTAGAGTCAGGATTAGTTCTGTCAGTTTGCTGCCCAGCTTGTGAAGGAACAGAGACCTGCACAGCGATGGCGGTGGTCCGAGGCCCCTTTAGAAGCTGGAACCCCAAATTCAGAGTTGCTCTGCTCCTGAAATAGCGTGAAGGGTCAGCTCTCCTTTCTAAAGAAGTATTCGGCAATGCATGATAAATGTGAAACAAGTTCCAAGCGATAGTAAAGCTCACATATTTGGCTTGCAGGCGGTGGATGATGATTTAGATGATGTGAAGGACCCTGGTGTTTGCAAACGGGTGGTCGGTAATCGATAAGCTGCAGTTTTATGTAGTTTGTTACATCTGCCGCTCAGACATTGCTTAGACAGGTTGCTGGTTGCCGTCTGGGCCATCCTGCAGGAAGTCGAAGTGCAGATGGTCATCAACGATTACACCCACGACGGGCATGACGAGCACGACGAGCACGACGAGCATGACGAGCATGACGAGCATGACGAGCATGAGCAGATCGAGACTGAGATCGAGCCACTCGAGCCACTTCCTATTCGATCTATCCCGAAGGCCCCGAACGGTCCACTGCCACCTGGACAGGCCACAGGGATCGCAGGGGCCGGACGGCCCATCCAGGAGCTCTTCCATGAGACGGGTCAGTGGCGCAGGGAGCACCGGAAACAACCGGCACGACAGGCGGCACTGCGGTGTGATCAAAATCTTTTTGTAATATGATGCTGGAAGATGCTGGAAGGGGTTCTGAAAAGAGTGGAGGCAACCAGGCTGAACCAGGCAATCCGATGCAATTCTTTGAGCCTTTTCGATTTGAACTTCTTTGAAACCCCCGAGGCCCAGCAGTTGAGGACAGTGGCCATTGTCCACTTTCCGCCTTTGTCCACTGTGTAATTAAGAAACTAACCGAGACGACCGTCTGACCGTCTGACCGTCCCCGTAATGATGTTGCGATCATTTGATCCTCTGCAGCTCCACACCATCGAAGGCGGTCAAAGCACCAATTGCAGACGGGCCGGTCGTGGAAGGGCCATTCTGGTGTAAGCTCCTTGCCCCTTGGCTCGGTCCCAGATTGCAATCTTCAGATACTAAGAGTATCTAAGAGTATCTAAGAGTATCTAAGAGTATCTAAGAGTATCTAAGAGTCATAAAGGCATGGGCCTGGGATTATAGTGACACTGTTTGCGGTGAACCGCATGCACCCGTCTTCTCATGTGTCTTCGCAGTGAAACCCAAGGTTCCCAGCCACTTTGCAGGAGGGGAAGTGACTTGGAAGGGTGACGGATGTAGAAGGGGTTCTTTGATTCAAGCTTAAAGGACATGCCTGATGCCTCAACAAATTTTGCTGGACTTAAGAGCTTCCAAGTATTGGGGTGGGGCGGATAAGAAGCCTCAAAGGATCTTTTAGGTCCTCCGGCATCCAAGATGAGGTTTTCAAGCTCCAACTCTTATAGGGGCTTCCAACCCTTGAAGGTTGGTGAGTATCCTGGCTTCATAATTATGTGCAATCAACATTTGTATTTTGAATGACTCTGAATGATTCTGAATGATTTTGAGCTCTCGCACCTCTTCAAGCTGGGTCACGAGTTGTCTCAAACCTTGCTGCGCTTTCTGCGCTGCTCCGGCATAGATGCTCTGCTGTTCAGGAGGATTGATTGGAACGGGTGGAAGAGTCATGGCCGACTTTGAAAAGTGTGACCCCCAGCTTGTGCTGAGAGTCCGAGGAACTGACCAACAAAGTCTGACCCTTTTAGTTAGTTACACCATTACTATATTATATAATATTATATAACTATATATATATTATATATGTAATATATAATTACAATATATATATATACATATATTTATCCCCTTGGTGACGAGTCACGCGCATTGATTTTTGATCATCGCTTTTCTATGATGATTTGGCAAAGAACCCCAAAGTGTTGGCGTTGCGAAAGCCAGTCCGAGGCATGGCTAACATAGTGAGATTAAGGGGTGGTGCGAGTTCTTGAGGGCACAAAATCTCGCAGTTAGGCGGTGTTCAGAGTGTCTGGAGTGAAGTTTCTGCCAATGCTGTGACAGTGAGCTTCGACTTCCCACTGCGCCACCCTATGCTTGGCTTAAAAACTAAACGTGAGTATTTTCAAACCCATACTGGTGCACCTGTCTCAACAGTTTCAGCACGCTCCGAGGCAAACCCAGTGTAACGTGCGCATCTCTCCTCCGAATGTTTGCTTCCCAGGCCACGCCGCGTCGAAAGTGTGTCGAAGCGTGGCTTTTCACAACCTTCCAACACACCCTACAAACAAGTCTGGCTAGTACTGGCTAGTACGTGAGCATGTGCCAAGCATTCAGGAACCGGGGGTCCCATAATTGAATGAGATGAAAGCAAGGAAAAACGCTACAATGGTCTTTGCGATCAGAACTCGTGCGGATCTGAAGGCACGCAAGATCGAATGCTTGCGATTGGAGCACCGGATATCAAAAGCATGGGAACCCAATGGAACCCAATGGAACCCAATGGAACCCAGGTTGCTGCGAAGGGGATTTTGACAACCTAAGAAGGAACCCACCAAGAGGCCACTGCTTTCTTTGATGTTTCTATCAACATCATCAACTAACGTTTTTACAGTTTCCATTGGAAGGCAGATGAGATACATTCCAAGGTGCTCATACAAATTCACCACCAGCGACTGCAGGGGCAGTACGAACAAACCAGGTTCATGTGCTTTGTTATTTTTTTTAGATTTTGTGTTGTGAATCTCTTCGTTTATATTTGGAACGTAAGTCGCGGTTTCTTTTTTTGCCAGCCTGTGCCAGCTCAACAGCGCAGACAGGGAGGTAGTAAAATGACCTCAAGTACGTGCATACGTCTACACGTTTCACATGTCAGGAAATCACTCTCTCTGATTCAGCAAGTACCTGATGAAAAGATTCAACAGGTTATTGAATATTATTCTGCGGAAGCTTGAAACAGAAAGAATCAAAGCAACCTCTGTTCACGTTGCCGTCCTTGCCGCAGCGCCCTTCCATGAGATTGGGCTAAGTGCCCACAGTCGCCCATCCATGAGCACCTGGAGACCGGATGCTTGGTGAGTATATGGAGGCACATGCGTCATTCACCTAGGCCATGAGCAGGGTCTCAGCAAGCAGAAGTCTGCTTTGCAATGATTCTGTGGGCATGATCTGGACCTGATATGACGTTTTCTGTTAAACTGCCAGGGCAAGATTTGATACATACATACATACATACATACATGCATACAGACAGACAGACAGACAGACATACATACATACACACATATCGATTACTCACCAAACCTGCTCCGGGAAGCCTCGCACATGTGAGATCACTACCCAAGAGAAGGTACACCCTTTGAGGATCACAGATGTGAAGATTACTTGGCTCTGCACTTCCGTTTTATTGGTAGTGAAAGGCAACTCCAACAACCTTCTGCAATCATTCTAAGGATTCTCAGGTAGATTAGAATCTGAAGTGGAGCCACTGCCTTCAAGTCATCAATTATGCCTCCCAACCAGAAGCAACCGCATACGTCAATGTGACACTCAGGACAATGGATCTGCAATCAGCTCATGGAGGGCTGATGATGAACCGCCTCCCTTGGCTCATTTCCTGCGCGCTATCGATCAGGCTCAAATGGAGTCACTTCCCAGTGTGAACAAGGATTCAGTGGGTGTGCCGCTCGGCAGTTTTGTCTTAAGCAAGATAGCTAGACGAACGCACAAATGTTTCATTTGTTTTGCCCACAATGCAGCACGTTCTTTTCCTTTTGGCCACCTCCTTGCAGTGCGGATGGAAAGCATGAATGGGTCAAGGTCAAGTCGTTGAACTCCCTAACTTCCTTTCACCCACTGGCCACCCACATCCTCCAACATGGAGCTCATTCGGATCAAATCTTTGCTCCGCTTAACAGCAGTGAGGCAAGAGGCATTGCGATCCTTCCACCGTGCCGAGCAGGTGCAGCAGGCAGCAAGGCTGGAAGAAGAGCGACAGAAGGCTGAACCAAAGGTTGAGTCCTATCCTGCTTTCTTGACGCTCGGTATCTCTTGGTCAAGGTTCATCACGTTGTTGACTTCAAAGCCTCGTACCCTGTGCTCTTCTGACATTTTGCATTTATAACACCCATTCAAAAGCCACGTTAAGTAGCCGTTCCGTTTAGTTGAAAATAGTCACTGTGATGTACAGTATACAAGTAGTTCCTGGGCAAGCCGGGGGCGGAAGTTTCAAATTTGAAACGCTTACAGTATAGCCTATAGAGCGGAACAAAGACTGTGCCTATAGGTGACAGGCAAGCCTCCTGTGCATCGCAGCAAGAAGCTTTTGACTTGTCAATCTGATGCCATGTCTTTCGAATGTTGAATCTTTTCTCATTTCATCTGATCTCATCGCATCGCAGCTTCTCTTGGAAATTGCTCATTGCATCCCTCTGTCACCGCAGTCTGTGTCATCCCATCTCATCTCAACTCATCTCATGTCTTCTGAGTTTTTTCACCTCATCTCATCTCATTCCATCTGATGTCTTCTCTCCAATTCTCAGCTCTTCTCAGCTGATCACAACTGTTCTCATCTCTTCTCATGTCACCTGAGCTTTTCTCATCTCTTCTCATCTCTTTTCATCTCATCTCAGCTTATCTCAGCTTTTTAGGTTTTCGCAGCTCTTCTCAACTCTTCTCAACTCTTCTCAGCTCTCCGCAGCTCATGTAAGCTCATCTTATGTGTTCTCCTCTCTTCTCTCATCTTCTCGCATCTTCTGAGCTCTTCTCACATCTACTCAGCTGAACTCAGCTCTTGTCAGCTCGTCTCACCTCATCTCACCTCTTCTCAGCACACTTTCAAACCATATCACCTTTTCTCTGGCCCAAAACCTGTTCCAAAAACGGATCTCGGCGCCAAAGCAAGCAACCCCTACGCTTTCCACAGAGAAGATTCGACACAGAGAAGCTTTTACGCACAGCAAGCTTTTGCACAGAGAAGCTTGTACATGCAGAAGCTTTTACAAAGAGTTAGGGAAGCTTTTATTCACAGCAAGCTTTTACACAAAGCAAGCGTTTGTACACAGCGAGCTTTACCCAGAAAATCCTTTGCACACGGAAGCTTGTACACAGAAGCCTTTATACAGAGAAGCTTCTACACACAGCAAGCTTTGACACAAAGAAGCTCCTACACAGAAAAGCTTTTACACAGAAGCTTTTACACGAAGAAGCATTTACACAGCTTTTACACACAGAAGCCTTTGCACAGCTTTTACACACAGCGAGCCTTCACGCAGAGAAGCTCCTACACAGAAAAGCTTTCACACAGAGAAGCTTTTACACACAGAAAGCTTTTACACACAGAAGCTTTTACACAAAGAAGCCTTGACACAGCTTTTACACACAGAAGCCTTGACACAGCTTTTACACACAGCAAGCCTTCCACACAGAAAGCTTTTACACAGAGAAGCCCTTACACAGAGAAGCATTTGCACAGAGAAGCTTTTACGCACACAGCACACTTTTACACACAGAAGCTTTCACACATAGCCAGCTTTTTACACAGAGAAGATTTTTCACAGAGAAGCATTTAGAAGCTTTTACACAGAGAAGATTTTACACACAGTAAGCTTTTAAAGTGAGAAAATCTGCTGACAAATCACTATCGCAGCCTTGATGCAGCCACTCCAATAGGATTTACGATGTCCAGCTGCAAAAGACAATATTATTTCGCACGCAGCCGCGGCACCAAGCAACCTTCATGCAGCCATTACAATGCGATCTGCAGAGACTGAGTTGCAAAACACAATAGAACTAGGCGCAATGGTGTCGGAAATTGCAGCTCCAAAACCAGATAGATCTCGACGCCAAAGCAAAAAAAGATGATTTTGAAGCACTTTTGAAAAGGATTTATGAAAGGAAAACCACAAGTGCCAAAATTGAGACAATGTGCTGACAAAAATCACTATCGCAGCCTTGATGCAGCCATTCCAGTACGATTTACAATGTCCAGCTGGAAAAAACAAAAGGATTACGCACGCAGCCGCGGCGCCAAGCAACCTTGACCCAGCCACTACAATGCGAGCTGCAAAGACTGAGTTGCAAAGCACGATAGAACTAGGCGCAACGGCATCAGAAATTACTACTCGACGCCAAAGAAAAAAAAGACGATTTTGAAGCACTTTACAAAAGGATCTTGAAAAGGAAAATCAGCAGCGCCAAAGTTAAGAAAATCTGCTGATGTGCTTCGCGCCACAACCGCGTGCACTTTTTCGACATCGCAACTTCGAAAAGTGATCCGAACATGAGGTGTTTTTAGCATTTTTTAGCTTTTCCTGGCAAACGTGCTTCCCGCCACAACGGCGTGCACTTTTTCGACATTTTAACTTCCAAAAAGTGGTCCAGACCTGGTGTGTTTTGTGCGTTTTGACTTCGAAATGTGCTCCGCGCCACAACGGCTTGCAATTTTTCATCTCTCATCTGCCCAGTGGGCTCCGCACCCGCCGCTTTAGCAAGCCTACTTTTCGACCCGCCGGAGCCACAAATCATTGGAAAAACACAGTGTTTTGCGACTTTCCTACCTTTTTGCGCGCCTGGACCTTCTTTCTTCTGAAACTTTCTTTTTTTGATCTTCTTTCTTCTTCTCTTCTCTTCGCTGACTCTTCCCATCCCTGCTTTTCATCTGTCCATACTGTCGGAAGTTTGATTTCTAAACTTCCTTCGATAATTTGCTATACATTTACGGTTCTTTTAATCAAGCAAAAACCCTTCTGCTCCACAAGTTTCTACACCTGCTTAGGACCATCCAGGCACCTCCTCCAGATTACGTGGAAGAGGTGAGAGAAAGACGCTTGCGCTTGATGGCCCAGGAGAAAGCTCGACGCCAAGCGCGGAAGCTACGCGGCTCCGGCTACGTTCCTTCAGAAGCTCCCAGCTCGACCAACTCGAACTTGACCAGCTCTCAGCTGAGCCACGTGGAACGGGCGAGTGCCAGTGCACCTGGAGCACCTGGAGCACCTGGCGCACCTGGCTCCGAGTATGCCGAGCTGGAGGAAAGGTATGCGCCAACCGGTGACTTCGCTGAACGCGCGGCGGAAGCAGCTTTTGCAGCGCGTGTGGCACGGGTGGCGCGAGAACATCCTGGTGCTGTCGGACAACGTCAATCACACCAACCTGTCAGCCCTCCACGTGAGCGCCTGGGTCGCAACGACGACTTCAGTGGAATCTGGACGGATGATGCAGGCAATGACTACGAGTTGGTGCAGTCGGGCTCAGTGGTGACGGAGCGCAGTCAACAAAGCTGTGGTATGGCCATGCGTAACGAGCTGACGATGTTTGGACGCATCGGGACCTTGGTGGATGACCTGATCCGTTGGTCCGATGGCAGTATCTGGGCACGGCAGCTACCGTCAGGCGCCACAGGCGCCACATCCTCAGGAGCTGACCTGGGATCCCTGGGAGGATTCGCCTGGAAGGCAGCGGCACGGCGCAAGGCGGGGCGCTTGGCTCCGGAATTGGCGGAGCTGTTCAGCCCAGGGCCGGACATCGCATCTGCCGAATGGGAGGACACTGCGGCCCAAGTCGCTGGCACTCGACGCGAAGGAAGAGCAGAGGGATCTGAGCAGCGCCTGTGGTTTGCACCATGGGTGCAGGATGGCAAGCAAGGAATGTGATGAAGAAATGTTACCAACGCAACCAAACAGGCTGCTCCGGGCTCTAAGTGAGTCCAAACACATCACCAAAACTGGACTTGAGATGATTTTGGCTCTCATTGACAAAAGGTATCCCCGTGCCAAGTGTGTGGAGAGGAGGGTTGAAACTGAAGACGCAACAGAACACACATGCCGCCATCCAGTGGTGATATTTTCATAAATATGCTTTCATGCACCCTTGATGCGCATTGAGCTCCATTCCGTCCGCAACAGTCCCTGATCCGAGGCCTTCAAAATGCCATGGAGATGTTGCTGAAAAACATGAGAGAGATCAACACAAATCAAAATGGCCAACACTTTGCCTCTTGGCTACTGACAGTCCACTGACTTGTCAATGTTGCAAGAGGTCTTCCCCGGTTTACCATGCGTGCATGTGCATGCGGGCTGAGATGGCTGAGGTTCTCAAAATGCCGGCCCCCAAATCCGCAGTATCCAAGATCATCGGCACCAAAGGGGGCCATGCCAAAGAGATTGCACAGCGGAGCGGCTGTCGCATCAGTATCTCCAGAAGGATTGAAGGCTGGATGAGCTGGTGATTCCACCAGACATGTGGTAAGGGAACCAACTGTGGACATCTCGGAAGTGACAGCAAGAGTACATGTACCTGGAAGAGACAGGAATGGTGCTTCCAACTTCTAAGGATATGTTTGTTTTGCCACTAAGTTGATGAATCGCGTACTTGTCCTCTCTCCTGCTCAGGCATTCAAGAGCGATTGGTGACCCTGAAGATCGTGCTCCATACTGTGGTAAGTCATGTACCCAGTCAAGTACTCGAGGAGGATGGACTTATTGATGGCCTCATTGAGGCTGCCAAATTGATTGTCGAGATGATGCAATACGACCCTCATCTGCCTGAGCACCTCAGCTGTAATATCGATTGGATCCAGAGCAGTTCTTTCACTCTCTGTTTGTCCTTTCAACTTTGTGTAACACTGGCTTGTTGCGCCAGTGCAAGAGTATATGGAGTGATATGAAACATAACCTATCTATATATATATAATTGAATGGTATTTGTAGATGAATTTCTCTGGACATCAATATCCATCATGTACATTCATTATTGACCCTGCCGCACTCACAGGCACATGCACTTCAGCTATCACGTCGAGTTGCCCTATGGCACTTGGGATTGCAAGACTGGACCAAGCGAGCCCGACACCAAGCCCTTGTCACCAGAGGCATACCGGGCTTATGGATGTTATAAGGGAGGAAGTGGAATGATATTGCTTTTGTTGGCATTCTGCACGTCTGGAAGGCTTGTCCATGTTTCTTTGATACTTTGAAGATCTTTGAAGAGTGGACAGCAATTCAAAGTTTCCTTCCAGGAGGCTAGCCAACTCCCCAAGCGGGCCATTGTGGAAAACTTGCAGAAGGTGCTCCACCTGTCGTTTTCTCTTAAATACCGCCTTCAACCATGCATAATGGGGATTTTGGGTCATCCTGAACTGAAAGAGCAAGACTGATTTGCCCCATTTCGGTTTGCAAAAGCACATCACCGTCCTTTGAGGAAGAAGATTGGGATCATGCACTTGCTGTCACCCTGGGGCACTTACTGCCTGAACCAAAGACGGAAGTAGCTGTCTTGATCCAATTTGGACAGCTCGATGTGAGGCCGCGCCGCGAGAGATCTTGATACAACACCGGCTGCTTGGGAAAATGAAGAAGACTTTGAAGGCAAAGACCCACGAGCAAGTCATGGAGGCCCGGGAAAATTGGGCCGAGTTAACATTTTTTTTGGATTTTTGTGATTTTTGGGGTATCTGCACAGATCAGGAATGTCTGTTTCTCTGTATTGCATCATATGAGCCATTGGAAATACAGTACCCTTCCTGATTGGTAATTAAAGAGGGTTATACTACCTGTTTGATTGCGGATTGTTATAATAGCAACAATAGCTATATCGATACCAAAACCTGGTATTATTTATTTTGGGCCACGAATTATTGGATATCAATATCACCCACGACAATGATGAGGGAATTGATACCTCTTCACAATTTCCACCAAAGCATTGCAGGCGGTGAAACAAGTCTGGCAGACTTGGCAGATGCGGCACCCGGGCGAAGTTTTCCCGGAGCGCCCCGCGGAACGCCCTGCAGAACGCGCCGCGCCAGAGCGCAGCAATACCAAGAGGGAGCGGAGCGCTGCAGATGCGGCAGGTGACACACTCCAGAGTTGTGGCAACAAAACGATATGATATGTCCGTACACACATATACATATATAATATAATATAATATAATGTAATCTAAGAATATAATATAATATAATATAATTTAATCTAATTTAAGAAAATATAATATAATATAATATAATTTAATCTAATTTAAGAAAAAATAATATAATATAACATAATATAATATAATATAATCTAATAATATAATATAATATAATCTAATCTAATATAATATAATATAATTTAAGAATATATTATAATATAATATAAAATAATATAGTAAAATAATAATATAACAATATAATATAATATAATCTAATAATATAATCTAATATAATATAATCTAATCTAATATAATATAATCTAATCTAATATAATATAATATAATCTAATATAATCTAATATAATATAATATAATCTAATCTAATTTAATATATTATAATCTAATAATATAATATAATATAATCTAATAATATAATATAATATAATCTAATATAATATCATATAATCTAATAATATAATATAATATAAGCTAATATAATATAATATAATATAATCTAATATAATATAATATTATATTATATTATATTATATTATATTATATTATATATATACATACATAGTATGCATATTCGTGTTACTCAATTATGGAAATACTTGATACTACAATCATTGCATATGATTATTCGAGTCTATACATGTGTACATATATATAAATATATTTACACGACATATACACATCAAATAATATATATATATATACATGGAGATATAGATATAATGCGTACACATTCATACATACGTTACCTTACGTTGCGTTACGTTACATTACAATGTAGATTCAATTGCATCACATTACAGTATATACATTGCATTACATTACATGATATTACACTACATTACATTACACATATACAAATACATACATATAAATATATATGGTATGAAACAGTGCAAATGGCGAACAAAACAAAAACAGAGGACATTTGGGTGGGGGTTGTAGCACGTATTTAATCACATATGTGTGTATATATATATATATACAAGTAGACCCACATGATTTTGCTCTCCATGCTGATCGATATGCTTGCGAAACTACACATCCGCTTGCCTTTGAATTTTATATTTTCCTGCTGATTGACTTGTACCACAGCTGTTTGGAATTTCGGGACTGTTCTTTTTGAAGCTCTGACAAGACGAGATTTCCAAAATGATGGCCAAGCACTTGTCCATCGACATCATTTCGGATTTTAGTTGAAGAGCTGACTGTGCAGGCATGGCCTTCATCTATCCGGCTGGGCCGCTTCCATTGAGAGGCAGAAAGGACAAATCCTGCACAAACTCTGCTGGTTATGATTCCTCTGAGGGGTAAGCATCATTGTGAAACCATTTCTGGTGGTATGTGATGTCATCAATTGCCTAATCCATCAGACTCAGGATCCTTTCCATGCAACTGAGCCTCACATATGAGTATGGAGCTGGGTGTGACCACATAGATTTCACAACGTGAAACTTAAGTGAAGCTTGAGTCATTGGGGTGGGGCTGGGAGCGCACAGTAGTTTAGGGCTTTCAATTCCATATGATTTTATGACATATTTTGTCAGATAATTTGATAATGATACAATTGCTGTAGTCTGTAGCTGCTTTAACTTGGGCCTTGAAGAGTCGCCTTTGCAGAAGCGTTGGAGGTCAATCTGAGGGTAAGGACGAGGAGAAGAAGCAGGACGAGGCAAACACAGAGGATGTCAAGCGGAGTGTGGAAGTTGGGTCACCATCGGGCTTTGTCAGCTGCATTGTGAAAAGCAAGCAGGTGAGTGGAAGCATCAAATCCAAGGAGCAATAAAGCCTTAGAACTGTTTAAAACCAAAGAATGAATACGAACGGATAATCTTCAACCCAAATTGAGGGCAGGAATGGATGATCTGATGCTGCGCTGAGGGCATGTCAGTAGGTTGACAAACTGGGAGGTCGATGACAGCTCGCAGTCCACCGACACACCATCGCCTTATTATGGCAGTGGAAGCCAGGATGAGGCGGGCAAGGAGGGAGAGAGGAGGGAGAGAGAGGAGGGAGAGAGAAGGGGGAGAGAAGGGGGAGAGAAGGGGGAGAGAAGGGGGAGAAGGGTTGAAAAAGGTTGAGTAGACTCACGAGAACTGTGAAGGTGTTGCCGCGCCTCCTGATTGTAGAGACATATCCACTACTGAAGGAGATCTCTCGGTGTCTTGTCCACCCTAGTGGCCTTTCATGCTTTTGGACTATGCAGGACATCATCCAGTACCCAAGCATTGACAGCAACTTGCAAGGCGGGCACTACTGCTATCTTCAGGTGAGTAGCAGTGAATCCTGCAATGCTCTTGCTTTGATGGAGAGCATGAAAGGACAACAGTGGGTAAACAAGGCAACAACTGAAAAACCAGGTGTCACATGACAGGGGAATGCGGAGAATAGCCCTCCCGAAGCGTCCGTTGGGTTGTTGTTCAGCACATTTCAAAACCTTTATGCGACTGGACCAACTGGAGAAAGAACAATCCTGCGATTGCATTTTCTCCCCCGTCTCTCGATCATTCGATGGCTGTTTGATAGCCCCCCGGTTAGTTCGCCACCTGCCGCTCTGTAGGCATGCTTGATTTCGCGAAGTCGTTTCTGGATCTTGTGCTAGATCAAGCCAAGACAGGATCCAAGGGATCCAAGAAGATTGATTGTGGAAACGACAGCTAGGACCTCAGGTGTGAAGACTGATGAGGGAAGACATGGAAAGACCATGAACAGTGAAGTCAGCACAATTTTTTTTTTTACGAAAGCCAGCTAGCTGGCTAGTTGCTGTTTGCGAACGAAGTGAGAATAGGGGGTGTGGGGGGGGGTGGTTGCCGAAAGGGAACGAAATCTCGCCGTGCCCTTGTGTTGAGCGCCAGAAAACGGAGCATTTTTCTGGATTATGTACCACTAAGTAATTTGCTGACGGTGGGGTATCGATTCCCCCTAGGTCCGCCTTTTTGGTGGCCGGAGAGACCATGAGGATGCATTGGAAAATACAATGAAACTGCAGGAAAACATGATAACGATCAGAGGAAATCGTAAAAAATCCCCTGGAAAACGGACGAAAACGGAGCGAATGCAAGGAACAAACCATGGAAAATCCCTTGGAAAATGGAGGAAACCGGAGCGAATGCTAGGCGCAAACCATGACGATGCAGTAAACATGCTGGAAAAAAAATAGTGAAAGTGCAGGAAAATGTGATAACAACGAGAGGAAATGGTGCAAAAAGGATCGGAAAATGAAGGAGTCAGGTAAAACTCTTGGATTCATATTAATATTGAAAAGGTATGAAAATGCAGGAAACCAGAGGAAATGGTGCAAAAACCTATGGAGGAAAGAGGTGAAAATGATAGGAAACATGTAGTAAGAAAATGCTGGACAAAACATATTGAAAACCCACGAAGAGGATGTATTGGAAAATGCAATGAAACTTGAGGAAAACATGATAACGACCAGAGGAAAATGCTAGGAACAAACCATGCAAAATCTGTTGGAACATGGAGGAAACCGGAGTGACTGCTAGGAACAAACTATGACGATGCAGTAAACATGTTGGAAAAAGACAGTGAAAGTGCAGGAAAATGCGATAACAACCAGAGGAAATGGTGCAAAAACGATCGGAAAAATGAAGGAGACGGGTAAAACTCTTGGAAAAATACATTGAAAATGCAGCAAGCTAGAGGAAATGGTGCAAAAAGGAGACGGGTAAAAATCTTGGAAAAATAGATTAAAAATGCATGAATAGACTGAAAACCCACGAAGAGAATATAGAAACTGCAGGAAAACATGATAACAATCAGAGGAAATCGTGCAAAATCCACTGGAAAATGCTGGAAAGATACAGTGAAGGAAAATGTGACAACAACCTGGCAGGAAAATGTGATAACAACCAGAATAAAGGGTGCAAAATCTGTTGGAACATGGAGGAAACCGGAGCGACTGCTAGGAACAAACGACGATGCAGTAAACATGCTGGAAAAATACAATGAAAGTGCAGGAAAATGCGATAACAACCAGAGGAAATGGTGCAAAAACGATCGGAAACTGAAGGAGACGGGTAAAACTCTTGGAAAAATACATTGAAAATGCATGAGATGCAGGAAACGAGAGGAAATGGTACAAAAAGCCATAGAGGAAAGCGGTGAAAATGGTAGGAAGCATGTAATAAAAAAAACTGGACAAAACACAGTGAAAACTTACAAAAGAGAAGAAAGTAACCACAGGAAACGGTAGAAAAAGCAGTGGAAACTGGAAGAAAAGTTGTGACAATATTAGGAAAGCGGTGTACAAGCTAGGAAATGCTTGTAACAACTAGAGGAAACGATGTAGAAAACAGTACAACATGGAGGACACGCGTGAACATGCTAGGAGGCATGTAGCATGTTAGAAAAATACAGTGAAAACCTAGGAACATGTTATAACTAAAAATGCTTCAAAAATATAGTGAAAACCAAGACAATGTTAACGAGCGGAAACGTTGAGCAGGAAATCCGATTTGGTTTCTGTAGATAATGTTAGATGATGAGCAATGTAGTTTGGTGATAGGAAATAGTGGCTGACTCGCGTACAAGACATTGCCATGAAACCTTGGAGCAAGATGCGGATGGTATAGGAAAAAAGATGTATGAGTTGTAAGATTTTAAGAGTTGCATGGGAAAATTGGTTTCATGGTAATCTGTGTGAAGTTAGAAAAGTGTGATTTCGTTCACAGAGTAAGAAAAATAAATACAATCTGCAGATTAGAGTATTTATAATGCTTAAAGCTGTTTGACGTTTTTTGGTGCCTCCCTGATTCTGGTAGTTTTGTGATAAGAACTACAAAAACGATCTACTGGTAAACGGAAGGAATAGTCTTTCCGGTTTAGAACTGAGTCGACTGTCAAGTGATGCATAGGCTCCAGGCCTCTGGTTATTGTCACAAAGCATTGGAATGAAGATTGCGCCCAGGAGCCACCTAGGTTAGGAGACAAATGCTGTAATATCATTGTAAGAGGCCGTACTGAGAAGGCTGAAACAGAACTAAAAGTGAATCTTGTACTAAAACATCGAGAAAGAATTTGAATCTTCTAATGGCAATGACGGGAATGATATGCATCTGTACGTCCGTGATAGTATGTGTGCCTTTTAAAAGGGATGTTTGGCGAGTGTGATAGCTGAGAAGATTTTCCGGAATGCCAAACAATTATCTCTATCGATGTCAGGGATGATGCTATTCCGCGACATTTCCTGTAAAATACCTATTTTCCAGACCCTTGGGGGGTGGGGGGGGGTACCCAGGTCTGTAAATGGCCTAAATATATATACTTTTGATCTGGACTGCATGTTCGCCACTGTTCTATATTTCCCGTGGGTTTTGCATTGTTTTCCTCGATTTTCATTCGTTCTTATACCCTTTCTTACATATGTTATAATATTGTCTTGGGTTTGCACTGCCCATTTTGCGAGTAGAGCTATGTTTTGATTTCTCACCGTACGGCCAAAATGTTGCGGAACTTCGCGGAGAAGCATGGACCACGATTCTGGGGAGAAAACAATTTAGACTGTGAGAGGTCACATGACCACTGTTCACACAAAAAAGCGGGTATTATTTATCTACAATAGGTGGGAGCAAACTTGCGCTTTTTTAAGATAAATGAGCAACCAAAGGCGGATTTACGGAACTTGAGATAGAATTTTTCACAATGCCGCAGTACATTGTAGGAAACATATTTGGATATAGAAGTTACAAAATCGTGGAGTTTACCCTAAAAAGGTCCATTTAATGATTGGAAAATTATGACCCGATAGCAATTGTTGATGTTGGGGCGCTTCATGTTTGAGCCATGCCATTTGGATGAGGTGGAGTTTCACGCGCCCCCGCGCGAGTCAAAAAGCAAGCGCTGGCTTTCGTTCCACCCCTTCTCAGGTTTTTTTTTCGAAAAAGTCGCCTTTGCAGAAGCGTTGGAGGTCAATCTGAGGGTAAGGACGAGGAGAAGAAGCAGGACGAGGCAAACACAGAGGATGTCAAGCGGAGTGTGGAAGTTGGGTCACCATCGGGCTTTGTCAGCTGCATTGTGAAAAGCAAGCAGGTGAGTGGAAGCATCAAATCAAAGGAGCAATAAAGCCTTAGAACTGTTTAAAACCAAAGAATGAATACGAACGGATAATCTTCAACCCAAATTGAGGGCAGGAATGGATGATCTGATGCTGCGCTGAGGGCATGTCAGTAGGTTGACAAACTGGGAGGTCGATGACAGCTCGCAGTCCACCGACACACCATCGCCTTATTATGGCAGTGGAAGCCAGGATGAGGCGGGCAAGGAGGGAGAGAGGAGGGAGAGAGAGGAGGGAGAGAGAAGGGGGAGAGAAGGGGGAGAGAAGGGGGAGAGAAGGGGGAGAAGGGTTGAAAAAGGTTGAGTAGACTCACGAGAACTGTGAAGGTGTTGCCGCGCCTCCTGATTGTAGAGACATATCCACTACTGAAGGAGATCTCTCGGTGTCTTGTCCACCCTAGTGGCCTTTCATGCTTTTGGACTATGCAGGACATCATCCAGTACCCAAGCATTGACAGCAACTTGCAAGGCGGGCACTACTGCTATCTTCAGGTGAGTAGCAGTGAATCCTGCAATGCTCTTGCTTTGATGGAGAGCATGAAAGGACAACAGTGGGTAAACAAGGCAACAACTGAAAAACGAGGTGTCACATGACAGGGGAATGCGGAGAATAGCCCTCCCGAAGCGTCCGTTGGGTTGTTGTTCAGCACATTTCAAAACCTTTATGCGACTGGACCAACTGGAGAAAGAACAATCCTGCGATTGCATTTTCTCCCCCGTCTCTCGATCATTCGATGGCTGTTTGATAGCCCCCCGGTTAGTTCGCCACCTGCCGCTCTGTAGGCATGCTTGATTTCGCGAAGTCGTTTCTGGATCTTGTGCTAGATCAAGCCAAGACAGGATCCAAGGGATCCAAGAAGATTGATTGTGGAAACGACAGCTAGGACCTCAGGTGTGAAGACTGATGAGGGAAGACATGGAAAGACCATGAACAGTGAAGTCAGCACAATGAAGAGAAAAAGATGTGGGACTGTGAGACATAGGCGATGGACCGATGGACTGTGTTTTTCGCTTTCTTAGGCTTTCTTGCAACAGGCTTCATGAAGCTCATGAAGGCGAGTGCCGCGTGGACCATGCTGATTGGGGCATTGTATCACAGTGCGCATGTTTTGCCGTGCAATCTTCGCTGACAATTTAACATGCCTACAATATGCCGTTATTTTTTCGGGATAAACATCCATTTGCCAGCCAATTCGGTGTGCACCAAAGTACCAGAGTTTTGATCCATGACCATTATCACCAATGATAATCTGTACAGTCAGTACAAATAGAATTGCATTGGTTCTTAGTGGTTCTTGGTGGTTCTTGGTGGTTCTTGGTGGTTCTTGCATGTTCTTGTGATCTTTTTGAAGTCGCAGCGTTGTCGCCAGGAGGTAATGAACGCCGACGAGGAGGACAGACCGAAAATGATGCAGAAACTGCTGAATGACGTGAATCCGAGGCACTGCTGGGAAACTGCAGAAACCATCAGAAACCTTGAGTAGGTCCTATATATTGCAATACAATGGTAGTCTATGGTATCCTTCTCAACTGTCAAGTTAATAGTTTCACCGTTTCACCATTTCACCATTTTTTTGGTTATGTTTTGATTATATCATGGAATTATATGGAATTATATGGAATTGGGTTCTAAGACTTGATCAAAGCATCTTCGTTTGCAGTGATATTGCCTGGCCATCCATCACACAGCATGCAGCAAAGGAGCATTGTGTGATTGCGCATCGTTCTTCATTCCTCCTACTTTTGAAGGTGGTCTCGATTTGACAGTATTAGCTTTCTTAAACTGTGTGCTTGGTGTGCAGGTACTTGAACGGCGTGCACTACACTGAACAATCCTGAGAGCGGCTGGCGCAACAACAAGGGGAAATGATCCGGGGTACCGCTGCACACTGAAAGCCAGGGTGTGTTTTGCAGTGAACATGGGGCAAGGGGCCTCTGAATTCACGGAACTTGAACTTGTGCTGGGAAGGACCTGGTGCAGCGTGTCCTGGTGCCAGTAGTTAATGTTTGGCTCCCATGTTCGGAAGATACGTGTGACACACAAGTGCATCTTCCAGGTTGAACAGCTGCCCAAGATGTGGGAACATGTCGCTGAAGAGTCCACACTGATATGAACACTGCCCAGTGATTTGACAGATTTGACAGGCAGCTCGAAGCAGTTTCAAAGCTTTGGTCGAATTGCCACCAGTTTCCTTTCGTGGTGGCTTCGCAATGGCCAATCCTTGCTCCGCACGATTTCCCAAATCCGGCAACTATTCACTTTATACACTTCCTTTGTCTACACCAAGCTACATAAGCTACCTTCCGAACAGACAACACCCCACAAACCAACCCACGTGGATTTTCTTTTGGGGATTTTTGGGAAAGTTTTACACCCAGGCTTTTGCTTGACGTGATGTTTGGGCATGGAACACTGAAAGTACTCCTCCTGCAGAGCATCACCTGGTCCGTTACCCAGCACTTCCGTATTGATTCTACTTCCCTGTATAAATTCTCTGAGATCTTTTGTGTAGATTCTTTTGAAAATTCAATTTTCAGAGGGCTTAAGAAGGCTTCTCTCGAGAGGCTCATCAGTCAACGGCCAAGGAACAATGACAGGTGGGAGGACAGGTGGGAAGACATGCGCCCACAGCAGCTGGGGAAAGTGTCAAAAACATCTTCCGACGGTTCGTGGACTTGCGGAGATGCCAGGGCCGGGAAGGTTTTCAACACGAGGCAAAAGCTTGAGTGAACATCATCAGTATCATCAGTTTTTCCGCTTGATTATCGCTCAGAGGAGCTTGCAGATATTTTGTGAAAGTCATTCCTGCAGATGTTCCCAGTGTCCCTGGACTCCATCGGAGAATCCATGACTTTTTGCTAACTGCTAACTCTTCAACCCCTCCTGTTGCGCGACTGACGGCGGTCGTAGCAACGATGAGGGAGCTGCAACGCCAGCATCCAAATCTTGGTTCCCTGCGGGGCGCATAGCACCACTCCCTGTGGCTCGCAGACGGATGTTGATCCTGCGGTTGATGTGCAAAGGTCACCAGGGCAGCTTGTTGTTTTGGTTGTCGTCTTCCATTTTGTCATTTGTGAGGTACATGGGGTAGATCGACAATTCGGCTACTTGCCATTCGGTGTGGTGAATTAAGCCGAAGATCCACCGGGAATCTACTGTAACAGAGCTATTTGAAAAAATCAAAGTGCAAGCTGCTGTTCAAAGCTTTGAAAAGCTCGATACGATATCATGAATGCAATTGAAGGTGAGATTCCCCTGAAATAATGCACGCAATGGTGGGGCGAATACAGTGAATTCCTCTCACTCGGGGACCCGGCTGTTGTGATGGACAGTCCATCGAACACAGCACACTTTCGGCGTGTGGCTTCTGATCGGTGGAGCGGGAAGTCGAAGCGCCCAAAGGATTCCGAAGGTGTATCAAGACGACAAGCACTAACTGTCTCAGATTTTATAGATTCTATATTATACATCTAATAATATTATATATATAAATATAATAGAGTAGATCAATTTTGGATCCGAAGCTCCAGTCGTTTCAGCAGCCCCTCTGCTGGACTCCATCGAAACCATTGATCTGAATCGGGACTGAAAAGGTTGAGTCCTGTCAAGGTTTGGCCTATTACGGTCAAGGCCAATTGACAGAGTCCTCACAGATTACTGTGCGGACACTGACCTGTCGGTCCATAAATGGTTGATGTTTGCTGGAGGTGCGGCAAGATTGTTTGAATTGCCCCATCTTTGGAACGTTGTGGAAGCTCCCGCATCGACAGTGCAAATCCCCCCCAAAAGAGGAGTCATCGTGATGGTAGCAAGGTCGCAGTGTATGGTCCAAGAGCCTGTACGTATTTCATCGTATTTCTATTGAAGGCAGCTACTTGTTGTGCTCCACCATGGACCACCAGTGCCATCCATGGGAGCAGTTTATGGTGTGATTTGGAGGGAACAGCACCAAGGAGCCAACAACGTTCACGGGTCAGCAGTCCACTGCTTGTGGTGAGCTTCATTTCCTGCACCAGGTGTAGGGACAGATGAAATGTCTCAGGAGCATATGATTCATATGATCAGTGATGGGAATAGGCAGTAGGCACCCTCCTCATGACCAGGTTCCACCACCCGTGCTGAGCGGTGCTTCTGTGGAGTTTTGCAGCCTCGAATGCAGCAACGAACTGAAAGAACTGAAAGGATTGAACCCTGCACAGTTTGGTTGGGCCTGGAAGGTGCTACAGGTTTGGCAAATTCAAGTGAGCAATCCTGCAAGAAGTCAGCGTAGATGGTGGAAGTTTCGTGTGGAATATATGGGTGTTGTTTGCCAGGCCGACCTCGACAAAGCTTGCAATATATGGAAAGTTCAATTCTAGCGATTCAAGACATTTCAAAACCAAGACTTGACTATATCTTGTGTCATTCAAAACCACCATGTGTCATTCAAAACCAAGTCAAATCCTCTCTGTAATCTTGACATATTTTGACTATATTCTCCATTTTGCCATTGCTGCCTCAGTTCTGGGCCCAAACTCTGCGTTCCAGGCTGTGAATTTCTCTCAGAAGCGTCACATGCAGTCCTTACTCGTTGAACATCAGTGCCAAAAAGGATAACGCTGGGGAACAGCACGAGATTGCAAGTCCGCGCTACAGATCTTGTCACGTGTCCATCAAACTTTTTACGTTTGAACTGAGAATCCAATCAGAATCCCGTTCAACTATGTTTAGGCGTGTAATCTTTAATGAATAATGACTATAGAAGCACAAGGTTGGTTGCACGAATCCCCACTGTTATCCTGCTGAGCAGTGCGTTAGAGAGTGTTGCTGTGGTTTTTACGGCAGCACGCACCGCACTTCCATCTTTTTTACTACTGTTGGAGAGCCGAGGCAAACGGTTGCGATATCGGGATCTTTTTTCAAGGACTTCCTCGATACCTAAGATATATTCTTATCTCAGAAAATTACATCACAGGAACTTTCTGATGATACAATAATATTGCTAATATTACCCAATAATTGCAATATAATCACCCAATCAATATCAATCAATATCAATCAATATCAATCAATATCAATCAATATCAATCAATCATATTACATCATATTACATACTCAATATATTAATTTAGATCCCAATGATCCATGATGATCCATGATGATCCGGGCCTGGCCTTGGCTCACTCCGTCACTCATCAGACAGGGGAGAAACGTATCACAACGGCGATCCAAGATGTGGTCTCAGAATCTCAGACTGATCGACAAAGGTATTCTTCCAACTGCAAGATACCCTTTTCTTGTAGCAAAGGTAAGGTAAGTAAACATACAAAACATGTTCAGAGCATGTGAGGGCTCTCATTCTCATCGCTTAACCTGACCATTCTTATGGCCTCTGCGCTTCAAACTCCTTACCCGCCGTTTCCCAACTCCAACATGAAACCTGTGACTGAACATGTTACAGGCATTTACAGGCTTTCTTTTTTTTTGAGACACATCTTGGCAGCACCGGCTTTGTGAGACGCTTCACCACTTCGAATGGGAAGGGACGGCAGCGCTTGCCCGGAGTTGGATCCCTAATCGGAGTACAATGGAAGCGTATGGAAGGACTGCCATTAGGCAATGATCACCCCGGGAAATTGAGCCCCCCTTCCTTCACGTCTTCGTTGAAGAGATTTTGCCTACGCGGAGGAGAAAAAAAAATCGCCGCGCCGCCACGTATGATTCATTCGTTTGGTGGCCGATCTTCGAAATCCCCACGGCCCTAAGATAAATCAAGGCACTGTGAGTCACAAGAGGCAAACTCTGGCAGGAAAAGAATGGAAATGAATGGAACAGACGGAGATAGAAATCCGCTCCAAGTGATGGAACCTCATGGAATCCTTCCCAGTGAGGTTCAGCCGCAACCACCCCGTGCTCTCCATGGCCGCCAGCGCCAGCGGCACCAAGAACTTTGGCGCAGCGGCTTTTTGAAAGTTGGGGGCCTCGGGTTTTGGAGTATTCATTTTCATAGATGGGAATCATTGGCATGCTGCAGGGCCACCAGGAGAACCTAACCCCAAATCTGCTTTCTTGCAAGAGGAGAAACACAGAAGGCATGCTAGAAAGAAAAAATAAGAACACGTTTCAGAACCCAACATGTGCATACATATACCCTGATCAACAACAGACTCAGCATGCTTGACAAGCAGATGAAGTGCGTGGCTTATTTCTGAGTACCAGAGCTTTTTGGGGCCCTGACTTGTGCAGCATGATGCAGGTGCTCTTCAAGAGAGCGATGGCTTTGCCACACCGTACAGTGCCCAAAATGGATAGCAGAAAGGGGGAATGCACATCACAACTGCAGAAACTTGCATATTTAGACGAATATTCTGACTGCTTCGGAATCCTCTTCAAGCAGAAAAACACCCTAATGCCAAAATACTGTCAGTCTGTTCACCATACTTAAACTGTCCAACTTGATCTCTGGATTGGAAAGCAACTCGATCTTGTGGTCTGCAAGTGCCAAAAGGTCCAGCCAGAAAGCACGGCCCAAAGGCTTGGTGGATGCTGTTATATATCCTTTTGCTTTTTGGATTTGGTGGCGAATTGCCAAGTCTACCATCGTGCGAAAAAATGATTGGTCAGTTGACCTATAGGTCTAGGTGAAAAAGAATATATAAGGCTCTCAGGCTTGCAGGTCGCTTCAGCTTTGCTGGTACGACGGAAAGGAAACCCTATAATACTGAGCTTGTTGCGTTAGAAACTTTAACATCATTTTTGGAACCCATGAATGAGACTGTCTTCATGCCCCCCGATTTCCTCATCTGGATTTAACAGCCTGCCGGTTTGCACATTGCCCGGTCAACTTGGTAGGTGAGGCCCTGTCGAAGCTGGAAGAGAGTTTGTAGGGCAGCCCAGTACATGTTCCGCCAAAGTTGTAGATCCTTTTGATCCTTTTGATTGGTTTGGAATTCATCCAGCGAGTCACGCAGCTTCAGCATAGGGGCCAGATGGAGCTACTAAAGGAGCTGTCTCAGCTTCTGTTTCAGTGCAAAAGAACTTGTTCTTGAGTTCTATTCATTCCAATTCATTCAACATAACGACATGCAAGATTATACTATGCACATACATGTAGGAGTGTTGTTGTTATGTTGGCCTACTCTAATCCGTGATCAATCCTTTCAAAGGATGGATGGGAAATCACGTGTCACTTCAAGCGACTGACAGCGCAACACGGCGCAAGACAGTAATTCTGCTGGTAGCAGAGCTCAGGTTATCCTTGCAAGGGGAGGCCTTGGGTGGATGGATGTGTCCGGATGTGTCCGGATGTGTCTGGATGTGTCCAGGAGTTCAGGATCTTTGGGATCACATCCTCTGTTTCCAATCTCCTTGACATTCTCTGACATTCTCTGACTTTCTCTGCTCTGATCATCTTGAATCATCTTGTGGAATTGGGGTGCCTCAGTGTGCCTCGTCTGAGGTGTGAACGCCCGTGGAAGTGTCGCACATGTCTTGCAACTTGCCACCCTGAATTGCTGGCTCAGCAGTCCGGACAGGACACACAGCATTTGCAGAAAACAGCCGTTTCAGATCGAGTGAATGTGAATGTATCATAAGCATTCATGAACTATGTATGACAATAGTATATAGAATATTATACAGATGAATATATGAGACAGTTTGACGAAAGATTCAAATCCATGTATATATATATAGATGCAAGGACGCTGCAACTGTCTGCAACTATCTGCAACTGTGAGCTCCGTTTTTTTCTCAGTTGTTTTGAGACCCAGTTACAAGTCGCATTGCTCGTTGCCAGTGGCAAAGCACAAGAAGCTGCACCGTGTGATGTGAATGTTTGGCCATGGTAGTAAATGGTCATACTAGCGCCGAGATCCAGGTGAGATCCACATGAGTCTGAGCCAGAAAGGAAATGAATTGGAAATGATGGGAAGATGTACCAGAATTGTAACATCTTGTAAGTTTTTTTTGGTTGATTCCCATCTCCAAGGAATCCACAAGGCATCGGACATTTTTGTATGAATATAGTCATAGAGGGTAAATGATGGTAATGATTGCAATTGAGCAAGACCTAAGTTTCCTATCTTCGAGACTGGACTGTTTCACCAACCTGAGAACACTCTGTGGATTACCTTGGGGAGGCCAATTATCCGCCAGCTTCTATTTTGATCAGCTCAGCCTTGCTCTTTTGGGCTCCTTGGCAAAGCTAGCATAAGCTGCCATGTAAATTAGAAGGGACTGATTTAGGTGAACAATCATTTGGCTAGGCTATTTCTGAAGACTGGAGACGCCAATGATCTACCAACATGAGCTGTTGAGTATGGGAAGCCACCGGTGGGTACCGGGTACCTACAATTCTGTGCCACAGTCATTCAAACAAATGGGACCTTATTGCCAACAGCACCAATATGTGGAATTCCGTAAGATAATCCTTCGGGAAGAATTCAAGGCCCTTCATGAGCTCTATGGCAGTGTGCAAACAAACTAAATATAGCAGTTTTGATCAACTTAGCCAAAATAGCTGTCACAAATCCTACAACAAGTTGGATTTGGACACTACTGTCATCCTGTTGTGCTGCAGCCCTGTCCTTATTCTTCGTTCCAAGCGCCGTTTTTTGTTGACCCCTAAAGCTTGGCAGCTTTGCACCGCTGAGTTGGCGTATTATGTGGACGTGTCTTGGTTTCGGCCATGGATCAGCCACCTGGCAGCGATATGTGGGTCAGTGGAAACAGACCCAAACATTGACAAAAGGGTTGCCAAGTTCAATGGTAAACCAAACATGTTACCTAACATAAACCAACCATATCCTGGCAGTTAGACTGCCTAGTCAGGGATACCGGGGAGGGATTCGTCGCTGTCAAGGACAGCATGAAGACAATGTCCGCGTCATCGTCAGTAGCCTGTGGTATGCCATTTTCAACTTGCTCTTTGTGGTGGGCCCTGTGTCACAGTCCTCAGTTGGGGGCGAGGATTGGAACTGGGTGAGGGGATGAGAAGCAAATCGCTCTATTTTTTTCAATGCAGGAATTGCAGTTCTGTGGTCAGACTCTGTGTCCATGGGAACAGGTGATGACATGTGCAAGTACTCTAATCTCTAATCATCTAATCACAGAGTTCCGCTGTCTGAGGAAGTTCATCTTCGACAACGGCGGATCCTTGCGTGAGCTTGCGGTGTGGCCGTCGGATGTGGGAGATTTCGGGTACCAAATGCACCTCGGCTTCATGAAGCTCTGGACTGCTGTCTTGGATATGCAATGGACGTGCCATCCCAAGGCAGGTGATGGCAGGTGATGTTACTGAAAAGCAAACACCAGTTCTCTCAATCAAGTGAATGGTCATCAAGTTGTTTCAACACAGCCAAGCTTTCCAACTGGTGATGCTTGAGCTTCTCCGTTGTGTTTTCTGGAACTCGCTTGCCATCTCCTTTGAGGATCATGGCCTGGGTCTTCTTGTCGCGGCTGGTGAAAGTGGCGCCAACTACCACCAGTGATGCGGCGGAGAGGCGTGAAGATGCCCTGCATTCCGATAGTCCCGAAGTGAGTTCTTTCCCGTTCTTTCCCTCCGAGTCCTGCAATGTGTTGCCCTTTGTTACTTCTGTTTGGAGTAAAGTTTGGAACTGTGCTTTTGAAGCAATTTCAGGAGCCGCGCATTTATTCAGATCGCTTGGAACTCTTCAACTTTGTGGAAGTGGTTCTTTGTGCGTCCCGGCTGCCGCTGTAACAAACTCTGCTTGTGTTATTCCTGGTGGGCCAACGCAAGGACAGAGACAGTCTCCGGAAACACTCCGTGCAGTTCAAAGTAATCACTTTGAACTGGAGTTGCCAAGCAACCACAGACACTTTCAGAGGCCAGTCCTATTGGTATATGTGGGATTACTGTGGGGAGATTGGGAAGGACCTATATTGTAACGACAAAGACACCAAACTTCCCCAAACTCGCCACCCTGAGGTATTGTTGGGTGCAGCAGACCACGGCCAATAGGGCCAGGCAGGTGGTGGCTTACCCTGCGACTCCGCCAATGATGAGGGAGAGATGACAGTTTTTGTGGAGGTAATTACCAGAGGCAGCGATCATAAATTAAGTATAAAACATGATCAAACCTACGGTCGCTCAGATTACCAGATTGAACTTTGTTTTTTTTCATGGGTTTTGTCAGATGACAGTGCAGTGATTTCATCCCTGGAACTCTCGGCTTCCCTGCGCTGTGCTGAGGTGAGCTGTCTGTTTTTCACCCTCTTCCATGTGCCTTGGCGATCGTGGTTGGGACTCGGGACCTTGGCGATCGCGGAAAGAGTTTTCCGGCGCTGAGGTCGGCACACAAGATGCGGAATATTTGAAGCGTGCATGGCTCCTGGGACTCCTTGTTCAGCAGCGGCCAGGGTATGTAGGCTCATGTAGGCTCCAAAGGTCCTGACCCACATGGGGGTTGAATGGTTTGGGTCTGTTGTGTGGGTCATTTGGCCGGACCGAGCTGGCGAAGTTTTTTTCTACATTTTTTCTTCTGAGGTTTGCCAATACCTTCTTGGCTTTGCCGTTCGCTTTCTTTGGTCTCTTTGCCATCTGGCCCCTGGCGGCCGGTGCGGCCGGAGCTGTGGGAACCTATACCAGCCAACGATGCGTGGTGTGCGATGAAAGCTGGGGGAGCAAGTGGCTAAAGGGCTACAATACGCAGGTGTTTCTCAAACACCCAGACCCGACATGTTGTCCTAACAGCAGAATAGCGGGAAGTTGATCATTTGCCAGCTGAAGACCAGCTCGTGGTCAGGACTTGAGACCGTCCTAGATCAATCCCACCTTTGGGGTATCTAATTCTGCTGCAAGTGCGATTACCAGTTCATCATTGCATGCACGTGCAACCGGTCTAAGTGTGGCAAAAATTGCCGAAGAGCACCCAAACCACTGAATGGCAAAGTAGGTCTTAGTATATATATAGGTACGCAGCAGATCATCAAAAACCCTTTTATGCATCGCTGCACGTAGAGGTGTTTGACTTGTCAATCATGTAGCTTCCAAATCTGATGACAGTGTTCTTAAGTGCATTGCCCCAAAGAGTCAGGTGTGACGCGAGGCCCCCCGAGGCCCCCTGCGACCCGAGGATTCTTCACTCTGGGGGATGTGGCTGCACAGCTGGCAGGTGACTTTTGGGAGTTCTGGGCAAACTCCAAGCGGTACTTCTGTTCCACGCGCCACTGTCCACCTCTGTTGATTTTTGTAGACATCCAGGGCAAACGAAAGACAATGTTTGGGATGCGACGGTTTCTTTCCCACAGCGGGCTACCCCACAACCACATTGAATTGCACAAACACATACAAACACTATGAAAAAGCTCTGGTGTCTGCAAGGCTTGGCCATCGCTTTGACCATTGGTTGGTGTCTGTGAAATGGCCAATTCACTGCACTGCGAGCCTGCTGTGACGGGATTCGTTCGCACTTCGGAGGTGGGTCCATTTTGTTGAGGAGAGACGGGGCAGTTGTTCTGCTCCAAGCGCCAGACATATGGCTATCTTCAAATCTTGGAAGCTCCTTGGGCAAGTGAGAGAGACAACAGATTGCGCAAGAGCTTGAATCTTGCGCAAGATGTCGAATTGATTCAATTTGTGTCAATACCTCAACCTTACAGAGCCCATCTCCAAGTCTCACTGGGACAAGACTGCACGCTCTCTGTGCGAGATTTGAAACCCAGCGAGTCATAGGAGTGTGACTACAACTCGACATGCTTGGGCAACTTCAGAATTCTTGAGATTCAGCAAGCAGTTTTTTCTAGTTCCGGAACGGATAAGGCTTGAACCTACAGCATCCGTTCCGGAACTCCTCGTGAGCCAAATCAGAAGTTAATTTTCCTAATGAGGAATGAGGAGAATAGAGCACCGTAGAGCACAGTAGAACATCATTTTGCAAACATGAACTTACCAAGCCCAACATTGAACACAAATGGCTGTCCAAGCCATACTATATCACTCTGTATTCACTCCATGGCAGCACATCTTCACGGAGTGTTCTAGTGGGTTTCATTGACCGCGCAGACAAGTGTGCCTCTATGAACTTGCCTGACCACAGGGGCAGTTCGGCTGCCACCTGTTGCGAATGCATCTGAAAGTACGAGCTCTCACAAGTTGTATAAGTCCAATGCATGGACTCATGGAACGTGATGCTAGGCCAATTCCAATTTGCCCTAAGGTCTACCAGCCTGAATGTCCGAAACACTTCAAACAACTTGGACAAAGTCCACATCTCACCTCGTCTGGAATTCCTTCACTAATAACATTTCTCTGGTGAGACCACATTGGTAGGCGGGCATGTGGACCCAAGTGTCAAAGCAGGGTGTGACTGTGACTTGCTTGCTACCTGGAACCAAAACAGCATCAGTATATAGTTCTAAGGGGGTCAACTGTCCAGCAAAGAGTCTAAAAGAGTCTAAACGTTCTAACATGTTCCAAGTTCTAACCTTCAGATTCACACCATGGATCTTGCCTGGCTATGGGTGCTCTGACTTTCCCGTTTTTCTTTTGTGAATCGGTTGTTACAGGGTTCTGAGCCTAGGGTTAGTTGATTTTATATAGTTGAGACGACATGGCGGAGGCCAGAATATTCAATCTTCAGGCAAAGATAGCTTGTCCAAAATCCATCAGACATGTATGAGTGTTGGTTATGGAGTTGTTTGGCGCAGCCTCCTCCTTTCATCGGACCGAACCCTCGGACAGCTGTCCACTAGTTCCAGGGTCATCCAAGGCTCGGATGCCTTGCCTTGGCCTTGGGCAGCGGCAGCTTGGTCCTGGGGCATCGCCACAAACGTTTTAAGACTCCCTGTAAGTTGGCACGTGAGGGGCCGCGGTTCTTGCCTGCTATGCCATTCTATAAGCGGCTGGCGCAAATTCCCCAGTGAAGCAAAGATGGATATATATATATACACATATATATATATATACACGTACATATATATATATGCAGATAATGGTGAATGTGAGGAGAATGTGAATGTTGAAAACGAAGAGCATGTTCCATTTTGACAAGATGTGATGCCTCTTTGATCGAACTTTGCTCGAAAGTTGAGAGGCTGGGAGAGCGCGCAGGAATTTCGCTAGGAACTGCTGGGTCTCCACTTGAATGAGCAAACCAACAGGAGGACCAAACGTGTAGAAACTTTTATAGAAAAGATGCCTGCCGTTGGAGAGAAATGGATGGGGTCAGCTGATGGGGACAGCTTACGACATAGATTACATTTATCCGTGGGCCCAGCCTAGGACCTAGAGTGCTTTTGTTGGTGGTCAGTGCTGTTTTGGGTCTTGGCTAACACTTTACCTGCAATTTCACCATGAATCTGTGTTGCTATCTATCCCTCCTAAACCATCCACAACGGGTTATGCGCAGCCCACAATGGGTTTGGACTCTGTTGGTGTCCGTCAGTCCATTTGTCATTCAGCGAAAATCCATATATACTGGCAAAAATCCCGCACGACCTAGGATTCATAGGATGCCGGCATATGCAGGCATGATTGGATATCTATGAATTATGACAGCAACAGTAAACTCCTGTTGGATCCATGGCCGTGCCACCTGGGAGGTTTCCTCAGTAAAGCTGGCCATGGGAGCTGCAGGCCTGGCATGGTGTTCGTTCGCAAAGGCATCAGACAAGTCTACAGGGTCTTACAGTCTACGCATGTCTGTAGAAGATTCTACATTTATGATTTATGAATTATGATATTTATGTCATGCTATGCTGAACCCTCGAACAGAAGAAGCCGACGGCAGAGGGCTTTGCAAAGGATTAGTGTTTGAAATTCTCCTCTGTGTCTACAGAGGACCTTCACCAAATATGGAGAATTGCAGCATGGAAGTTGGGTTTCACAATTTGCAAAGACCAGAGGTCCTATTTTCCACCTTAGGACCCGGACTGACGTTTGTGCTCGTACGGGTTTCCTCCAAAGATCGCCCGCACCCCAGGTCCCAGCGGCCAGCGGTGGAGTCGGGGCCGGCGCCGAGGCTTGGCATCTCACAACAATCATCACACGAAGGAAGCGTCCACGTTGTTTCACGCGTTGAAATGCGCTCGAAGTAGATTTGATAGATTTGGGAGATCTTTCTACTTGGAGGTGGTTTTCATTTTTTGAAACCTGGCAGGTTTGGTCCCATCCAGCCCTCCAGAAGGCTTTGGAGTGGGGTCCATGCAAATGAGTGCGCGAGCAAATTGCCATGTAACTACTGTGGAAAACGCTTTCGTTTTGAGCGTGGTGAAGGTTCCTCAACAAAAGCATACTCTGCTACCTGCTACCGGGTTCCGGCTACGGCTTCGATTCTCTCACTGACTGCAGAGGCCTCCAGTTCGACCCTCGACTGCGGCCGCTGGGCGCAGGGCCAAGCTGCGGCCGCGATGATGCCACAGAGCCACGATGGTTGCGCGGGTTACCGCAGAGTACGCAGGCCTGGAGGGCGATTGGAAGGGATTGGAAAAAGGAAGCTATCATTGGATACTCATTGGATCATTTATTGAATCATTTTGGATATTGGCTGCTGTTCAATCTTGGATCATTCAGTGGTGATGACGATGCAAAGGGCTACTAGTACAGTATCAGTCAGTATCAGTTGTCTTGTGAATATAGATCAGGAATTATTGGTTGGCTGGTTCGGATAACCAGTCCCACGGGTCCTTCGCCACTGGTGCTGCCACGATGTGACGATCCGCCACAGGGCCGCCTCAGTGCATGTAGCAATGGAGCGGAAGCCATGAAGGTCTTGGAGGAGGTGTGGCAAATGATTGGCCAACTGGTGGAAAATGGGTGACTTCTCCATTTCACCAAATTTCGTACCTAGACTCATTAGCCTACAAACGTGGGGAAATTGCAACAGAAGACCAAGGAATCCGATTTGTGTTGGATGAATCATGCAAGTAAACTTCCTGGGTTCTCTTGTCAATTTGTCTTTCAGGTCGTCAGCTTAGGCACGTTGCAGGAGAGGGACGGGGAAAGTGGTCAGTCTAGGGAAGGTCCAACCATTTCAGGAGTTTCTTGGAGGAAATCATGACTCTTGAGGGTTTATGAAGCAGTTTGTGTCAGCAGCTTTCAGATGTTGGGGGTAAGGATCCAATCTAAAGCCACTTGAGCAGAAAAAGGAGTGACTGATTCTAGCCCCAAAGTTATAATTGGAAGCTGTGCCTCTGTGGTTGGAATATCCAGCTTGACAGATCTTGGTATGAAAGCCCCATCGTCCACAAAACAGCAAGTGAAACATAGCGCAATTCGGTGCAACACTGTGCAACATCACACAAAGTCTTTGCATCTGACGGCTGTCAATTATTGCTGCCTTTGTGAGGAGGCCGTCCATCCCGACGAGGCTAGCGGCAAGGAAGCATCAATTTTTGCCAATTGCTTTATGGCTAGCGCAGTACGCCGTTGAAGTGTGAAGAGCCATGTTATGACGAACTCCAGACAAACTCAATGACAAGGACCTTCCAAGGTCCCATGTGGTTTTCACCTATACCTTATGACTCTGTGAACATCCCAACTCTACAGACTGTGCCTCCGCCCTCGTTTGGAGGCATCTTATGAAGATGTAGCCGCTGCGCTGGCACTTTTGCAGCAGGTTCCAGTTGCGGCAGCTGCGGCAGCTGGAGAGTTGCTGACGGAAAACACTCTTGACATCTGTCGTATGTTTGTTACCGATGGAAGCTTTGACGATAGCACAACGTGATGTAGAATGTAGAAACAGATTTTGTCTGATATCCATGGAGGCTGTCTTCAAGAGAAGCCGCCTCGTCTAGGATGCACAATCAACTACATCATTAGATTTAGGCTCATCTCGCATCCAACCAGACAGGCCCAACCTCTAACCTTCGCGCACTATTTTCCATGCTCTCTGACTCTGCGCATCTTGTACTCAACTCATGCAAGCAATGGAGGATAATGAATATAATGATGGTTTTCACATATTTTCAAAAATAATTGTGCTGTAGTATGTGAGTGATGTGATCCGCTGGAAGGTCTTCCCCCCCTCCAGCCTTCCTCACCTGCTGTGGCAGGCCAAAGACAAAGTGGCACGACTAGAGGCCAGGACGGGCCGAACATGGTCGAACCCGTGCAAGACATACAAGACCATCAGGATCCATCAGGATTCTGCAGATTCCCCAAAGTTGTGTCAAGTGTGTCAAATCGGGCCGTGTCACAAACGAGGTTTCCTGGTAGATTGCATGATTCAGAAATTGAGATGCGCAAAGATTTTGCCATTTCAGCTGTGATGCATGACTTGTAAAGCACAACTGTCACGATCGATCCTGTTTGCAGCTTTCATGTCCAGTTTGAACATTTTTATTGCTTTTTCGTTTGCCTTGTTCGTTTGCCATTGGACATCATTGGGACATCATTGGACCAAGGCCTTATGCGAGGAACGACGAAGGCAGCATGCTGCAGAGGCTGCCGAGCTCCGGAAGCGCCTTGAGAAGGCACGGCGGCGCAGCTTGCGGCAGCTGCTGTTGAGACTCGCCGGGGCCTCTATGTGTTGCTGGGACCGAACTTTGTGCTTTGGCCCCTGAAAAAGGTATAGGTTGAGTTTTCCTTTTGTCGGATTTGCTTCTCAGAACCCGCCAGACTTTGTATATGGATCTTCTGTTGTTTGAAATCTACGTATGTGTATGTGAAGATGTCCTATCAGCCGTTCTGGTGGGCATCTCATTCGAAATCTGCCAAGGCCCCCCCTGGCTCCGCCTTTGCGCGAAAACCAGCACCAGGTTCACTTGGGCGATGCCAGTGTTGCGGAAGCAGCAGATTTGTGGACTAAGCCCTCACTTTAGAAAACGGGTCAGGTAACTAGAGATGGAGATGATGCTGGTGGCAATTGATTGCTTGGTTGCTTGCTTGGTTGGTTGCTTGCTTGGTTGCTTGGTTGCTTGGTTGCTTGCTTGGTTGCTTGGTTGCTTGGTTGGTTGGTTGGTTGCTTGGTTGCTTGCTTGGTTTGTTGGTTGCTTGCTTGCTTGCTTGGTTGGTTTGTTGCTTGCTTGGTTGCTTACTTGGATGGTTGGTTGCTTGGTTGGTTGGTTTCTTGCTTGGTTGCTTGGTTGATTGGATGATCGGATGATGATGGCGATGACGACGACAACAATGATGATTGATGATTGATGACTGAGGGTCGGTGATTTCTGATGATTCATGACGATATTACGATGACGAGGATGTTCAGGCTAAGCAGAAGGAGCAGGAGCCGGTGTTCCATTTCATGTTTGCACCAATGCTTCGGTTCTCCTTTCCTTGCCTTGCTCCCTTGACTGACTTGATTTCCAGCAAGACAAACGCTGTGACAGTTTTCTGTGGCAGAGCCTTGTGTTTACCCCAGGCCTGCTGACCAGTCCTCTCCCATCGCCGGAAACCTAGTGGCCTGGATCTTTTGCTATGCGGACAGCACCCATTTTTCACTGACCTGATCTAACCTGCACTAATGACTTGGAAAGTCTCATGCCGGAACGAGTCGGTCGCCATCCTGTTCATCTGTTTCATATTGTCCCATCCTCCAAACAAGCATCTTTATCTGTGTAAGACGCGATTATGATGGTTTACATTAATGGCAGCTAAATTGCCAAAGATAGAGAAATTCAAGGATCAATATGTACATGAACACTACCCGAGCCATGAGTCAAGCTCATCAGAGTACCAGGATTGGAATTTAAATTCCCCACCAAGGCCTAGAGCAGAGCGCGCCAAGAAGGCGGCAGAGGTGGAATGTCAGCAGATTTGAATTCGTTTGAAGGGAATCTCTGTAGGAGTGGTAGGATTTTGCTGGCAAGATCATGAATTGGGCGTGGATGATAAGTTTGAATAATCGGCCTGCGTGCTTATTGAAATGTCTCCAGGTTCATAAATTTGCACTGCACCAGCGAAGATTTGCATGAACAGGAAACTAGCCGAAACTAGCGCCAGTCACAGGGCTCAACATGCTCACCTATTTCCGGATCTTGGGACCATATTATATAATTAAATATATAGACAATAGAAATACGCATATGTATATGTAATGTATATGTATATATATATAATGAGCCCGGTCCCCGGAATCCCACACCTCCCCCCCTCCCCCCAATGGTATGGTCTTTCCCCTCCCCCCACCCCCCAAACCTTCCATTTGCACGCTATTTGCAACATTTTGGAAGCAAAGCTTTCCATTTGTGCGTTATTTGCAGCATTTGAGAGCCGCATACATACATACATACATACATACATACATACATACATACATACATACATACATACATACATACATACATACATACATACATACATACATACATACATACATACATACATACATACATACATACATACATACATACATACATACATACATACATACATACATACATACATACATACATACATACATACATACATACATACACACACATACACATATGTCTACATAAAGATTTATATTTACACATACATGTATGTATATATACATATATTATTTGCATATACATATACATATATATATATATACATGTGTATATATGAATTTGCATTTACATATACATATATATATATATATATGTAGATCTATACACTTCCTAAATGCAAATTCCCAACTAACATTATAAACCTTTGTGTAGTATATACACTGCTTCATCACTGCCTATATACTCCATACTCCCTACATATATTACCTACACATGTGCCCATATACTACACACTATAGCGTGCCCATTTACTGTATGCTATATCCATATATCCCCCTGTAAACTCCCACAAATACCCTCCATATATTCCCTATAAACTGGATATCAAGCACTTACAGCTGCACAAGCACTCCAATGTAGGACTGTTGGGATTGTTGTTGCTGGGAACCCCCCCCAGGCCTCAGGGGGGGAGGGGGGAACCATCAGGCTGGGGGGAGGGGGGTGTGGTTATATATACATATATACACATATGTGTATATGTATATATCTACATATAAAGCGTACCTCACTTTGTACGCTCTTAAACTACGTTCTCTCTCTCTCTCTCTCACATGTTAATTTTATATCGGACGATGTATATCCATGACCTCCTTGGGAGGTGGTGGAGCAAGGGCAGAGGTGTTTCGAGCCTGTGACGCAGGCCAGGCCTAGCGATAGGAAGTGCAGACATCTCAAGTCTATTGGTATGCTTAGAAAGAGGAGTCGCACTCGTTATTGACTGGTTGCATTTGATTGAGCCACTTATTCTCACAAACCACTGATTTCAAAGTCTAAAATATGATGTTATGCAATGTGGTGACATTTTTTGCAGACTTCAACCAGAAAAAGAGAGACTGAGTCAAACCAGTTCTACATTGACAAGACAAACTAAACCATGTCTTATCGATGGTTTCTTTTAGCAACAAGTTGAACACACCTCGAAGCCTTGCAGTGACGTAGTGCACGTGTTTGAAAAGTTGCTGTTCAGGCTGCTTAGCACCTCTGTTTGCTGGTGAGCGACACCAAGACATGTTGTACAGTCCTGTTGCGCCCTGCAACACCATGTCACACACACACAAGATCTCGTATCACCAGCGTGGAAGGCAGCCAGCGCGGCAGGTAACGTTTTACTTCCTTTCTTTGACTGACCATTATTCAGCTAGAAGACGGTGCAGCATGCCGGTTTCTCGGCTGGGAAACCAACATGAATGATACGGATCTATGATGTATGCATGGTTGTTTGACAGTCCATCACATGACCTTGTTTTGGCAGAACATTTTTGCAATTTCGCAACATGTTCATGCCAAGATATTGACCTAGTGGCTTTCACTCATCACGATTTGAAGCTGGAGTTCGCCGGAGTTCTGGTCTTAGTGTTCACATTTAGGAATCACTCAGTACCATGGCTGCCCGGCTGGCTGCTGCAAACAAAGTCAAAAGCTACCGGTCTCCAGATGACCGGTGCAAGACACGTGAAGGATGTCGGAGATGAGATGCACAAAGTTTGATAAAGAACTGAGTGTTTGGAATTCAAAAAGGTGCAGATTGCTTTGCCTATGGAAGAAGCTTGTGCAAGAGACGAAAGGCGCTGCACAGCATTTGACCTCCAAGCGTCCTGTAATTAAAAGACTGCTCTCCAAGTGTCCGGCTGCACCTTGGTGGAATAGCAGATGTCCAGAGACGACAGCTGGAAGTAGCCCTGTGAGCAATTCAAAACATTGTGTAGTTGTGCACTTTCAACATTTTTCATGAAATTGCACTACCGTTGGAACTGGGTGCAACTGTTGGATCACCCTGGAAGGATGCTCTGAATCACGAAGCCGAGATAGATTTCGCCAGGATTCCCCATGTATGCTGTGAGAGAGCATTTGAGGTGCTTGCCTTGAAATGCATCATTGGATATTTGACTTGCAAGTCTGCAATTGAACCAACACTTTCAGAATGCCTTCAACATGAAGAATTGGCCACCTTTGGACAATTAAATAACTGTTTTCAAATTACCACAATGACCAACCACCCACAGTTATTCAGGATTCAGAGATCACTCGGAATCGGCTTTCCAAGCCGGGCCTTTGGAGAATCCAAGACCTCGTCTCTGCCGAGGTTTTCCGTCGGCCTTAAGCATTTCGACATATTTCGACATATTTCGACGCAAAACGCAGCGATTTTGGGTGAGAGTCGAGAGAGTTGCAGGTCACAGATTTCTTCGGCTCGTTGGATTCAGTACCGGGTTCTGTTTCAAGGAAATCTCTCAGAATGGACTCAGCTCTACTATACCACTCCCGGAAAGAGACTGGAGGCCGTCTAAAATCGTCTAAATAGACTCCAAATACTCCCATTTTTTTGGCTGTGGCTACTCTCAGATCCACATTGACCAAGGCATGCTTGGTCGCTTGGAACCTAAAGCATAGGAAGCAGTATAAGCAGTGATATAACATTTTCTGACACATATGGATACATATGGCACATATACTACAAGTATTGTGAAGAGGTGTCGTCATTTTGTTCCTGTTCCAATCTTTTGAATCGACCTTTGTCGAAGTGCCTTGATAGTTTAGTCGACAACGGCGGCATTGCCATAGTGCTCCGGCTCAAGGTTGAACCGGGTGCGGTGGTTTGGTAGTCCTGGTAGGATGAGCTCTGCCCGAAGCTTAGTATTCTGCCAGAATGGCAGTAGCGATTGACATGATATCACTTGATTGGTTAATATTGGAAATTTGAAAATTATTTGATATAACTGATATAACTATGATATAACTATGACACTATGATATAATGCCCATCATTTTAAAACATGTTGCTGTGCAGCCTCGCCAGGTGGCAGCGAAGAAGGCTGAATGGAACGCCTGCTTGGCCAAGTGACCTGCCATAGTTTTGATACGCTTGGGATGATGATCCGGCATGACTATACTATACTACACCATACTTTACTATATACATCTATATACATCTATATACCATATACTATTTGCTATATACATCTATATACATCTATATGCCATATACCATATACTATATACATCTATATACATCTATATACCACATACAATATACTATATATACTATATACATCTATATACATCTATATACCATATACTATATACTATATACAATATAACCACACACTATATACTATCTACAACACTAGACACTATACACTGTACACTGTACACTACACACTAGACACTCTACACTGTACACTACACACTATGCACCTGTACACTCTACACTACACACTATACACTGGACACTCTACACGCTACACTATACACTACACACTGTACACTGTACACTGTACACTATACACTGTACACTCTACACTATACACTGTACACTATATGCTATACAGTGTACACTATCCTCTATATACCATACTCTGTGCTATACTATCATGCTATACTATTCTTTGAGGGAAGTTGAAACTTTTACCACCAATCATATTTGATTGTGACATCCTTTTAAAACAGGTCCTTGGAGACTTCAGCCACAGCTGCACAGCTGCCAGTCTTTAAACTAAGGAGCGGCGGCTTCCCAGGAAAGTGTGAGAAGTTGGAGAAGGATTTGCGTGGTGCTTCTAAGGCGTCAAAGTTCAATGAATTCTTGGCCTATTCTAATTGTCTTACACAGTCTGTAGCTTCAACAGTGAAAAAGACGCTGTCTCTGCGAGATTGGATGAACAAACCAGGAATGAATGCAAGGTTTCCTGCATTCACGGCTACTCTTGGGATCCGTTCTAGTCTTCAGTGATGCACAAGGCTTCACTTTTTTGAATGTGAACCATTCAGCATGACGCTAGGCGGAGGGCATTGAAAGCTGCGTCGACGAGACCATTGCATGGATCTCAACTAGGGTGAGTTTGCAGGTTTGGTGGAGCTAACTGAAAATGGCGAGGACAAGCACTGATGATCAATTCGGCCCGAAGTTCTTTCGACGGGAGCTCCAAGTTCTGGAAACAAGGTTACCTTGAGAAGCTCGGTGGTTGGTGGTGACCTTGCTAGTGTAAGATAGTGCAAGCAATGTGTAAGCCTTGAATCACTTGAGGCTTTGATGAAGTGTACCAGCAGCGGATCACGTAGCAAGGGCTGCGCCACGCAATTCCTGGCGATGCGCGAGTCACCCGGCAGCATTGAGATGGGGCGGAGCGTCACGGGGATGGCTGCGTTTGGAGGTCAGATGTACAAAGAATACGTGTCGAAACATGATGCAATTTATACTTTCACAGTTCAACTTGGTGCGGAGCAGGCTTCACTTTCATGTCAAAACATTGACAGACTGGCAAAGTTGCAGGTCTTGTTTGAATTCAATGAATATCGCATTAATATTAGATATTGGTCACGGAATGTCACGGATATGCATGGCTTCAAACGCCCAAAATCTTTGTCGGAGTTGGGTGGTGTGCTCAGGTGCAACCGCGCTGCTGGCAGGCAGCTGCTCCCTGAAGGTGGAGGTGCTTGGACTGGGCAAATGATCCTACGGCATTATTGTTGATGACCTTGCAGCTTCAGATGCTTCAGATGCTTCAGCTTCAGGAAGCTCAGATTTCGTTGCCATTCGTTTGAACAGAAAGGGTGGCAGGAGTATACAGGAGTCGTGAGAGTCTATTGCATAAATCCGTTTTGTGGACCCAGCTGAAGGCTATGCAGTCGCTCCTGGGAAGGCAGGGCTCTTCAATGCCCAGGTGCCTGGAACGGGGGTGAACACAGCCTTTTGTGTGTTTCTGTTCCATCCATTTTGCTGTAATATATATATATAATATAATATAATATAGGTTTTTTGGGATTCTATCTATATATTTTTTTTTTTTCCGGACCTTTTTTTTTGAAATTCCAGAGATTCTATCTATTTTAGGATGACTATATATATATAATTATATATGTATATATTTGTACATACAGGCAGAAAATAGAGGATTATACGTTGTACATCATACTGGACCGCCTCACAACAGACTAGGCACAAGGACATAGGAAGAAATGGACTGAAATGGCATAAGTGAGTTTGCTTCTTGAGAGGCCGTTGTTCAAGTTCGAATATGGTTTGGGCTTTGCAGATGCAAAACGGCATGTGAGGAGCAAGGAAGTCATCTACCATCCTGAAACGTCTGACGCTTCCCGATGGATCCACTTTGAAATTTAGCGAAACATAGCGAAGCGGCGAATCTTTGATTCCTCACTCTGCGACACCGACCAGGCGGGCTCTTTGACTCAGTCGACCCCGCCAGTGCGCAGCCTCGAAGGGATGCAGGACGCACAGCTGGCTCTGGCGGTCTTGGTAACGACACAGTTCGCAGTTTGTTGAGTTTTTCACCGGATATTTGCATTATGTTTTAAATTGCTTTAATGCACTCAAGGAAGACTTGAGCCAGAAACCTCTTCCTGTCACATGTGCTGAAGGTCCAGCGTTGAGGCTGCTTCAACCACTGTTTTGAATCATTGGGCTACTTTATCTTGTTCATATTCCCAAGGGCTAGGCGGGAGATCGAGCAAATCAAACTTCATTGCTATTCCAAACCCACAACTTTCATCAATTTTTGATAACGCTCGGCTTCGCAAGATTTGCACCAGGAGTTTGGTCAGGAATATGCCAAATCCATGGGAGTCAACGAGGCAGTCCTGGGTTCCACGTTGGGTTCTGCATCACCAGAGAGTCTAAGAGATGCCGTGGGATGTGAAGATTGCACCACTGTTGTAGGATTCGTCTCGACTGTGCAGGTCCGATTCTGAGCGCGCTTTGTTTTGACCGCAGTTGCTGCCATGTGGGCCACAGTTGGTTTTGAACAGGAGACAACAGGAATGCTTCCGATCGCATTTAAAGGCAAAGACTGCAAGACCTGGTAATGTGACAATCTATATAAAAAAAGTATCAACTCTGTGACTTCTTCTGGGTGAAGAAAGAGTATGGCTACCAAAGCAATTCAACATAACGCTTCTCAAACGCAGCAGAATTCTATTTGTTTTATTAAATACATTAGGCTCGCTGAATATCCTTTTTGAAAAACGACACGCGCCGCGAAGAATGTTGACGCTGGTGACTTCGCAGTAGCCATATCTTTCAAATCTATGGAGAAAAGGTGGGGGATGGTCATGCAGTGGGCAGGTATGGGCAGGTATTGATTCTAAAAAACAACACATTGGCTCCAGCTTCATTTTAGTCGTGATGGAACGGCACAATGGCGAAGCCAAACTCTGTTTTACATTTAAGACTTTCTGGCACTCAATTCCTTGCATTCCTTGGGAAGCAACGTCATTCCTGATAATACAAGCACGCACTCAAATGAGGTGGCACTGATCCCTAATTGCAGATCAGAGCGATTTTTTCACTCTACAATTTTCATTTGCACGATTTTTTTTTTCGAAAAATCTGCTCCTGCAATGTCATGAAGGATTCCCCGGTCACTGCGTCACTGCCTGGCATTCTTCCGCTCCAAGGGTCCATAGACATGGATACGGAGACACGTCATGACACGTCATCACACGCCATGATTTTTAAAGCAGCCACTCATGTGGGTAAGAGGGAAATCGTTTGTGGGGCGAAGGTTGACACTCCTTTTGTCAAGTCTGATCACCAAGATTGGCGAGCGGAAACAATGATAGTAGATATTGAGATCGAAACATATAATGTTCAAAGCGTTCCAGCGAAGCACCAACAACACTGTACCCAACAAATTGGCCATGGCACCGGTGAATGACAGTGCATCCACACCACGGACATCCTCGACCCTCCATGCAGGCACTGGGTCGCACTGTTCCAATCCATAAGTACGTTTTGAACACACTTTTACAAGGCAGCGCTTTCTCACAGCAGAAAGGAGAGCCCGATTTGGAATCCTTTCCCAACATCGGAATCACTAGAATACACGAATAATTTTACTTTCTAGTGATTCTAGTCCTCACGATCCTCACGTCGCCAGGGGCAGAAGCCATCATCGGCATCTTGGCGCAATCTCTGGCGACGGAAGATTCAGAAACGAGTTCATCACCCGGGGATGGAGACCTTTAAACCAACATGGCACAGGCATCCCGGATCTTCAGCATCTCTGACATTGCTCCATCACAAAAGGTCACCATCACAGCGCCAGTAATCCTGGTGGGTCTTATTGAGGAATCTTTTTGTGCCTAGCCTTTCTGTTTGTCACCTGAGGTAAAGTGGGAACCCCACAGGCTGTGCGCATGCCTGTCACAAGCGTAGCAGAGCGGCTCTCGCAGAAATTCATGAAGGTTCGCTTGCTCTTCTTCGCTGGTTGCACCGCTAGGATCAGATGTCAGGAGTTGGAAGGCAAGGATCATCAAGGATCCACAAAAAGTGCAAGCTGCCATACTGAGGCTCATTCTGTCAACAGCTGATGGTTTTCCTTGCATTTTAGACATTGTACTCTGCATGTCCGCACCGGCCTGATGTTCCTAGCCGGAGATTAACATTTCCCAGCAGCTTTTTAATTTAGACATATTGAGACTATCAATCTCGAAGCTCAAAACGATTTGTGGTGGCCAGGTGTGGGCCCAGGAGCCCCAGTTACCGGAGCCGGATGCCCTACCGCCAGCCGGAAAATCCACCAATTGCCATGCACCAGGTGGGGGATGAGGATGGAAAAGGGGGGTGATCACTGCCATGGCCATGCCTTCGCTACCAGGCTGGAACCGCGAGGTGCGCCGGACTGTTGGTTCAGTGCATCTGGCGGAGCACCGATCTCGCGCTGAACATCTCACAGAAAGGCAGGTCTATGGTGGGCCACGGCAGCCGTGGAAGGCTATCCAGTCGCAGGAGCATGGCCGGGATGGTTGGAAGGATCCCACGAACACCATTACAGAATTAATGATTTTGGTGCGTAACTTCACATACGTTGATCACTTGCTGGATCAAAAAACAGAATACATATACAACAACTCTTTCAGGAACAATAGGAACAGAGGTAGTGACTTAGTGACTTTTAGTGGTATCAGCCTTCATCAGTTGAGAACCAAACGCAGGTGGAGAGAATATCCAAGGGATTCCGAGGGCCCAGTGTCAAAACGCCGCGAGGAGTTAGCGAGGGAAGAGCTCCTGGGCCCAAGTGATGAGACGCTCCGGTTGCTTCGTCCAATTCAGATGGACGGTGGAAATTTCATGCAACGGACTCCGGTGGTGCTTGCTGTGCAGTGTTGAGATAGTTGAAGCCACGACACAACGTAGCCGTTTCGGCCGTTTCATGTTTCAAGAAGGAAAGCCAGCGGTGAAAGTGGCAGTGGCTCCGATTCTTAAGAGCCCATGTGCCAAAATCGCTGGCTGTGCACAGGGGGTTTTGGTCCCAGGTTTCTGCGGCTATTCCTTTCTCGTGCTCGCGGTGGAGGGGCTCATAGGTTTCGGCCTTGGCGTTTTGGAAGTGAAGGGACTCCCCCTTAACTTCTGTTCACTTAAGAATACATGCTGGAATACAAATATCATGGTACTTCTACGACTGGCTTGTCAGGTCTCACCCGAGTGTTTTTGTTTCATTTAAAGGCACTTACAGCTTACATGTTTGAAATCCCATTTATCTCAAAGATCATCACCGACGCATCAATTTGATGGTGTAATTTGCATACTTAAAGGTCCTTCAACGTCTCAAGAACTTGGCACTGGTTTGGTGTTGGACCCCTTGAAAGTTGTGCGATGTGTGCCATGCTTATCATGCTTTATCTATGCTGTCCAGGATGCCCCCGCTGCTCCGAGACATGAAGAAAGCGGCCGACAGGCACCACCTGATCAGGTTCATTTTCTGGCATAATGTTGGGATGGAGATCCTCTGTATTGGATACATGGCTTATGCAGTGCACATGATTTCATTCTTTGTACTTAGCCTTTGTGTTCCGGAGGAGGCAAATGATTATTAGATAGGTTGTTCAATGCAGCGGCGCCAAATTGGAGCAACTCTAGACTATCTACAGGTTAATATAATTTAATAATTTAATATATTATATATAATATATATTATAAATATAATTGGTATATGTATATATAGTACTATTATACTTTCTGACAAGTGGGGTCACTATGCAGAGCCTGCAAAGGCAGGTCTTGAGAAGTCTGATCAGTGACTACAAGTGACAGCGCGAGCATCCCACAGAGGTGATCACAGGTGCCATGGCTTCAGGTCTGATGTACTGAGTCAAGAGGAGTTTACCAACTTTGCGATGGGGGAAGGTTCTTGTTTTGAGACGAGTTCAAGCTGTACAACAGAGATATCAACAGATGTTCGAGGATGCCAATAGCTGGTACAAGGGCTCAATCTTGTTTGATTAGGTATTCTGTTTGGGGGTTTGGACTGGCTTGAGGCAGGATTTTGTTGGAGTGAATCCGTGTTCCCGGTTCTTCCACTTGACTTACGTTCCCAAGGGCCTTTGTCGCTGCTTTTACGAGTGCGAGAAGCTCTTTTGGCACCTGTCGAAGGGCGACGTCGGGAACTACAGCTTGCATGAGAGAGAAAGATCCAGAATGTTATTTGAAAGAGGTTCTTTTGGCCGGTCAAGTGCAGCAAGGACCAGTTACGGTGCAACTTTCACTCCTGAAAGTGTTGGATTCAAACAATTTTAAACCATTGCAGTTGGCCAATAAAGCCCAAGGAGTGCTCTAGGATTTTGAACATTCATCGCACGCGCTGCAAAATGCCGGCCTTGATGACATGTGGACAGTTACAACTCCCAGGTACTGCCGATGGATCATTTGGCGGCCTTGATGTCCGGGACCAAGCGGAAGCGATCGAAGCGAATCGAAGCTCGCGGCAGCCGTGCGTATCGCGCCGTGCGTATCGTGCCGTGCCACACCGAGGCGTGGTGATCTGGAGCCTCATCGAGAAGCGATTGCCCAGCCCTCAGCTGGACAATGTTGGACACAAGAACCATCCAGCATTCAATGAGACCCTGAAGCCAAGATCAGAGTTCATTTCAGAAAAGTTCGGTCAAAAGCTAGGGCATATCATGAATTGACTGGCAGAATTGCTTTAAAAGATCCCAAACTGCAGACGATACACGCCAGTTGACTGACCTGTGCCTTTGCAATGTGAAAGGAATTTGAGCTCCAATGAAACCTGACAGTGCCAACGTCCCCAAATGAAAGATCCTTCTTGGACAAGCATATAGATTTCTTCTACACTCCAGTAGTGGAAGTTCAAAGGACACTCCTGCAGAAGACTTTCGTAGAAGACTCTTGCAGTTGCAGGACATTGTTGCAGAACCATTCTGGTAGAACATTCTTCTAGTAGAACACTTTTGTAGAAGATGTTCTGAGCGCATGCTTTCACACAACTCTTGTGCAACACATCTATAGCAGTGATAACATGTAGAAGTGATGCATGTATTATGATGAATGTATTCAATGGCATCCACAGGTGATTCGTAGCGTTGAGTTTCTCTCAGGTGGAGGAGGTGTGGAACTCCTTAGATCCAGAAGGACATGGCTTCATTGAGGCACATTGCGACCAATTGCGATCAATTGCGATCCTTGTGTCATCTCGCGTCTGTGTGGCTGTAGTGCTGTAGTGCTTGAAGAAGCTTGAAGAAGCTTGAAGAATGAAAGAAACGCGGAGCAAGGGGCAACACGTCCATGTTGACAGCAAGAACTGAATATCTTCTCATTTGTTTTGTCAATGACGTAATACATACGTCTCATGAAATACATTTAACTAGTACAATTACATAATATATATATATATATATATTATAGGGCATGTCAAATGATTCAGTTTCCTTTGCACAACGGGCAGAACCGCAATCGGTGGGACACGATCCAAGCGCCGTCGGCGTCTCGGCTCCAGGTTCCTGACCTTCTCCGGCGCTTCGACGTGCGGCGCTTGCCGGACGTGCGCTTTGGACGGGAGGAGGTCCAGGTGTGGCGTCCCGGCATTCGGTCATGGATAAAACCTAAGATGAGGACCATATGATGAGATATGTGAAAATGTTTGAACATGGAAAATGTTTGAAGCCCATTGTGATGTTCCTGTCTTCCCTCAATTCTCGGCTTTTGGTGAGGGACTTGTCAATATGAAGCACTATGAGGCACTATGAGGCACTAACCATCATGTCAGTCAGATGTCACAGATGTTGCCCGTGGGAGGAAGCTCAGCTGAAGCTCCTTGAGGGCTTGGGAGTTCATGTGGACAGGCCGGAGTCAAGTGGTGTTTCAGCCGTGTGAGCTTGGTGTTTCCATGTGTTTCATAGATTTCTTCAAGGACATCCTGATGGATTTCTTCAAGGGTTTCCTGAGTTATCCAAAGCATCTGACAGCATGGGAGCTTGCTGCGTCTTTTCAGGACTCACCGTACCCACCTCCGCAGGCAAAGCGGTGGACACTGGGAGCCTAAGCCAGATGTGCTGAAGTTCTGAGTGTGTCCATTGTACATGTAGAATCATGATGAATCATGTAGACAACTGTTGGTGTTCTGTTCTTCTGGAGAAACAAGATTGGACATAGGGGCAGGACGGAATTTGCGTGGGAACTGGCTCCAACGGCGGCTGAGGATACATTGATATACATGTTTATACCACAAGCCAACACTAAGTTGTCGATGATGAAGACATCCACGACTTGATCTCTTGATCTCATCGGGCTCTGGTGGCGTTAGGTTGTTCTTCAGATCCAGAAGACAACTCATAGAATCATGATAATTGATAACCCTTCCGCGATTTGCCCGTCTGCCGCATGCCAGGGCTGCAGGTGTGCCTTGCCGAAGGACCAATGAAGAGCCGCCGCAGAGGGCGGTTGCTTCGGTGCGACAACTTGGAGTCAGGGTGTCGTGATGTCATTCTTGTTGAGACTGAAGGTGATGGTGTGACCTCGTTGTCTTTTCAGAAAAGACCTCTATATAGATTTGGTGTTGATGGGTGTTGGATGGTGTTAGGAACATGAGAGGTCCACCCGAGGACACGATGCAAAACACCCAGTCCTGGAAGGTACATTGGTACATTTTATTGTTTCTTGTTACTGTAGCGTCATCAATCCATCACTTTGCATGAGACCCCATCTCTTTGAGACATAATATGGTGCAGGTTGAGGAACAGATTGTATCCTGGGACGCGTGGAAGGCGCGACTGTATGGGCCACGAGCGTGGCTTTTGCATTTCGCCAGAAAAGTAAGTCACTAAATCCATGCGTGGGATACTTGGTCATCCGTGCCTTTGCGATCCTGTCCCCCCCCATTTGCTGCCTTGCCTGCGATGATGCAGGCATACTTCACCACGCTCTCTGTGGGTATCATGCTCCTCGGACTTTTATGGTTCACGAGATGAGCTAGGGCAATTTCACTTGCCAAGGGAAATCAAGCTGCAGCTGCATTCACGAAGAAGTTTCCCGAAGCTACTAGTTGTGGGTTCGGCCCCACGAGTTGAAGATGAAGATCAGACACTTTTGGGCCCTCAACTCCCATGTCAAACATGCAAATACGGGACTTACAGCTACGACAAAGGACCGGCAAGTGTAAAAGACACCCCTCGGCAGAAGCACCGTCTTAAACCACCAAACCATTCACAGTTGCACAGATTCCAGGCCTTCGGTGAGATTTCTGGAAGGATTTGTTGACACACCACGGCCATCTGCAGGGATGAAGAGGTCTTCGAAAAGACTCTGCGGGAGCCGTTAAGGACCTACCAGGCGTCGCAAGCCTCTTGAAATATCGCCCAGCCATTGGAACGGGCATCTTCAGAATTACCAGTCAGTTCTTTTGACTTTCGCCATTTTAACATGTGGCAACATGTGGCAACTATCTCTGAATAAGACTGTAGAATACTTTTTTGAAGTAGCTGCCATTGGCCATCAGGATGTGATGAGGTTTGCGCTGTTGCCCTCTGCCAATGGCCACAGGTTCACGGGCATTTGCAAGCACAGCGCCTCATCACGCAGCCTGTGGCGCGATCGAATCACTGCAATTTGCGAGTGTTGGGAAACCCGACGGATGACCATTTTTTCGGTGATTTGGGAACAAAGCCTGGTGAAAATAGGTGAAAATTATTGATCTTTTGATGATCATCCCATCCATCGTGCTTAATGGCGCTATCGTAAGTTTTTCGATGAGGATTAATGAATGCAAAAGCCGCACCTGTCCGTGGCAGCTGTGCAAGAAGGCTCAGAATCTGTTGAAACGATAGCCACAAAATGGACAACACAAGGTGACAAAACTGAGCAGCCCGATTTATAAAGGAACATTTCATGGCATTCCATAGAGTTTGCAAGTATAAAGTGATATAAAGTGATATAAAGTGATATAAAGTGTATAACTGAACATCTATGGGTTCAAACTTGTTGGCACTTCAATCGATTGAAGCACCGTACCGCAGGGCTGTGGTTCGACGCTGAGGTTGGGCACCTTTGAAGATGGCTCCCGGAAGTTGCTGACGTTGCGCGATGCTGGGAGCCCTGGGATGCTGTGGCCTCGACAGATGTTTGGTATTTTTGGGTGTGAACTGGTGTGAAAGACTGTGTATTGAACTGTATAAGCATAGCATAGTATAGCTATATCATGCTATATCTTGTTCATCATTATCTACCTGGTTATTTAGCATGTACTTGCACTGCATTGCGTTGCCCATTAAACCAAGTACCATGCCAATACTATAATATTATCCTATGCCGTACCATGCCGTACAATACCACACAATACCATACCCTGTGCTACACTGCCTTACACTACAATAAAACACAATACAACACAGGCATAGGCACTTGACTTATATACGTATACATACGTATAAACACACATAAGAATATGTTACATAAGTATCTATGCCGCCAGGAGGTTTTCACATGACTTTCTATTGTGCATATTATGGGTTCATCCATTGACCCGTCGATCCGTGACAATCAATATGTAAATTCTACATGATTCGCCGTGCCCCATTGCTGGTCACCATTCAGGACTCGGGCTTGGAACACCTGGCCGAGCGCGCTGGTTGTGGCGATGGACAATTCTGGACCTGGGGCGCCTCCAGACGCGTTTCTTCATGTTTCTTCGACTTGATAAACAAGTATTAAAAACAAGAATGCATATCTTGCACATCTTGCATGATGTTAGCGAAGATTTGCAGGATCACAGCTGGTGAATCGATTGCACAGGTTAGTAGGCTTTGTGAAACATAGTTTGTGTGGCAAAGCTTTTGTTTCAATGGCTTCTAAAAGCCAGTGCTTGCTGGCAGCAACGCTCAGTTTCGCCAGGTCCCAACGTGAAGCAGGAGATCTTGCAACGCCTGCAGGTGCACAGCCCAGCTGTTGGGAATAGAATCTCTTGGTTAGCCGGACCGGTAGGGCCTGTAGGGCTACACCTAGCTGGAACTCATTTTGAGGTCGGGATAGGGTCGGATCAAAGGAGATCTGGGTTTTGTTTGGCCTTGGAAGCGGACAAAAAACAAAACGATACCAGAAAAGATACTACACAGATCTACACAGTAAAGCAACCAGACTGTTCAGCACAGTCTGTGTTTTCTTTGCGTCGCCTGTTCAAGAGTAGCATGGCCAACCTGTCATTTCAAAATTTCCAGGACACTCGTTGTCGATGTTTCGCTCTCAGGCCGAAGGGTACCACAACTTGCGAACTGTGACCCTGAGACCAATGTGAAAGTGCCTCAAAGACTGGGGCGCCATTTGGCAACCAGCAGGAGCATCATCCTTCAAGTGCCACCCATTGCATGTTTTTTGATCAGTCTTTTGCACCAACGCTTTGAGTTGTAACCACCTGAAGACTTCGCTGGTCCATCTTTTCTCGAGCAAGGACTGTGCTATGCCGTAGCACTGCTAATGATGCAGCGTGTCTACAAAAGCAGGAATCATGAAGACTAGGAGAACACATTGAGTGTCATTCTGCAGACATGCTGCCCTTAGTTAATCTACGTTGGCCCAAGTCTCGACCAGACCAGACCTGTTTCAGCCTTGGTGAGTCTTGGCTCACTACTCTCTGTCTGAATGAAGAGCCATTGGTATCAGAAGAGCCAGACGTTAGAAAACAGGACGTTTTCAAGCCAAGCGTTTGCGTCGAATTGTCGGGATAGTCTGAGAAGGCATTTCGTTTTTGTTTGAACAGCTTGTTGTAACGGTATTTCATCTCGAGCCAACCATTTGTTACCGTTGGCCATTCTCGAAACATCGAACTTCAGAGAAGTACTGGAGTAGAACAACAACAACAGGTAATAAAAGGCATATATATATATTCACTATATATATATATATATATTGTATTCACTCAATTAGATTAAGGGAGCTTGCTAGACCTTTCAGAGATCATCTAGTCGGGACCTGAGCTACTGATCATCCTTCTTGCCAAACTTGGTGAGAAGGCTTGGAGGGTCTCAAAGATGGACCTTTGCACCGCAGAAAAAGGGGAACATCACTTCTCTGCGCAAATCTAGCTTTTCTGCTGAACATTTTCGCACCACATGTGGAAGGGGTGACTTGCAATGACCCCGGATGCCAGTGTCAGTCTCTTTCTTGTGTTTCACAGGATGTTGTAGACGCTCCAACCATCTCCAGCCCCTCCGTTCTTGTCTTGTCATTGAACATCATCCCATGTGACTGGTGACATCTGGTGACCTCTGGTGACTCAAAGGTGTCAACGTACTGATGGTACAGGTGGCTTCACCGACAGCCGCCGTCCTCCTGGCTCCAGTAACAGCCGGCCCCACACGTCATATCTGCCTCAGGCATGGTGGCATTGATAGGGCAGTTGTGTTGCAGGAGTCTGCATTGGATCATTTGTACGACGTGTACGATGCAAAGGGAAATCATTGATGGTCTTATGAAGATTGAAGCTGGGGAACCCAAACATCCTGATTTCATCATACAAATGCTCAAGAATCTACTTGCGTCATCTAGTGTCAGTTTCCCAATACTCCAGCAGCTAGCATGGTCGATTGCTCCAAAGGACTTGTTGGCTACGTCTGGAAGTGAACCCCCCACACAGAGCGTCAAGCTAAGTCTAAGTTCCATATTTTGCTGACGTACAGATGGCCTGTACCTCCTGTACATGTCGGTACCGGCAGCAGATCTTCCAACCCCTCAGCCTCTCAGCCTTCTTCCATCTAAGCCTGGCCAGGCTCTCCAACATGGCTCGTCCAGGCAGGGCACAGAAATTGCAGCCTGCAGCGGCATTGCATCAAGTTTACGCATTGCAATTTTCGAACCAGAGTTTGTTTTTGCCATGGTCTAAAGTACGATAAACAAACTGCATGCACAAGGAACATATTGTAACTGTGTGAATTCGGGAAGATTGTGAGCTTATGATATTGCATTGCCAGAAGGTTTTGAAGGCACGTCACCATGCATGTAATCCTTCAACATCAAGTTCCAATCGGGTCTCAATGTCCTTGGTCAAATTTGTCGTCACTTTCTACACCGTCTCGGATTCTCGAGCCACGCAATTTTGAGGAGTGATATCAGGATTATCAGGGCCAAAACTTTGAGTTGTATTATCATCGAGAAAAACAGGTGGTGTTCTCGGACTGCTACTGTAATCAAACCACATCGGCTGGCAATATAATCCAAAATTTAAGGCGAAAGGGAAGCATGGTATGCATATGCAGAGACGATATAGATTCATATAGATGCTACAGCACCGTCTCCAATCCTTGGGTTTCACTCGAAGCTTGCCTCGATAGATCAACCAGGCCGTCTTATCCTCCTGGTGGCAGCAGTACTTGTGGGCTGGAAACTAAGAACTGCGATGTCAGCCATCAGCCCTGCACCTTGGAACAACTTCTGTGCTGAAACACTTGTTTTGTGCCAAGTTTGCAAGTTGTCCCAAGGCCTCAAGTACTGCTTTGTGCCAAGTCCGGCAGAGCTCCCCAAGGCCTGGGCCTGGCTGGCTGTACAGCAGGTAAGGGAAGAATAAGATGGTAAGAATTTAAATACTTATTATTATGATCTAATGAATGATATCATTTGATATCATATTTGTTTTATCACATCATATATATGTATATATATATATATTATACTGTATATTTTTTCTTTTTGCACATTTCCAGTTGGAATACAAGCCGACTTCGAATTTGGTTCATCTTCTGAGCTCTTTTCAAATGGACCAACTACAGCACCTGTTTGGTCGTGCTCACCAAAGCCATGATGCCTGGTTAGTTGCGTGGGCAGCCTGAGCAGCCTGCTTGCACAGGCTCGCACCGGCATCGACTTCAACCCTGCCGTGGATCAAGCCTTACCTGGCATTTTGCGCATTTTACTTTTTCGACTCGCTCCCAATGCCATGAATCATGAAATTTGATGTTGCCATGAACTCACGAACTTTTTCCCTCACAAACGTTTTGCAAGGATGATGTCACCATGACGCCCAGGCTGCCTCCGCGGCGCTGCCAGCCTTGACTATGCTGGCGGAGGATGCTGAGGCCAAGTACGGCGACAACCGCAAGTGGCCAGGGGAACCTGGTGCTGTCGATGGATGTTGCGGTTGGTGGGTGAACACCATCTTCTTTCAGAGGGAAAGCTCATGCCAAGCCTTTGAGTGGTTCTTTTGGGGTAGCTACGCCAAGTTTTGGTATTGGGACGCTATGTTGATATGTGTCTTGATGTTGAAAATACTGCATGCGGAGTCTATCTTGAAGTCTAAGTGATGTTGTTGGATCATTTTTGCTATTTCTCCATGCCCGATCGGAAGTGCTGCCATTCACCATGTATTCAAACTATTCATTTGGATACATGCACTTTATTCCACAAGTCTCGCTTTCACATAAAAAAGGCCTTGGGATACCTTTCCTTGAGCAAGCACCAAAACCACAAGCGTAAAAGTCCTTCACTCCACCGAGGTCTGCTGTGCTAGTGCCCCTGACCACCTTGGTCTTCCCGATGGTCGGCTTCGGATCCTTTGTGAAGTCCTCAGAATGACTATGTTTGCTGGGCAAAACTAAACTCCGAGTCAGAATGTGACACAGCAACTCTGGATCGAGTATGCGTTGATGAGGTGCTGTACTCTTTCCAGGAGGCTCGCAGCCTAGTTTCTTTTGGCAGGAGGTTTTTGTTTGTTGCGTCAGTTGCTCCTTTTGTACAATCCTATGTTGGCGCTCCGGATATTTGATCAAAAGCAGCTGCTTCAGTTTGCTGTTTCTGATTTTCTTCCTTTACAAGTGTGTCCATAGCGTGTCCAATCTTGCAGGATGCCTTCTGGCGCCTTGTGCCGGGCACCAAGCGTGCCAAGGAAGCGTAGGGAACTCAGTGCACCGCTGGGATGCAATGGGAAAGGCCGGCAGATACCGGCAAATACTTTACCTGGATCTTTCATATCAATTTTGGGAATCATTTGTACTTTGTGATAAGAGGGGCAGTACTATCTAATACTTGTGTGATGGTAGCTGCAAGATATTAGACGCTCTTGAACCTTCACTGCTGTGAAACAAGCTGTTGTTTGAAACTAGTGCAAACAACCCTCCTGATGTCATCAGATGCAACAGGATTTTGACATATTTTGACCATCTTTCTGGTTATGGATGGCAGTTGGCCCATAATGCCATAGAGTACCACTCGTACCTTGCTCAGGGAGGAGGCCTGGAGAGAGCACCCTCTGTTCGCAAACGCCAAGGCAGGGAGCAGCTCGGAATGGGTTGACGGATAGCAAGTCGAGGTCAGATAGCAACAGCTGGTGCAATTTGAGGACCCAATGAACGGCCTGCTGAACCCTGACGACTATGAGAAGGGTCAGGGAAGCCCAGCTAACATTAGCTAACATCTCTGTTCCAGCGAGAGTGTGTTCTGGCTGTTGCCGCAAAAGAACTTGCTCTATCGGTCGCTTTTGTACATCTTCTTAAACCTTGCACTGCGCCTTTGGCATTTGATTACACGTATTATACGACCGATAAATAGCCTATTTAAACATCGTTAAACGATGGCTTGTAAATGAGGGGGTTCCCCCAAAGTGCTATTTTGCTACAAGGAAATAGCATCCCGCATATTGAATACACCAAGAGTGTATTCATTCTGGGTCAGCATGATACTCTTGGTGTTGCGGTCCACAAATCGCTGCTTGTCGGATTAGTGTTGAAGACAACAGGCCATTTCACCGAGGTCTCGAGGAGGCCTGGGAGCGAGCAAAGCCTGCGGGCAGTTGGGGGCACCCAGAAGTGTCGGCATGTTGTGTCCTTTTCAACTCTCAACACTTTTCCTTTCCGGTCTATTCCGATCCACCAATATCCAATTGCCATTGCAGCCTTTTCCTGCCCACAGAGCCATGTCGCCAAGGCACTGTGACCGTGAAGGACAAGTTGGCCAAGCTCTCCAAGCAGAACGCCCCCCACTGGGTTTGGATCCCCAGTATCATGCAGTATCTTCAGATGCGGCGTGTTAGAGTCCTCAAATTCATCGGCCGATTTTGATGGGATTTCGAGGCAGCTCCTCCACGTTTTTTTTTTTAATCCTTTTGATGTTCTAAAATTCTAAAACTATGAACATTTGGTTTTCCACCTTGCCGTGTGGCCGTGATCAGGAGACTTGGAAGTCCCTCTCAGCTTAGGCGTGAAGCGACCCAGGGGGATGGAGGGTTGTAGTGACAACAAAGCTGATGGTGTGCAGAGATCATATCGATTCCTAATCCGCTTAACCAATTACGTGAACTGTTTCGCTATTGTCTTCTCCTTCCAAAGCCAGTAAACTGTGGAAGATCCAAACATCAGAGACTTGTGCGAGGTTGGCTGCGTTCCAGACATCTGAGAAGATGTGAATCCGGAAGCATGTCGCTTCACTTGAATGTGCCAACGAATAGTGTGGCGCCATGATAGTCGCGGTGCTAACAACACTGGCTGCTGGGCCTTAGCTGTGCCCAGCAAAATCTTTATCAAGTGAATCTCCTTCAGGAGAGTTGAGATGAATTGACCATCTCAAGCTTAGCCATGGCCGGCTGTTTCATTTCCCAAACCCCAACGGTGCTTTTTGTGTGTCCAGAAGGTGCTTTGCAGTACCTCCATGTGCAGAAAAAAATGTGGTAGGCACGTTGAGCCATGTGGAACCATGTTGAGCTGCGTTGAGCCATGTTGAGCCGTGAGGGGGGAAACTTACGGTTGCTGTATATTGTGTACTTGTTAATCTTGTTATGCTTCTTACTTGTTGCTGAGGGAATCGAGACACGGGGATGGGACAATCTCAGGAAGGGGTCAGTCAACCTTTGAAGAAAGGTGGCAGTGTCACTTACAGGTGCGGCACATCAGTTGGTTGAATTGACCTTTGCTTTGGATGCCACAGCTTCTGCAGATTGTGTGAACGGTTCATATGATGTCCCACAGAGCCATTTCCTCCACCCAAAGCGCGCGATTTAGTCGCCGTCGTGCGCAAGTTCCATCTGCCGTCCCCTCAGAGGTTTCGACAGCAGCCATGTTGCCAGTCCACATACATGCCTGAAGACAATATTGTTTGAATTGAATCTTCGCTTCCAACGTGTCCAAATGAAAGCAGAACAGCTTTGTACACAGCGGGAACTTTTGTCTGGTTCCTCATGGCATAAGGCTACAATGGCTCGACCAGGAGTTGTGTCATGGCTTGCCCACATGGCTTGACATGGCTTGACATGGCTTGCCCATGGCTGTGCTTCACGGTGTTTGGTGAACTCACCTTGTTTTAGCTGCTGAAGGACGCCTTCTTTTGGTGGCTGCGGCTGCACTTCTAGGTGCGGAGCCCGGTCGTGGAAAAGGGAGCTGGCCGGGCGGCAAAACGAAGCGCTCTAAGATCCTTCCAGACAACGGGATTGTCCATCTATGGATATCTATAGAGGAATGACCAGAACTTTCTCTTCGCTGGGCACGATGTGTGCAGATGCAGCCATATGCAAGCATCAATTGATATCAATTGTAGAATATTATAGAAGCGTTTGAATGGGATTGCCAACAACTCTGGATGAAGTGCATTCCATGTGTGAGGTGCATCTATTTGATGTATTTCCTTTGCAATCCATACCTCTCTGGAACCAGGCTTGCGATGCTGCTTCCTGGCAAGTCCAGACAAGCTGCCAAAGGCACTTGGGGAGTGGAGAGTGCTTGACTGCAGCTTTGCAGCCAAGGTGATATTGGTCAGTTGGATTCCGGAATGTATATATATATATATATATATATCAGCCTGTATATATACTAATATATATTATTATACACTGATCGCTTTGAGCCTTTTTGACGGCCCGGTAGCCCCAAAAGCAACCCTTTCATGTTGTATGTTGAATCAATTTGAACCATATCGATGAACACCAGAATGAGCTTTGTCGAGATTTAGTGATGGGCATCAGCTCCAGGCGAAGTCTGGCATTGACTTCAATCCAGCTGTGGTTGGGACAGCCCAGGGGACCCTGAGGTGGCAACTTGCAAGTCAGAGTCAATGTGAAGATAAGTGACAGACCTGTGATTCGACATGTGAACTATGGGATGTCATTGGGATACCCCAACAGGCAGTCAGATGTCAAGGAGGTGTGAACACACACGCCATCCTGGCCCTTCTCCCAGGCAGCATCTGCCGCCCTGCCGGCCTTGACCATGCTGGCAGAGGATGCCGAGGCCAAGTACGGCGACAACCGCAAGTGGCCAGGGAAACTCAGTGGTCGTGACGGTCACGTCCCATCCTTCTGCAGCTTGCTTCACACGCGGAGAATGCAGGCATAAATGGCATAAACGTGACAGTGACATAACAGATGAAACCAGACCCCCATTGTCGAGGTCTGCAGTGCTGGTGCCACTCACCACCTTGGTCTTCCCCATGGTTGGCTTTGGCTCTTTCGTTTGGATCCTCATGACCGTCATTGCTGGAGGGGGAACAGGGGCGCTGAAAGATGGCAGCTTTGCAACTGCAGGGTACTTCGGTAAACAGGTCTCAACTTGAGTACTTAGAGAACTGCTGAGGTGCTTTACTCCTTCCAGGAGGCCTGGCTCATCTCATGTATGATCACCGGAACCAGGATATACCAGGATCAAAGGAATTGAGAAGCACATCTGGAAGTCTTGCGATGTCTGCTGTCTTGAGAATTTCCGGCTGTTTCAGTGAATTTCAGTGAATTTCCAGCAGTTCTTGGGACTTCCCCACATCCCAATGCATTGAAATGGCATGTTGAATTTGCTTGACTTTTCACACCTCCTGGCAGCTTTTGCGGCTTGGGAAAAGCAGCAAGTCCTGAACCGATTGCCCAACCACAAGATGGCAGGCAGCACGGAGCCGAAAGACTCAGTGACTTATGAAGCATTCGCAATGACATTTGCCAAGAAGAAAGATTGCGCCAAGAAAGCCTATGATGCGGCCATTGACCGAGCCCGTCAGGAGGTAGATTTGGCCAAGACACGTCACAAACAGGAGCTTTCAAAGCTGGACTACCATCTTGCGAAGTGCTGCAGTGAAGGTGCAAAACAGAAAGGTTCAAGATCGAAGCATGTGCTTCCAGCAGGTCATGCTTCAGTGTCAAGTTCCATGTCAGGCTCAGAAACCTCAAGGTCTACTGAGATTGAAGACGATGCTTTAGAGTCTCCAGAGGACCCCTTTGACCTGCAGAAGTTCAAGGAGGCGAAACGGTCCTATGACTTGGCGCTGCAGGGATATGAGAAGGCCAGCTTTGCGATGCTTCAGGTCCAAGAGGCTGCCTGGAAGGTCTTCGTTGAAACTACTGCACAGGCGGCACAAGAACTCCGGCAAGCATGCGTTCCTCCAGATATTGTGGAAGCCACCACCTACCCAGCCAATTTCCATGAGCTCATCAATGTGCCCAGCTACACCAAGAAAGACTTGCGCACTCTCCTTGATGGTGCCGGAGGATGGTTGTGGAAGCACAAGAGCAGGTTCTGGGAATGTGACGACATTGACTTCACAGGATCAGAGCTCCAATTCCAGGCCTCCCTGGCCAAAGCCTGGTCCCGCGGTCCCCTTTGCCACGATGTGAACCGATGCCTCTAAGGATGATGCAACAACCATGAAACAGTTGGCTCCATACATTCAACACTTTCGCGAAGCTTTTCGAGGTAAAAAAGAGGAAGACCGCGCCTTGAAACCATTTGATGGCCGCCTCTTTCGACACATGCACCTTGATGATGTCATCGTGCAAAAATACCAAAAAGACTCCGTGGCTGTGTGGCCCACTTTCTCTTCCTGCACTTATGATGAGTCTTGGTTGAAAAACTGGGGCAACGTCGCATTTGAGATCCGGTGCTATGGGGCCATCAATGAGTCTGAGGGCGAGAATGCAGACAAGTTCTACTTGCCATGCCTCATCGAAAAACACGTCCTCCCCCAGTACGTGTACCAAAAAGAAGTTGTCCTGCCCCCATTCTGCTCTTTTCGGGTAGTCAACGTCAACAAAGCGGGCCCCGACTCCAAGACTCGCCTCTTTTTGGAGACAATGCAATTCCCATCTGTTTGGGAGAGCATTGGCTCTGGTAAAGCTGAAGACTTTGCGAAGTGGGCCAGGCAGAATCCTGACTTACTGAGTCTCACTGGAAATGACGTTTCTATTGTGAACGAAATCGCAAAGGCCGCAGTGGCAGCTCCACTACATGAAGATGGTTTGGCAGGATTTGGTGAGATGATGGCCAAGTGTGCAGCCATGGGCGCTCCGATGAGCGAAGTTGATCCAGCCACCGGTGCGACACCTGTGTTCACCTTGGCAGAAGGCATGGCGGGCTTAGACAAGGTGGCCACAGGAGCCAAGGAGGCCTTAGGCAAGATGATCAGAGACATGGCAAAGTCTGGGGCAAACCTCACCATTCCGTGCAAGGGCAAGAAGCTCGAAGAGCTCGTACCTGACCTGGTCAGCGATCTTGAAAAGGAAACACTGTTGACCTCAAAGTGACTTGGGCTTCACTTCAAGCACTCTGTTTGTAACTCAAATTGCTTTGTTTTCCTGCTTGGAGGCCAGGTAGGATTGCTTTCTTTTTCTCTTCGGCCAGGTTGAACGTATATCCAAGGTGGCAATATTGGGTGGACGATCGAGTTGATGGCAAGGCTGATGGTTGGTATGACTACAAGGCTGATGCATGGCAAAGGGTAAGTTCAGCATATTCTGAATGGTTGAAGGACGGAACAGTGCCGGAGATGGTGGTCAGAAGCGGGTTTTTCCACTACAAGGTCTGCTTTGGAGAGATGACGCAGACAAATCAGAGCACAGGCAAGAGCCGTCGCATTCGCCGCATTGTGACTGATGAGGTCCCAAAGTCACCTGCAAGTGAGTGTATCATTTCCTGATTGCCAACAGATTTGAAGCAGAAACTGCAAACAGATTTGAAGCAGAAACTGCAAACATATTTGAAGTAGAGTTTTGCAGTGCGAAACTCTCAGTAGCGGTCCGACCGAGGTCACATTCTCTTAGCCTTTTTGCTTTGATGCGGGAACGGTCGGCAAAAATTTGGTGTTTTGTGGTGTTTCCCTCTTCATCTCCGTCAAAACGCCTTTGGACAGCTAGATGACCACGCACATGACATTTTCTTTATCAGAAATGGGTGGACAATCTTACCAGAACCAGAAAACACAATAAGACACAAGCAAACCAGCTTTGCCAGTTGGTAGGATGGATGTTTGGTTGCAAGTCTGGGAATGAACCCTAACCTAGAGGCTCCTAGAGGACAAGGGAGGTATGTATGCAATCTGACAGGATGCTTTCTGGCGCTTGGTGCCTGGCACGAAACGTGCCAAAGAGGCGTTTGTGCGCCTAGCTGGTGTGGTGGAGTTGCTTCATCCGAAATCTCACAGAATTATGAACGGGGCGCCACTTTTTGAGAAGAATTATATATGGACCGTGCTGTGTTGGAGCCCAAACTCCCCGACAAACAAAGACCATCTAGTTCCGGTTTGGCAGGTGCCTTGCTTGTACATGCTTGTACCATCTTGTACTCTTTCGTCGGAAACCATTGTGCACTATGAATATTCATCACATTCGTTGTAGGCAATTTCCAATACTAACTTGTTTTGCATTTTGCTCTACTCGCAGCCGCGTGTTGATCTTCGAATTTGAATTGACTTGCCGTGATTGATTAACATTTTTTTTTGATCTACTGTACCGTGTGAACTGGACGGTCAAGAGGTTCAAGAATTATTGGCTGGACAATTGAAGGACCATACATTCCAAATTGAAGGCGTTCAAGGTCTAAGCAGAGGACAACGAAAAACGATGTTTCCACTTTGGCAAGTTCAGTGCTTGTACCCTTTGACCCCGTTCCAAATCCAGCGGAAGTCCCGTATTTTAAACTTTATCTTACAGGACCTCAGGATTATGAGTTATTTGCCCGTTTTGGGAGATATATGGACCGTACTGTGAAGTGCCTCAAGACTACTGATATTGACGACTGAAGGACACTTGAATATGACAGCCATCTTCCAATTTTGGCAAGTGCTTGAAACTATTGGCTTCACTCTTTCCATGTTGTGCTACCATAATATTCTACTGCTGAGGGAGGAGGCTTGGAGAGAGCACCCTCTCTTCGCCAATGCCAAGGACTGTGAGTGCAGATTTTCAGACTTTTTAACATCTCTTCACTGCTCTCCTCCCGCACTTTGAATAGTTTCTGGAATTTGTGATTCTGAGTTCTTAGATTCTTTTGGGGTACTGGGGTACTGTATTACTGACTATAGTAGTTCCTTTAGGGTTGTGGTGCCAAACAGGTCTTTAGACTTGTAACTTGTAACCCAAAACTCTTGGCCATGGCTTCCAGCCCAGGACCCCATGAACGGTCTGCTGAACCCTGATGACTACGAGAAGGGCCTCGGACTCGGGTCTTTGAGGTTTAAGTCTCTCCATGCTAATTAATCACATCAAGAGTTGCGAAGGGAAAGATAAACAGGTTCAGCTGCTCCTGGTGGATTGTAACTACATTAACCACTTTAAGAGGCTATCAGAGGTACTCGTAGGTAGCCTTTTCAATGCAATAGTCTTGGCAGCGCCTTCCAATTGGGTTTGGGATGCGACACTCAAATCCTTCCTCTTAGTCTTAGCCATTGCGTTCGGCTGCTGCGTTTCCGAGGCTTGGAGGAGGCATGGGAGCGAGCCAAGCCTGCCGGCAGTGTGGCTCCTGAGTGAAGACGGCTGGACCGAGCTGGACCGAGCTGGCCCGAGCTGGACTGATGGAGCTGCCAAGGCACTGTGACCGTGAAGGACAAGTTGGCCAAGCTCTCCAAGCAGAACGCCCCACACTGGGAGCCGTGGCGCATGATTACACCATGGGCAGGGTTTGACGAAGCAACAAAGTGAGCAACAAAGTGAGCCACAATTGGGTTTGTGGAAAAGGTTCCCCTGACTTTGATCTCTTAATTGATTATCATAAAATGAATAAAACTCGAATATTGTGGTGTAATGTATGATTTGCTGCTGAAAAGCCTGCTCTGCAAAGGTTCTGTCCCACATGTGTCACCAAGAAGGCGTTGCTGATAGCGTCCTGCCCTGCCACAAATGGATACAAATGGCCCTTCAACATGAGATTTCCGGAACTCAGGGGATGAGCGAGCTGCTTCTGCCTTTCCAGTCCTTTGTTCAGCCTTGGGCGGTTTCTGATGTCTTCGGCTTAAGGAAACTTGGAAGAGCCTCTCCGCCTAAGCGCTTTTCTCTTGAGGCAGGATACGGGGATGGCAACAATTCTCAGAGATGCCAGGGGGGCCATGATATGCCATGAGATTAACGTATTTCAAGCTTGCTGGGAGCGCAATATGCAACGGAGGGACTAACGAAGTCCAAACGATTTGTTATTCACAGACGGACTTGGCAATTAGCATGTTAGGCAAGGTCAAACCCTTTCTTTCAATATGTTTGCTGGATTTTGTTGGTAACTATTTGGGCATTTAGATCTCAACCAATGCCTAGCTTCCCGTCTAGCTTTCATATTCTGAAGTTTCATCTACAAACCGTGGGAGGAAATTAAACACGTGAAACTTGGCATGTCCAGGCATAAGTGCCGTGTCTTCCTGAAGCGTGGGCGTCATGGAATGGAGTCATGTGGCTGCATGGCAACGACCATGTGCGGGGAAACATCTCCCCATAGGCCGTAGGTCTCATGATGAGACATCTTCATGCTGAAACCCTGTTGGCACAGATTCCTCCATGCACGGAGGCTATGTTGAAAGACAAACACTTCCACAACTGGATCAACAGAGGGTTCCACTCGTACCCAAGTCTTACCTGCAACATCGTGCAACATGCTAAGTGTGATTCTGGTGGATTTCTTGATTTAGCTACCCAGCGGCACCTCGCTCGGTGTGAGCTGGTTTTGGAGATGGTGACTCGGTCGATGAGTTGAAGTCACTTTTTGAAATGCCGAGCGAAAGTACCGCTTTGCAAACACAAGAAAAGTGCCGATTCATCGGTGGTTTGGGTTGCGTTCAATGATTTGGTGTGGCGATTTCTTTTGAGAAACTGGGGCACCTCCATGGGTGTTTCTGGGCGTTCAAGTTCCTCGGGGTCAGACTTAAGTACAGCCTTTGTACTTGTTTATTTTTGTGCGAATGGCAAGGGTTTTGATTGAAATCAGACAGATGCACGATGAAGCAGTCAAAACGTCGGCCAGATTTGGGTGGCAGCTCATAAGCAGGGCCTTCCCCTATTTGGCCCAGCATTGTGCCCTGGCTGCTGCTTTTGGCTCATTTGTGGCGATGCGTCAAAGTAACGCACCCTCAAAGAGTGTGCGGAATTTATACCGGCGGAGCAGGCACTGTGCCAGGTTCTCAAGCTTTGGTCTAAGGAGGTTGGACCTTAGCCCAGCAACTTACAGCAACTTTGGGAAGTGAGTTTGGCAATGTTTGGCATGGAATGTGCTTAAGTCTTTCAGGCTGTGTGAGTTGCCAAACCACACCAGCTGCTTGCGTTAGTTTGACTGCGGACTTCCGATTCTGTGATCCCTGGCATGTTGCTGAGGAGCAGCAATGGCTCGACCAGGCCATGATAAGACGGCGACATGATGACATTTGATGGCTTTTCAAGAGTTGGTGATCACGGTCTCAAAGGTTGCAACCTCCTCACCCCTGGTCACCCCTGCAGCTGCACCCCGGAGGACGACTGATTTTGTTGGCTGCCGCGCTTCTGAGTGGCTGGGTGGCCTAGGTTGACTCCGGGCTACTGCACCACTGCCACGCTTGGGGAGAGGTTCTTGTGGCATGTTTACTGCTCCAAAACAGAGCCAAGGCATCTCCTGGTGCTTCTTGTCCAGCCCAGAGAAGTTGCCAAAGGCGGGGCCTTCTGAGCAAAATGTTCATCTCACCTGGTAGTCACTGGTCCTGTTGATATTTGTTGATCTCAGTCGTTGCGGCGATGGTAGCACCATGTAGCACCCATAGGCCAAGTCTGGGATTGACTTCAACCCAGCAGTGGTGGGGGTGCTCAAGAATGCTCAAAAGGTCATGTTGGTAACTGAAGATGATTGCCTCTGAATTTGTTCGGAGAACTGTTAGCTGCGGTGAAGCTGAGCGCCGTTGTCTGAGTTTTTGACTATGGTTCTACACCGATGTTACGCGTTCTATGAGCGCAGATGAACACAGACTCTCTCTCTCTCCAGAAGACCAAAGTCTGCTGATGTCTGTCCAAAAACCAACTTCTTCCTAAGTTGGTGCTGTGCTGTGCCAGCCTTGTGGGACCACATCTGCCAAGGCTGCCTCTGCTGCGCTGCCAGCCTTGACGATGCTGGCGGAGGATGCGGAGGCGAAGTATGGCGACAATCGAAAGTGGCCACGGCACCTGGGGGAGGACAGAGGGGTTCTGATGTGGTGCTGGAGGTAGTGATAGGGTATCTGTGATGACTTTGATGGTTGTCCTGTGATCTGCCATTGACCAGTTTACATTTTTGGTGGGGCCTTCATTAAGGATGTCTGAAAGACCATGGTGCTCCAAACACGCATCCTTGCCCGCCTTGATTAAGCGCAAGATCCATGAGGTCGGCTGTCCTGGTGCCTCTGACCACCTTGGTCTTCCCAATGGTTGGCTTCGGCTCCTTCGCTGCAGCCTCAGTCCCTTTGGTGCGAAATGATGTCATCAAATGTAGGCTGTGCAGATATGCACAAGTACCGCAATTTGACAGGCTTGTTGGGTCTGGAAAGAATGCAATATACTTTTTCTTCAAGGAAACAAACTGATGGCACATGTGTCAATCTGACCAGTGCGTTCCAAACGACAGGTTCTGTACTCCTTCCAGGAGGCCTGTGCAGGGCATATGTGGGGGGCAGGAGCAAGCACTTGCGCGTTTGGCTTTTTAGCGAGTGGGAATGAGACTGCACTGAATGGTGCAGAGAACCACAGCATATCCCGAGCCAAAAGGAGCCACATCGAACAGAGACATGCGCTTGTCAGGATGCCTTTTGGCGCCTCGTGCCGGGCACCAAGCGTGCCAAGGAAGCGCAGGGACCTTGGCGGCCTTCAACTTCTGGCGAATAGCGAACAGTTGCGGTTGCGACCTTTCATTCCCCACAGAATACTTTGTCCACCACTCTACCACTCAGCCTTGTTTCTTGTTGGATGATATTGGAGCTGTCTCACTGGGGAGATCAGCGGCCATTTGTCTTGGCCCGAACCATTCGTTTATGCACCGGCCTTCCGCTGTTCACCACTGAGGGAGGAGGCCTGGAGAGAGCATCCCCTCTTCGCCAATGCCAAGGACTGTGGTGAATTAGCTACGAAGACCTTAAACAAATGATGCAAGTACCAAGCTTGGTTATGAGTAGGGCATGTGCAGTCGGCAGAGAAGAAGAACATTTTCGCTTGCCTTGCAGTTGAGGATCCCATGAACGGCCTCCTGAATCCGGACGATTATGAGAAGGGCGAGGAAAGCCCAGCCAGATGGTTATTTCCCAGGAAGATAGAAGATCAATCCCTTCCAAAGATGACTGGCACATTCCACCCTCCTACACATGATTTTTTTGCAGAGCACACAGCATAGAGCACTTGCCGAATATGTGCCAAAGATGCTAAAGTCAGATTCATGAAATAGTACCCCGCACCATTCAGCGGCATAGTCAAGGTCTGGAGGAGGCATGGGAGCGTGCAAAGCCTGCGGGCAGTGGGGCGCACCAAGCAATGCCTTGGCTGAGAGGGTTGATGCCGTTGACGCATGTTTGTGGTCAGCTGTCCATTGTGGTACACGCATGTGAAAGCCAAGAAGAATGATTCAGAACGATCCTCAATATCATTCAATATCTATGTCTATGTAATGTATTCTGAGGCACTGTGACCGTGAAGGACAAGCTCGCCAAGCTGTCCAAGCAGAATGCCCCACACTGGGCTCCCTGGCATTGAACTGTGGTTGGCACGGTGAAAGTCTACCCAAGTCTGGCATCCGTACAAGCAAAGAGTTTCAGAGGAAGCTCTGTCTCGAAGCACATCTGTTTGGACAATTGCTGTGCCCCAACGACACATGCAAGCAGGGCTGATCATTTTTTTGTAGCGGCAAATGTTCATGCATGTTCACGCAAAACCTGCATCTCACCATGGATATTGGTTGGAGGGCTGAGAGCTGATGGGCCCACCACCCCAGCTGCTCCAAGGAGACTTGGAAGAGCCTCTCCGCCTAGGCGGTGGCATAGGCGCGCCAAAAAGTGGGATTAACATGTTTTTGAGGCTGATGTGGTTATTTAAGTTTATCTTTTTGATGTTGTTGACGATGACGATGACGATGACGATGACGATGGAGATGACGATGACGATGGAGATGACGATGACGATGGGGATGATGATGACGACGACGACGACGACGACGATGGTGATGGTGATGATGATGATGATGATGATGATGATGATGATCATGGTGTCGATGATGATGATTACGATGATAATTATGAAGGCCAGCATCTTTCGGCACATTGTATTTCAATTGCTCTTGCTGTGCTTCATGAATTCGTTTTTCTTACATGCAACTTTCGATTTCAACAACATTACCAAGTTGAAGGTGGCGACCTCATGTTGCTAGGACAATCCAGGATCTAGGCACTGACACCTCGGAGGCCCACTTTTCAGTCTGATAGAATTTCTGATGGTTTGACTCCTACAGCATCAGATCCTTGGCATCAACTGAGATTTGTGGCCGACATCTGAGAAGATTGCTGGCGCTGGGGTCAACTAAGACCTGGAAAGCTGTGCCGGAAGCATCCGCCATTTTTAAGCTGGAAAAAGGCTGGGCTTGTGGAGCAAAGTGAGATTGAAGAACTGACGGTAGCTCTACTGCATTTCACAGCACTGTATTGGCACAGTGCAACCCTTGGCAGAGAAAGGAGGTACACTCAAGAACAGATCCCGGTTTGTTAGCTCAACACACCAAGAGACGATAGGTACTGTACGGCATGCTGGAAGTCCTTAAGTCCCACGTTTTTATTCAAGCAATTTGTTTCTTTATTTCTGCAAGACAGATTTGGAACCTCGTTCGGAGAGTGAACGGAAGTCATTAGTGAAGCTCGGAAGAAGATTGTTTTGTCCCTGTGAACTTGGCTGAACTGCTGCTGAGAACAGCCACTTGTGCTAGATGTTGCTGTGCCGCGGCATTTTTTCTTTGAAGCTGGCCAAATGCAAACACTCACAGTGATTGCTGCAATAATTCATCTAAGAGCTTCGCATGCGCACGGCAGCAGCCTACTTGATAGGAAGAGGCCTGTGATACAAGCAAGAGACGTAAAGGAACTTTGAAGACACGCAGGCATTGTTTGTCTGGGCACCGAGAACATTACGAGGTACAGGGCATGTGCAAACTTTCTTTCAGAAGTCTAGAGACCATCTAGATCTAGACATTGAGACTTGACCACATGAATCGTTGATGACTGCAGCCCCAGATGCCGCTTTCATGCCAGCAATGAGTGATAGCAAAAACACATATTACTCCCTTATGAGTTAGCGCCCACAACACATGACATGCTTCACATTGTACTCTACCAAAATCCACCACAGGTAGCCCTTATTGCTTCACTCTTGACCTCCATTCTGTTGTGTCGTGCCGCTGTTTCTCACCAAACACCTGGCGGAGCAGGCAGGATGGCTTGCCCTGCAGGAGAACTTGTGTGCGTAGTGATGTGCCAATGTATTGCCAGTGTATCCATCATGGCTTGGGTCTGTGACCTTTACTGCAGGCGCAGAGCGCATGCGCTTCATGGATAGGCCACAACTGGGCCACGGGGGATGCCGGAGGTGTGCATGTGGGGACTTTCCATTTTCAGACCCATCATCCCAGTCATCTTAAACATCTTTTTCCCAGATCCACTGTGATCCACTGTATGATCCTGTGGATTCCTGTGGTACGACGTACGATATCGTACGATGCTTTTTCGGGGATCCATACCGTGCAGGTGTCTCCCAGATCTACACGATGGGTTCAGTTTTAATGTTCTCCCTCGAGGCCAGAAAACATGGTGCTAGTGACAGAGGGTGGAAACGCTTGGAATCATTTGCGACAAACAGATACTGTATCATATGATTATCATGACATGTCATATAATCTTTTTCTGAAACATGATAAACATGTCTACTTAACTTTGTGTGAAATACGATGGACTTTGTACTTGCAGGTCCCGGAAGGTTTGATTTGCGGACAAATAACATGTATTTTACAACATATTTTTGTTGGTGCTTTTGAGGAGCTGGGGCTGTGGCCAAAGCTGCCACGTACAAGACTTCCTTTGAGTTTCCAGGCGCTGGCGGAACATGACAAGTATGGTGGTGGATGTCTGCTGTAGAAAAGTGCTCTGCTTGAAGAGGTTGTTTGTTTTCCCCCAGTCCTCAGCAACAGCAAGATTAAAGAAGGGTAGCAGGGTAGCCTTTAGTCTCAAGGTGGATACACGGGAACATTGTGTACTATTGTATAGAATTACACAATGTATATAATTTTCTACGTCCTCTGCTGCCTAGCGAGCATTCAACAAAGACAGATCAGGTACATACAGCAGCAAGAGCTGTACCGTCTGTCCTCCAGATTTTCTATCAAAGTTTATCTGGACATGTTCGCCGGAATTTCCCAATCAACTAGCGTTGTATCCTTAGAGCTTACAGACTTGAGTTGCAATCCTCAATCAAGGTTCTAGCATGAAGGCAGTCAAGTTGAAGAGGGCACATAAGGAAGAGATTGTGAAAGCCTTCCCCACATTTCCAGATGCTGCTTGTCCCTATCAGCTGTTCTGTAGGCGACCAGTTTGGACAGGCAACATTGCGGGGTTTGTTCTGAGTTCCAAGGGCGGGAGGCCGCACACCAGGTGACCATAGACTGACCGTAGACATCCATAGACTATATAATTCAAGTTCGACCCTTGATGACACCCCCCGGCCTGGTCATGTGGATCCAGTTCGTTATAGTTCGTTCATGTTCGTTCCTTGGGAGGACTTGCACGTTCTTCATCTCGGGGGAAAGATAAACCATCAATCCCTCAACTCTGTTAGGCGAGACATCTTTGACATTGTGCACAGATAGTAGACACATGCAACACAGATTATGTTAGTTAATTTCACTCTTCAAAAATCTTCAAAACACGTGGAGATTTATGCAGCGCATTTGCTATGATTCCTGTCATTACGCATGTTCTTACTACTGCCGCACTCTCAACATCTCTCAACGCTCTGAGTCCCGCACCTGCTCCCTTGTCGCAATGGGTGAGGCAAGTGAGGAGCAACTTACCAACGAGCAGGCAGCTCTCCAAGCTGAACTGAAGCGAGAAAAGCAGCTTGCTGCCACTTGGTCCAAGCCGGGGAGAAGTCAACGAGTAGCCCAGTAGATCCAGTAGCTTATCAGTGACTGATGCATGGGATGCAGTTCGCTGATGCAGGTCAACATTGAAAGATACATATTTTTATTTTCTTCTTATTATTGTATGTAATGTAATGTAATGTAATGTAATGTAATGGTATGGTATGGTATGGTATGGTATGGTATGGTATGGCATGTATGTATGGAAATAATTATATAGAGACATACATGCTATGTATATCATATATCAATGTATATATATATATGATATATATATATAATCTTATATATATATATGAATATGTTCATATTATATTGATATTCACATATTGTATTTGTCGATATTTGTGCTATATTTCTACCATATCGGCACTGCAGTTGGAGCTTTACAGCTGAGGCCATGGAGGAGTCGGCGGATGAGTTGGCAGAAGGTGCCAGCAACTTCTTAGTCTTTTGGTGACTCTTGTACAACTTGTACCTGACTTTCTGGTTCAAATATGTTCAAATTTGGTCAAAAAGGCCTCTCATTTCTGGATATTTCAGGTGTAGACTGAGGTTGAAATTCTGCTTTTGAAGCCAGGGCAAGTGCAGACTAGTGATCCACAGTAAGTAGTGATCCATGCAACAGATGAATGCGGCAACCACCAATGAAACGAAGTCCCAAACAGCCCAGCTCAAACTGTGGGATCAAAATATGTGGGGTTTGGGGGCTCATGCCAATCCAATAAGGCCTGAGCACTTTGTGCCCGTGCAGCCATACTGTGTGCGGACTTTCTAATCCAACTTAGTAGAACTGGGAACTTTATGGAACTTTTTCATTTAGTAAAAACCCAAACTTTCATAGAACCTCAAAGCATTTGTTCTGCCAGTGTGCGAGTTGACGTAGAGGGGATAATTGCCACGGCTTTGGCTTAGAATGGAAAATGGGAGACTTGACGCCTGGCTCAATCTCAGAATTATCCCCTTCTTTTTGTACCAAAGATTATTAGAACCTTCCGTGCGTTCTAAGTCAGGAACATAGGATGTGGCGAGGTGGAGTTTGTTGTGTCCAACCAGCTACATTCTCAATATTCCGCGTGGATGTCCATGGATGGCAAATGCAATCCTGATCGTTAATTCTTTGCGGCAGTGTTGAACTTGGGAATTCTTGCAAGCTTTGCAAGGTACACGCCCCATAGGTCCATAGGTTCATTCCTGGTGCTCTCGTCTGTTGTTTGGCACTGTAGAATATGTCATGAGAAGACAAGACAGGTTTTTAGCCTATCAAAGATATAGTACATTATTTTGTTCTCATGCTCGATGTGCACGAAGATGCTCTGACAGGGACTTTTCTAGCTGCGGGAGGTTCTTTACCTCTTAAGTATTTATAAGCTGGAAGAAATTCAATATCGAGTCATTAGTACATGGTGCTTATGGTCACTTCTGCATGTTGGTTCAGTGCAGGTGGAGACCACAACTGGATTGCAATTACGGAAAAGTGCCGACCGATACGTTGTCAATTGAAAGTAATGGGTACAATGACGACGCACACTTTCACTCCAACTGTCGCAAACAACTCACTATTGTAAAGGTCACATGTCACCCTGCACATGTCCTACCTACGAATTGTAACGACGTAACATCATGTCATGGTCGCTTCTGTTTTCTATCTTGAGGTCGCCAGGCAGATCCAAGATGGCTTCATGTGACCACACGCGCGCGCTCGCCAAACATCTGACAGAGGGCATGATTGTCAGCGGCCAGCTATGTGTGAAAGTGGCGCTGCCCCGCGGATTCGCGACGTGCTTGAAATTGACTTGTGGCGCCAACAGAATGAGACGGTTTATACCCGCACACGTGCTCATGACGCGCCCTGCAGGCAAACTAACAGCTGCCGTGGACCACGCGTACTCGATGGCGGAATATGCACGGGTTTGGGCAGAGCGCGCCTCTTCAATAGTTGACGCCCCTCGGACTGAAGTGTGCCAGCAGCCGGAAGCTAGGGAAAAAAAGTCATGTTGCTGTTGCGTTGTGGTTGTGAGTTTCTCCAAAGCGGCGTCTTGTCAAACAACGCCATTTGTGAGATTATGTCGCGCTTCAACCTGCTTGGCCATTTGAATCATGTTGGTTTGTTGTTTCAAAGTGTCTTTGACAAGACATGTTGCACCAAACTATTGTTGAGAGACATGGTCGTGTTCTAATACGTAGTTGGGCTGTCATTGAGTCCTGGACCTAAATCCAGCCAGATGCATGATTATAAAAAGGTGGATTTGCTTTGATATGCTAAAGTCAAGACACACATGGACGAAGGCAACCTGAAACCATGACTTTTGAATTCTGCATATTTTGACAGCCCTTAACATGTCTTCTCGCAATTAGATATGGTTGTGATTTCAATCGTGTGTGCACATTCCTTTGGCCAATCCTTCAGGTCAATCAATTGTGCGATTTTTCGGACTGGATCTTTGGAAACTGTAAATGATGTAAATGCTTGTGTTGAGTGCCAAGGCCACCCGTGAAGAACAAGCCGACCAAGAAGCAGTTCCTCGTCAATGCGAAAGGTCTGCCAACTCTGGTTCTTTGGGGACCCTTCTTTGAGGCTCAAATTTGTGCACTTGCTTACGAAACCTGCCGGTTTCTTTGTTTATTTTTGTATCTATAGCACTTGCATCAATGTGCCCCAAAGCAGACCACAACCTACAACAATTTTCCGGACAGCACTGAACACCAATCACGTCTTTCACGTCTTTCTGAGTCTCAAATGTCATCATGTTATTGTCGCAGCCAAGGTGGACATTGCGATGCTTTGCAGCGTTGGGATCGGTGACCGCAGGTGTCGCAGTTTCTTTTTACATACCAAACAGGCAGATTTTGTCTAACTTTGACCCAACATTTTGGTTTCAAGTTTCAGACTACATAATTATATATAGGATACATATCCTCACATTGCAGTATACTACAGTGCATTATCATATAATATACGTATATATATATATATTTATAATATTATATATTCACAGATGCACATCACATATCGTATATATTACATACGCACATATATGTATATACATACATCATAATTGTTTACATATATATATATATGATTATATATATATATGCACAATGCGCAGTCATTGTCACATTACTGTGCATCACGTTCATGCGTATCAACAAAAAAGGTTCCTCATGCACCGAATCATTTTTGCCAGAGTTTCAAGGCGTTCGCCATGCGAAACAACTAATCATTAGGTCAGATTCAACATGAGCGGATTACCGCGAAGCTATGATGCAGCTGCGTTTTATCAACGGTGACATTCCTACTGTGCGATATCCGCTCATGTACCACCGCCGGCACACATACAGATGTTGTGTCAGGAATAGCTGGATTCAAGCATTGCGATCATTTTCTGTGAATGCCACGTTGTTTCTGCAAGTGCTCTTCTCATAGACCTGGTCGGAGAAATGCACTGAAGGAATACTGAGCCAAACACGCTGCTGGATTGTTTGACAGACCCCTCCTCACAGGGATCAACCCCAGGCATGCCGAGAGGTGTTGATCATCCATAATCTATGGCTAATCAGTGTTGGTGATTTGCAATTTCTGTGTCAGAGATTTACATGGAAGTGTTGAAGTCCATTTTGGGCCCAATGTCAAAATATTCTGCGCATTCTTCAGATTTGATTTCTGATGGAAACCAGCTGCTCCAAGGACCGACTTGGCCAAGGCTGCGCGTCGAGCAGAGAAGGTGGGGCGGGTTCAAACAGAGTTCGCCAGTCACGAGATTCGTGACACATCCATACAATACATCATACAAGGGATATGAGTAGTCTCTTGGCAGTTGAAACTTCAACCGAAGGGTACTACCAAAGGGCTTCAAGATGTGAACTTTGCTCGGCACTTCTGTCAGGCATTGATCGGCGTGAATGAATCCTTGAAAGCATTGGATGTGGCAAGGCGGTCACGGGAGTTGATGACCTGTGACGATGACTGATGGAAGCAACTTTGTGACAGCTGCTTTGTTGGAAGACCAAGGACGTTTCAAAGACCAATCTGTGCAGGATTGAATCCTTGTTTGTTTCCAGTTTCAGTATTTCTTGATGCCAATTGCATCACCAGTAGTTTTCTGGCCAGGGGCCGCCCAGTGTTTTAGTGGTGAGAACCATGGAGAGCTGTCAGCGAGATGAATTCGTATATTGCCTTTTGACTAGGCAAGAGTGCTAGGAGGTAATGGCAGACACATGCCTCAGCATGTAGCAAGATGTTGGAACTGTCGAAATATGTATTTTTTTTTGAAACCCCTTATTATAACTTATAAATAGAAAACACAGTGTGCCAGAGAGGTCAGTGGAGGTATCTTAGCGGGGTGTGAACATGTGTGAACCAGGTTCAATCTTGAGTTGCAAGAGAAGCTGGGGTCAACCGATCCCCAAATGGAGGCCATCACAGCAGGGTTAAAGGAGCCGCCACAGTGCTCTGCGGGATGTCAAGCACCTGCCACTGCTCCATTTGATCTTTCCTGTTTGAAGTGAAGTAGTATTATACATTAATATATTAATATTAGCTGTTGGTTTCTGGATTTATGTGCTCTAAACATTAACGCTTGAAATCATGTCAAAAGTTTCAACGGACCCTTCACACACAAATTTCAAGTCGCCAGCGCTGCTTTGTTGCAGATCTATGTTCTCAAAAAGACGGGTGAGGCAGCGACCAAGGCAGGGTGAGTTGAGGGGAATTTCTGAGCATATGATTCTGTGTATGGCTAAAATGACCCCAAACTCCTCCAGGTTCCGTATCCGGTGGAGATCATGCATGATTTCCAAGATCACATAACTTGAAGCGGGTATTCAGCACAGGTCGCAAAGGACAAGTCACAAAGGTGAAGGATGTTTACCAACTGAGACAGGAATGCTTCGAAATAAACTTACGTAGGCTCGAGGTAATGCCATCGTTTGGCGTGGGAATCTGAATCCCTGGAAAAAAGTATTGCCAGGTAATCCATGGTAATCCCAGAGTACAGTATGTGTTGAGTATTACAGTGGTCGTCCCAGGGGGCACAGTGCTCTTTGGAGTCGAGGGATCAGCGGGTCATTGAACCAGGCCTCGGATGCGATGCACATGGCCTTGCAGGCCTGGGCCGACTGAAGCTGATTGGCTGGCCATGTATGGCCCTGGGGAAGTTGAGGCCATTGAAACAATCCCCAAGCAGAAAGTAACTTGGTTTTTCGTTTTTTCGTGCCTACAGTCTAGGGGATTCGACCTTGCTGCAGTACCCACAGTTGTATTGTTGTACAGTTGTACCGACCCGTTCAAAAGCACTGTATCCTTCACCTTTACGGAAATCTGGATATGTGGCAATTTGTCACCACTGTCATTACCGTTAGAACAATCGTTAGAACAATCGTTAGAACAATCGTTAGAGCAATCGTTAGAGCAATCGTTAGAATATGTTAGAATGGCAATGGCAATAGTTTTATCTAGCACATTATGATAATAACATCATAGAACAATCACAATCAGCAGCATCACCACCTCAGTAGGGTCCTAGGAAGTTGAACTTCAGGTGGCCACCAGGGCACAGAACTTGACCGACGAGGCGGTGTCTCATGGGGTCACTTCCATGCCGAAGCTGCGGGTGTCCGATGTGCACCTCACCCCGGTGAATGAGGCCACGGGGATGCGGCCACAGGGATAGGGAAGACAGGGACTGATGGAAGCTGAGCTTTGGGAGTCTCCAGCGAAGAGGAAGGTTCCACATGGTTCCACCAGGTCGGTGAAAAAGCACCGACTGGAATTTTGCAAGTGATATCAAGTGATATCCTTCCATATCCTAATTTTGATAATTCAGGATTTGCGTGTGACGTGGCGTGCAGGCCGAGGGTGCCGACTTCAATGCCAACCAGGAGAGTTGCCATGATCCAGCTGGAAAGCGGGTGAGACGTCCATGGAACTGCTAGTTGGCTTAGTTGCCGCGCCTTGCTCCGGAAATAGCTATATAGTTTAGTTTAGTTGGGTTCAGCGAAGGGATCCGTCGTGCTCTATACAGTACCCAATTTTGAGTTCACAGCTTCCACTTTGTAAAGATGGCTTTGCTATTGGACTGGGGGTTGGCAAGAAAACCATGCCCATGCCTATGTACCCGCCTCCGTAGTCTCGTCAGATTTTGTGATATTGCTTGATGCTCTTTCATGCCCTTTCCTTTTCATCATTTTCAAGGGTCTTTGGACCAAGCATTTGCCCGGGCCTGGCACGTTTGCTGCATGGCCTTGTTAGGAGCATTCGCCCGATGAGTTGGTGGGGCAGGGGCACGGCAAAGAGGCTGAGACCTGGGGGAACCTTCAGGAGGTTTTCAGTGTGTGTGGCTCGAGACTGACGCTCGATCCCATGAGTAATCTATGAACACTTTCAGCTCGTAGCTGGTGATAGGCAGGGGGGCCTTAGCCAACACCAGCTTCTACCCGACACCAAGTCGTTATTCAGAATATGGTACATGGCGGCTTTTTGGAGGAAATGAAGGCTCTGATATTGCAGATCCAGCTTTAGAGTCACTGCAGGTCTTGCGAGCCAAGCACAAGATCGACAAGATGGACAATGGAGTTCCACTAGGCGGGTTGTGATGGTTGTGGCTCCCACCTCCCCATCTGCTTGGTTGATATTGCTTATGTGTTTTGCACAAAGTATACAATTAAATATACACAATGTGACACAACATTAACATAGATTGACAATAAGTGCAGCACCTATCAGTGTAGCTATCCTTTCAATGGGGATTGCATAGAATGTCATCGCTCCAGTGCGATGGGCATCAGCTCCATCCCCTTGGATCCAGTGGAGGAAAACAGATCTGTCCTCTATCCGCTAGAGGTTTCTATGGCAGCTAAGTGTTTTCCAGAGAGTTGTGGATGGGCAGCCGCATCCAGGTCTAACGTCAGCTGGATGCCACTGCGACCCACAGGTGCGGCAGTCACCGACACTGTTGGCTTAAGAAATTTCACACCACATTTGGCCTCCAGCTGTTCAAAGTCAAGGGCCCAATAGGAAAGCTGAGAACCAGCCATGTGATGATGCCATGTGTAGGTAGTGGTACTTTCAGGTAGCAGTACAGGTCTGACCCTGTCAAAGGTTTGGGGAGAATCCACTGGAGGTGGCCACGGAACACAAGACCCATGACACTTGCCGTTTCTGTAGCACATAAGGCATCAATTGCATCGGAATCGCTCGTCATCGCTGTCCCTTGCAATGGCAGCTTCGAAGACTCATCGCACACGAGGAATCAGCGATTTGTTTGGAGCAGCCGTTTTCGACCAGCGAGTGAAGGACAAGGTTGATCGCTTCGCAGTTACTTGTGGCTGGAAGCTGCACTTGTCGTAGAATAGAATCGATGTGTGCTTTAAGCATCTTGAAGTCATAATTCAGAGTTTGTTTCATTTTCTTTCAGGCGCTTCCTGAAGTTATCAGCCTGAATTCTTTCTCAAAAGGCAACCATGGGCAAAGCAAGCACGTGAAAAGGGAGCATGTTTGGCTTTCTGCAAACGGCAGGACCAAGTGAAAGCGCTGCACATTGTTCCCTTCCTCTACTTCAAGGAAAAGTTGACCTTGGATGAAGTGAAGCAAACCCTCTTTGAGAAGCTAATGCCCATTGCTCGTTTTCGCAGCAAGGTTGAGGGTGTTGCCTCCGGCATGATCAGCGTTCAATCTGCATTTGTGGAGCTTGATGAAGCGGCTGTGAAGGCATCAATGGACGTATTGGTGATGTGGCTGCAAGGACCCGAAATTTTGGCCAATCATTGGCCAATCAGCCAACCAACATTTGACAGAGCTGGAGCTGAGACGATTTGATTCTGATGAATTCTGATGATCTATGTTGACTATTGTTGACTAAGGCCAAGGACTGCCACTGCTAAGGTAGCTGATACTTACAGATAGTTCAATCGCTTCCTCAGGATTGCTCTGTAACGACAGCATTTGAGGCATCTCCCTAGTGAGCTGGGATCCAGGTGGCTCTATCTGTTTTGGAATTGGGAACACCAAATTGGCACTATGGACATGTAGGTTTTGCATGACATGTTTGTTGTGTTCGGTGCGACAATGTGATACTGAACACACACACACATATATATAGATAGGTACCGCGAATGTATCTATACATATATATATATGATTTATCATGTCATTTATTTTTTTCAGCGCTTTGCAGTGCATATTCGGGAGCCAACGCAATCAATGCTCCGCATAAATGAAGGGCCTATGTGATTTCCACAATGGTCGAGTGACTGACAGTCTGACTAATTGACTGAATGAAACAAACACTGAGATGTAGAACAAAAAATGGTGACGCTGTTTTTGTTTACACACAGACACACAAGAACAAGAATTGATTCATACAACTTATATAAACACATATCACCAACGCAGCGCTGTTGCATCATGGACACATAGATGCGCAGACACTCAGATGGATTATGCAGACATGTATATATCAAACTTTGGGAGAAGAGCAAATTGATAAACCAAAAACCAAACCTCACATCTGAATCTCTCATCAGTGTATATTCATACTGCATACGCACACATTTTATCTATCCATCTTATCCATCTTATCCATCTTATCTATCCTATCTATCTTATGTATCTTATGTATCTTATGTATCTTATCTATCTTATGTATCTTATCTATCTTATCTATCTTATCTATCTTATCTATCTTATCTATCTTATCTATCTTATCTATCTTATCTATCTTATCTATCTTATCTATCTTATCTATCTTATCTATCTTATCTATCTTATGTATCTTATTTATCTTATGTATCTTATCTATCTTATCATTCTTATCTATCTTATCTATCCTATCTATCTTATCTATCTTATCTATCTTAGTCTATCTTATCTATCTTATCTATCTTATCTATCTTATCTATCTTATCTATCCTATCTATCTTATCTATCTTATCTATCTTAGTCTATCTTAATCTATCTTAATCTATCTAGTCTATCTATCTATCTATCTATCTATCTATCTATCTATCTATCTATCTTATCTATCTTATCTATCTTATCTATCTTATCTACCTAATCTATCTTATCTATCTTATCTATCTTATCTATCTTATCCATCTTATCCATCTTATCCATCTTATCTATCCTATCTATCTTATGTATCTTATGTATCTTATGTATCTTATCTATCTTATCTATCTTATCTATCTTATCTATCTTATCTATCTTATCTATCTTATCTATCTTATCTATCTTATCTATCTTATCCTCTTATCTCTCTTATCTATCTTATCCATCTTATCTATCTTATCTATCTTATCTATCTTATCTATCTTATCTATCTTATCTATCTTATCCATCTCATCTTATCTATCTTATCTATCTTATCATCTTATCTATCTTATCATCTTATCTATCTTATCATCTTATCTATCTCTATCTTATCATCTTATCCATCTTATCCATCTTATCTATCTTATCTATCTTATCTATCTTATCTATCTTATCTATCTTATCTATCTTATCTATCTCTATCTATCTATCTATCTAATCTATCTAATCTATCTAATCTATCTAATCTATCTAATCTATCTAATCTATCTATCTAATCTATCTAATCTATCTAATCTATCTAATCTATCTAATCTATCTAATCTATCTAATCTATCTAATCTATCTAATCTATCTAATCTATCTAATCTATCTAATCTATCTCTATCTAATCTATCTAATCTAATCTATCTAATCTATCTAATCTATCTAATCTATCTAATCTATCTAATCTATCTAATCTATCTAATCTATCTAATCTATCTAATCTATCTAATCTATCTAACCTATCTGTCTATCTGTCTATCTGTCTATCTGTCTATCTGTCTATCTGTCTATCTGTCTATCTACCTATCTATCTATCTATCTATCTAATCTATCTAATCTATCTATCTATCTATCTATCTATCGTATCTTTCTTATCTATCTTATCTATCTTGTCTATCTTATGTATCTTATGTATCTTATCCATCTTATGCATCTTATCTATCTTATATATCTTATCTATCTTATCTATCTTATCTATCTGAGCCATCTTAGCTATTTTAGCTATCTTATCTATCTTATCCATCCTATCTATCCTATCTTATCTATCTTATCTATCTCATCTATTTTATTTATCTTGTCTATCTTGTCTATCTTGTCTTTCTGATCTATCTTGTCCATCCTTTCTATCTAATCTACCTAATCGATCTAACCGATCTAATCGATCTTACCGATCTAATCGATCTAATCGATCCAATCTATCCAATCTATCCAATCTATCAAATCTATCCAATCAATCTAATCTATCCAATCTATCCAGGCTATCCTATCTATTCAATCTTTCCTATCTATCCAATCTATCCAATCTATCCTATCTATCCTACCTATCTATCTCTCTTTCTATCTAATCTATCTGTCTATCTAATCTATCTGTCAATCTGTCCATCTGTGTATCTGTCCATGTGTCTACCTGTCCATCTGCCTATCTATCTAATCTAATCGAATCTAGTCTAATCTAACCTAATCTAATCTAAGCTAACCTATCTATCTATCTATCTATCTGATCTTTTCTTTTCTTGTCTTATCTAATCTTATCTATCTTATCTTATCTATCTTACCTTATCTATCTAAGCTTATTTATCTTATCTTATCTATCTTATCTAATCTTTCTTATCCTTTCCATCTTATCTTATTCTTTTTTTTTAAACTTATCTTATCTTACCTTATCTTATCTTATCTTATCTAATCTATCTAATCTATCTAATCTATCTAATCTATCTAATCTATCTAATCAATCTAATCAATCTAATCTATCTAATCTATCTAATCTATCCTGTCTGTCTATCTAATCTATTCTATTCTATTCTATTCTATTCCATTCTATTCCATTCTATCTATTCTATCTATTCTATTCCATTCTATCTATTCTATCTATTCTATCTATTCTATCTATTCTATCTATTCTATCTATCTTCTGTCTGTCTGTCTATCTATCTATCTACCTATCTATCTATCTATCTATGTATGTATGTATGTATGTATTTATCTATCTGCATTTGAGTGTGTCGGTCATGTGCCAATATACCATGAGTACATTGACGTTTACCTCCCGTGCTTTCATCCTTTGAGGTGACAGCTCGCGATGACCTGAAGACACAGAAAGATTTGGATCGCTTTGTGTCGGATTTGTACACGAAGGCATGGGAACCAGATCTTCCCGTGTGGCGTGCGTTTGTGATCAACGACTTGGAAGACGGAAGGCACGCTGCATGGTTGCTGTTGCGGTTGCAAATGTTTGGGGCTAGGGGTGGGTTTCCTGCGAATCAGCATCAAAGTAATTGCAGTTCAGGCTTCAAGAAACACAACCTCTGATGAGTCTGCTGAACGTAGGTTAGTTTTTGTGCGGGATTGTGTTGTACTGATAGGTGAGAGAAGACATGAAACCCAAGTACACGCCTTGTAGTTCCACTTCAGCAGGCTAATCAAGTGCATTTGTAAGTCACACATGGACAGTAGTGTCGATATGTGTCAGTCAAACTGTTATTGTGGGTAATGTTGGATGGACAATTGTAAAGCGCTTGCAATAGCTGCAATTATTTTTCACAATCAGATTTTTCAGCCCCTATTGATTTTAAATTAGGCCTTATTGATTTTAGATTACAGACATCAATCTTGGTCCAGAGCATCTGCAATAGTTGTGCTGCATTCGCAATAGCTGCAAATATTTTTCAGAAAATTCCCAAATTATCAGATTTTCCAATACTAAATTGTCAAAGGGCTAATTGAGATTTAGTATGGATGCAGGATTTTTCATTCCCTTCTTGCTTGGTGTTTTTAATTGTGGTTGAATGGTTTTTAATTGTGATTGCATGCTTTTCAAACGCAAAAAACAAAGCAAACCTTTACCAAATCAAAAACTTTACCTTGTTCAAAAAAAACTGTTTTCTTTATTAAAATCCTTTTAAACAATGCAAACAAAGGGTACCCCCTTGCAGGTCCTTGCGTTTGCAATTAAACATTTGAATTAGCACTTGCAATAAAGAACAACCTTTCTGGCTCAGCTGTATTTTTTTCCCTTCTTCCTTAGTGTTTTTAAATTGTGGTTGAATGGTTTTCAATTGTGATTGCATGCTTTTCAAAAGCAAAAAGCAAAGCAAACCTTTACCAAATCAAAAACTTTACCTTGTTCAAAAGAGCTGTTTTCTTTATTAAAATCCTTTTCAAAAATTGCAAAAAACAGGTCCACAAAGGGTACCCCCTTGCAGTTCCTTGCCTTTGCAATTATAAATTAGAATTGGTACTTGCAAAAAAAAAACAACCTTTCTGGCTCAGCTGTATTTTTTTCCCTTCTTCCTTAGTGTTTTAATTGTGGTTGAATGGTTCTTAATTGTGATTGCATGTTTTTCAAATGCAAAAAACAAAGCAAACCTTTACCAAGTCAAAAACTTTACCTTGTTCAAAAAAACTGTTTTCTTTATTAAATTCCTTTTAAACAATACAAAAAAACAGGTCCACAAAGGGTACCCCCTTGCAGGTCCTTGCGTTTGCAATTAAAAATTGGAATTAGCACTTGCAATAAAGAACAACCTTTCTGGCTCAGCTGTATTTTTTTCCCTTCTTCCTTAGTGTTTTTAATTGTGGCTGAATGGTTTTTAATTGCGATTTTTTAGTATGGATGCCAAAACCTTACAGAAGCCTTGGGGAAGAGTTGGGATTTTCGATTTGCTATTGCAAAGCAGATCTCCCCCCAAAAAATAAATAGATAAAGGAATTAGGGGGGGGCTACCCTTTACTATTGTCGATCCAACATTACCCCAGAAATTTTGATACATTTGCTCTATAATGATATATATATATATTACATTATATTACATTGTTACACCACTGTTGTCGAAGATCTGAACATGCAGGAGCTTGCTGCTGATGAAGATTGACCATGCCATTGCCGATGGTGTGGGTTTGTTGGACGTTCTCTTCAACATCATCGACAGCAAGGGCGGCGGCGATTCTCCTAAGAAGCTGCTTGATTCAGTCCAGATTTTGAACTTCACAAGATGTTGTTGAGAAAGATCAAACACTGTCAAGCAGCAAGTTCCAACATGTTCCAACAGCATACAGGGAGACAGCTTGTAACCCATACGATAGAAGCATGACAGATATTCAACCAATACCCCCAAGTAGCACAAGACGTACAAGACCGCAGCACTCCAATGGTCAGATCATGTCGCAACGAGGTTGCGATCCGCTGTTACTCGACCGCCTAGTTGTTGGGAGGGCTTCAAGATGCAGGCCAAGGGCCTTTGGCGTGCCTGCTATGGGCCTTTCATTGCTGACCATTTGCCAGGCGGATCCAAAACTGCTGTGGCACCACTGGTGAAACTCATAACTTTGAACATGATAGCCTCACATCATCTAGAAGGTTTCACACAGTAGCCGTATGATGCTGTATGGCAAGATATAATATATACTGTTATGCATTTTGGTTTCCAATACATTCCAATACACAATGGACACTAGAGTCACTAGAGGTCAGCATACCCGTGACTTGACCAGGGTTTTTGTGCACCTTCGCCAAAGCAGCCAGGGGACCGCAAGAATCGGCTAAAGTTCGCGGATGCCAAGAATCCGGGAAGCACAAAGGCTGTCGCTCGGCTTGGTGGCCACTGGTGAGAACTGGAAACCTATTAGAATGCCAAGTGGATGATATTGTATGGGTCCAAAATCAGGACCCTCAAATTATATCAAATTATGAGATTCCGCACTACCTTGACCACTGGATTTTCAAGGATTTCCGGGTCCCCGAAGTTGATTGAACAGGATCCACAACTGACTCTCGAGGTTTGTTCCACCAAACCCATTGACTTGAACGACATCAAGATGATCAAATCGCAACTCCCCGACGCCACGGTCAATGATACTGGGTGTCAACTACTTGTGATGTTTCATGAATCAATGATTCAGACCTCTGTTTGTAATCTTGAGATGCTCTTGGTGATCTGCGATTCCGCATGGTAGAAGGTCACAATGTGTGACATGCCACCTTTCACTATGAAAGTTCAAAGCCATTTGCTGTCGAATGAAGACTCGCAGGTTTTCCAGCGCCACACTCTCAGGATGTCTTGATGACTTTGACGTGCCTCACATTGCGCAATTACTTTGCCAAGTATGAGCCTTCCACTTTGAAGCAGTCGGTTCGAGCCAATATGCCAATCAGCATGAGAAAAGAAGGCGATGAAGATGCTTGCCCGTTGAGCAATACGCTGAAGCGTGGGAAAATAGAGTTGGAGGGGCGTGAGTCAACCAATTTTTTCTCGTGCATGATTAAACCAATGCCAAGGAAACTTGTTGGAATGCGCGGAGTTTCAAGGAGTTCATGAGAAGATATGAGAAGCTTTGTAGCTTTTTTTCAATGCTTTTTCTTGAAAGATCAAGTCCAGCAACACACTGCTGGGATCCTCCAACAGAATCACTGGCCCCAGAACCATGCTCCTGCCATCCGTTCCTCATGGGTTTTTCCGTTTTTTTCTCAGGACATCTTCAACCCACTGGTCTTTGGAAACAATTTCTCTCAGGGTCAACTGAGCTTCCCGATCCACCTGGACGACCCCATGGAGATCTTCCGCAGCACCTGGGCACGAACGTGGCAGCTTCGGGGCCCCTTACGAACTGATAATACGTAGACTATCTTCTTCCACGAACGAATTCTTGGACATGTCCTGAAAATTCTATGAAATCTATTGAAATCATTGAAATCTCAATCTGTTCAAATGCTTGGTGTTGGGAATTTTCATGGTGCCTCTCGGAGAGGCTTTCATGAAATTCATGAGGCATGAAAGCCCAGATCGATGTCATCAAAGTTTCGCCGGAGCCCTTGGTGCGTCATGCCCTGGTGAAGACGCTGACGGTGGGCTCGCCCATCCCACATCGAATTGCTGCAGCCCTGGTGCTTGACCAATTTGGCAAGGCTGGGATCTCATGATTCATCATGATTCTCATGAAGGATCCAGTTTAACCTTTGCTCTTTTTTGGGGTCCATCGGATTTTCGTTCCTAAGTCCCGACTTTTTCAAAACTGAACTGGATCTTACTTGTCTCGGTGTCATCAACCACACATGTGTAATATGCTGCCCGCCCACGATGCAGGTCACTGCGATGTTGTCCAATGTGGTCGGTCCCATGCAAGAGGTGGAGTTCATGGGCGTCTCGGCTGCGTTCTTTGCAGCCCACGATCTTTGGATGACGTGATTTGTGGCATATGCCTTCAGGTGATTTCAAGTTGTCTTAACAAAGTTGGAGGAGTGAACATGGCTTCTGCACAATTTCGAAGTCTGCAATTTGCTGGTTCAGATGAAAATCAACGGCTTAGGCAAGAAACTGGATGACATGTCCTTCTATGCCATGGTGCCTTTGGGCCTCTACTTTGGCATTGTGCAATACAAGGGCTGGATCAAGGCGGGATGTCAAGATGTGATTTGTGAATATTTGTGATCCAATCTGTAAGGAGAAATGGCGAACCTCAAGGCAAAAGCTGGACACATTTAACTCACTTGGGACATCTTGGGACTTGGGACACAGTTCATTGCCTTCGAAGCTTCGGCCCCAAGCTTCTTACATGCCAACTCTTGCAGTTGTTCACCGGCAGAAACGATGCGAGGGGTCTACGAAGTTTTATTTTGGTTTGATTTGTTTTCTCATGGAAAACAATGAAAACACAACCAGCTTTTCAACTGGCAGAGTTGGCAGCACTGTCAATGTCCAAGTCATGCGCGGCAGTCCCTGTCGCCAGGTGGGCATTTGCTGCGATGCAGGGCTGGAACCAGAACCCCAGCGCCTGGCGGACTGTTGGGAGGAAGCCTTCCAAGCCTTACGCAAGGCAGCGGAGATTGCTGTGCCTGAAGTCACTGAAGTCACCAAGACCGTTGTGGCGCAAGCGGTGTGAAAACGTGGTCCATGGCGGCCATGTGGAATATGAAGGGTGGCAAAGTGGTGTGGAAAGGAACAACTTTGTTGAGAGGTACGGTAGTTTGCTACTTGCTGCCTCTGCAACTGAGTACCACAGGGCAGGCAGTTACCAAAAGAACGAAGAGAAATGATACTGTGAGGTGAGTGTCCAACCAGCTCTGAGAAGACCCTAAATATCTGCGCAGAATTGTACATGTAAGTAAAGGATAGTAAAGGTGTAGTTTAGATATAATTGTAAATCTTAAGCATGCTATATTATACATGATCCACAAAAATACACATGACATGTATATTATATACATGTGTATACATATATATATATACATATACACAGTATAGACATGTACATACGTATGTGTATATATATATATACACGTCGTTTTATGTCTTTGTATGTATATATGTTTATACTAGTATTGTATATGTCTACAAATGACTGTGAATGTCTATAGATGTCTACATTTGTCTATATACATATATATATATATGTATATGAGTAGGGATCATCATCATGATCATCATCATCATCATCATCATCATCATGATCATCATCATCATCATCATGATCATAATATGTATATATATATATATACATATATACATGTCTATACATGTATGTATATGTCTATATATGCCTGAACGCCTATATGTCTCTGTATACGTGTACATATATATATATATATGCACGTTTGTATTCAAGTACTTGGGTTCTCTTTCAGATTCGCAAAGACTATGTCTAAAAGCGGGGTATGGACACTTGCAAGGCGTATCAATAGCTTTGTAAACTATCAGAGTTAATGTGCAACCTGGACAAAGCCCGTGAGATGCTGGAAACAACTCTCACGAGTTGAGCACGGCTCAAAATTTCTGGACATCAAAACATGAACGGAAAATTTGAGTTTGATTCTCACTTTGAGCTATGCACAGCTCGGGCCTTGCAGAGTCAAAGGTTCTGCTTGGCTTTGTTTTCCCTTTTTTTAGATTCCTGAGCAAACTAGTGTGTGAGTGGACGTTGATGTGATCAAGGGATCACTGAAAGCCAAGCCACATGTGGATTTTCGATGACATTTGCGACACGAAGGATTGCCTTCAAAGTGGTGTTTGCAACTTGCTGTTTGACTTGCGGCGCAAACGTGCTGATTTGGGGCTGCTCTCAGGCCAATATAGTTTCCTTTCTCCAATTAGGGCATAGTTGGGATGTCTTCCACTGAATGGAGAGGCATTAGGGTTAAAAACCAGTTTGTCTGCTTATGAGTGCAGGCCATGGAAGGAAACATATCTACACACACAAGGAAACAGCATGCTCCCAGTGTGAACCATATTATATAAAGATGTTGTATCATGTTGTATCATGTTGTATTATGTTGTATCAGGTTCCGCATGCTTGTCTTAAACCTCCTCCACAAGAATGGACTCAATGTATTTGTTTTTGTGTCCCTGCAATTGCAACGTCTCAGGCGAAATGTGCCCTGCAGGGGCGTTCCTTCACATGGTGTCGAGTAGGTGGAGTAGGGTTCGGGCTCCAACACACACCCTCATCGCTGACACAGCTGACACAACCCCAAAATGAGATCCCCAGATGCATGGCATGAACTTGTAGACGTCCATCAGAACTTGGCAGGACCTGGTTCATCCTGGTTCGCCCAAAATTTGACTTATTTTCCAGAGCGTACGCATTCTAGCAAGCACAAGATAAGCACCGGTCCAGAGTTTGATCCATTTTGTTTTTGGATGTTTTGGCACATCATTTCCATTTATCAAGTTTCTCGCATCCCTTTAGCAGTGGAGAGGGCGTCCCAGCAGCCGTTTGCCTGGCTACTAGAATGTTTTATGATGTTTCATGTGGGCTTTCATGTCTTTCACTTGACGAGACTCATCAGGGTGCACTCCGGCTTACACTTTGAAATGAGGACCGAATTCCTTTCTGCCTTTTCCATCCTTCTTTATCCGATTTTCGGTCTTATCCTTGGTTGTAAAGGGACAAATGCCTGCGACTCCAGCGGGACCCGATCTTGCACGTTTCCAGGCGGTGGGCAATGCATCTTGCTCTCTGCCTCAGCGCGGAAAGGACATCCACTGGAAGCTGGGTCGCAGAGATTCGCAGAGCGACCCCAACTGCAGCCCTTTGCTATCAATGTGTTTGATGTCTAAGTCTAACCACGAAAGCTAGCTTCTGCTAGCTGAAACTTGGCAGGTGCTCCAATCACCAATCACAACCCCCCCACCTGTTTCTTTTGGAAGCAGTTTTGCCATGCATCAATCCCACCCCCTTGGACATGGTCGCCATATCGTCGCAATCAGCATTGTCAGCATCATCAGACTTCCTCTTCACTTCGTGTCTCTTAATTCCTCACATAATGCTCTTTGACCACACCTTTCCTCCCTTCACCTTCCCAGCTCACTTTCCCTTACACCTTGGCCTCAAGTGTTTGTTGGGATCTGTTGGGAGCTGGCGACGGTTGGGAATCTCAGCCTTGACAAGAGGAGTCCGTTGAGTTTCATGAGGTGCTGCAGTTAGGTTCCATTGGTGGAAAACTTGTGACGATGAGTTGGTAGAGTTGGAGTTCTCTTGATGACTATGCAGCGTCAGCACACCGATATTGACGAGGAATCTCCGTTTCAATACATGACTTGATGAGGTCACAATAAACTCCAAATCTCAGAATTCTCAGACCATGTCTCCAAGATCTTCCAGAGTGCCCAGGTTTTGTCCACAGTGCAGTGCAAGAAATACTAGAGGGATTGAACCACTCCAAGACCTGATCCAAGTACAGTATATCATATCCAAGCACTGTTCTCAGTGGACACCACCCTCTCAGCTAAGGACCCAGCACTCCATGATCATGACCTTTACAAGCCAGGCCCAGCAGCCCATCAACGTGAAAAATGCAAAGCCTTCCATGCAAAGCGGGGTGAGTTGGCTGAGTTCACTTTTACGAGTTTAGCAGCTCTTTCTAGCGAAAGTGGCTACTATGGTTAAAACAATTTACCCAAGCCTTCCAGAGCTTCAGCTTTGCCAAGGCTGCAAGGTTTGATTGAGGGTTTGAGATGACTTTGTCTACGCTGATCAATCCATAATAAGAAGAATATATATATATTGTATATATATATATACTGTAAAAAATAATATATATATAAAGATATTTTATATAAATATCATATATCTATAAATATCATTTATCTATAATATATTATATATCTATAATATATTATATATCTATAAATATCATATATCTAGAATTGATTTTGTGTCTATAATATATTATATATAATCTATTGTGTGTATATAAAATACAATATATCTATAATATATTATATATCTAAAATATTTTATATATCTATAGTATATTTTACATATTTATTGTATATATATATGTTTTCTATAAGTATAATATATATATACATAAATATATATATATGTATGCGTGTATGTGCGTACGTGCGTTTGTATGTAATGTATATGTATATGTATATGTATATGTATGTGTATATGTATATGTATATGTATATGTATGTGTATATGTATATGTATATGTACATGTATATGCCTGCGGACCGAAAACCGTTCCCGTAAAACGCACGTTTTTGAATATCGCGATTGTGGGGTGGGGTGGGGTGGGGGGGCATGTTAACGTTCCTTGTACTTCGTACATGATATATTGCCATGCTGCTAAGATCTCTGGGATTATTTACT